GCTGGCTGCATCATGTTTCCTCTGTAAAAATAAATTTGCAACATAAAAACACCACCTTTTGTACATTGGACACAAATACGTTTTTAAAAAAGTTTTTAAAAATCCATCCTAAGTGTCCAACAGCAGATGCATGGATGAAGAATGTATGTTGTATATTATGGCATGCAGGGGACATGATTCAGCTGCCGCTCGTCACAACACGGCTGAAGCTGGAGGGTGTTAAGTGAAATAAGACGTAAAGACAGTTACGGCGCAACTCCCATGTGGCATGGAAAAACGCTGAATTTGTAGAAGTGGAGAGGAGAGTCGCAGGGGCTTGGGAAGGAAGGAGGTGATGGAGATGTTGCTCAAAATGTGCAGAGTTTCAGCTGGGAAGAATAAGTTCAAGAGATCTATTGTGCAACATGGTGGCTATAGTTAATGACAAGGTGTATTCTGGAAAATTCCTAAGAGAGTGGATTTTTAGTGTTCTCAGCACAAAACGATACATACATGTTAACTAGCACAATTTAGCAATTCCACAGTATATACATATTTCAAAACACATTGACATAATATATGTCTTGTGAATTTAAAAAATAAATAAATAAAAAAGACCTGAATGACAAACTACAGATGATGAGAAAGATACAGTAAAAGAGACGTGTAGAAAAATATCAGAAATGATCAGCAACGTGAATCCTAAAATTTATAGATTCACAAGGAATCATTTTAAGTGTAAAGAAAATAAATTCTCAGCTAGACATATCACAGTGAATTGTAGAAGGCCAAAAACCAAGAGGAGATCCTTAAAACTACTAGAGAGAGGAAGATACTAACAGAACAACAGTTACCCTTCCCATAGATTTTTCAGCAGCAGTGAGGAGCCCGGAAATGATGGCATAATCCCTGAAGCAGGGAGGGAAAACAGCTGTCAGCGTCTGTACCCAGCTACGCTGTCATTCAGAAGTGCCTGTGAAATAAAGACCGTTTCAGGAAGCAGATTGACAGAGTTTACCCTTCACAAAACCTTCCTCGGAGAAGGTTACCACTAGGTACACTTCACAAGAGGAAAGCTGCATCTGGAGTAACAGAATAGGTGCTAGAAGTGGTGATATGAGGAAACCGAAATAAGGAAAACACCCAGCCCCGAGGCCTGGGATCACATCACACCAATGGCGACCGGCCCTCCGAAGGTGTAGGTTGCACCAGCGGTCTTCCGTGTGGCTCAGCGCTGCTGCGCATTCTGCCAGTACTGCTTAAGGCATTCGCTCTGAAAATACCCATTGCTTGGTGTGCAGGGCACAGATTGTGCTTCTCTCTGTGTGCTTAGGGGATCACAGCTGGTAAGTAAATGCCAGAGCCTGAATTGAAACATGCAGGAGTCTGAAAATTACCTGCAGAGCTTACGGCTTGCAGTGAACGCCCAGAACGAAGTACTCGGGCAGTTCCAGCTGAGCGGGTTGGGGGGTAGTTCTTCCTAGAGAGTCTGCCCCAGCATCCATCCACCAAATGTTTACCGAAAGGGCTTGTATTAACTGCAGACACCCACTAGATGGCCATTCGAGGTGGGTGCCTGGGGCACCTGTGACCTCGTACGCACTGAAACTGCGTTCTCAGCGTTCCTTATCACACCACACACTCCACTCCCTGTCCCGTTTTCAGGGTCAAGGAGTTTCGTGCCCAGGCACAAACCACACACACACAGTGCCTCAGTACTTTCCATGCCCGGACCTCAAATGCCATGTACGTAAGCCTGGACATGCTGCCGTGTGCCCCCCACCTCCTCCTTTAATTCTTAGGGCGAGCTGGTCATCCAATGCAAGGTAAGCCATCATTCTTCCCTGGTCGTAGAGGGCACCTATCTCTGTCTGTTGCGTAAGTTTTAAACTGTTCCTGGATTTCGTGTTCGCAGTTTTGCATGGCATCTTGCCACGCTATACTTGTCTTTTCAGTCTTTTCTTGAACCATCTGTAAAGATGGTGGTGGTGTGAAACAAAGGCTCAGAGACAGCCGTAGATACAAAGGTAACAGGCACAGTTTGTAAAAAGTTCAGGAGCTCAGAGGCTGGCAAAGGAAAGCTGATAAAGTCAGCCATTGCTGCGTGTCAGTCAGGATCCCAAGCTGAAAGAGTGCGGATCGGTTCCTGGCTCAGCGGCCGGGCGGGGGCCGCAGGGGCGTGCCTGGACGATTGGATGCACGTTGGCGCCCCTTTATGAGAAGAGAAGCTACGAACTCTGCAGTCTTCTGTACGTTTTTAGCGGGATTATGAGACAGGGACATAACATATAAAATACAGGAATGGCAAAAGAGAAAGCCTACCTGTTAAACTAAGGCATGGAAGGGACAGATACTCTCAGTAATTTTTGACCATATTTTGGTTCTTGAAAGTCATTAGAATGTGACTGCAAGTTGCCGGGATAATAAACCTGCATTGAGTTAGCTTACGTGTGTAAAAAAACAACAGAAACCAAACCAAACCCAAATACTTTAAAAACGTTCTTGGGCGCCGGCCCTCTTCCTGCGCTAGCCCGCAGCTGGAGTCTGGAGCTTGGGAAAGCGCAGCTGTGGCCCGTTTCTCGCCGTCTGCTCCGGGCTCCTTAGGCGCCTCTCTTGTTAATAGCCTGCCACCTGTTGCTGCCTTTCCCCCCGAGGAAGGAAGCCCGTGGGAGCAGGAAGAGGCTTAACGACCGGTGGGAAGGTGCGTGCGGGTAAGCACGGGGCGGCGGGGGGCAGAGAAGACCAGCCCCTCACCCTCCAGGCCACCGACGCTTCCAGCCACCCTGTTAAGTCAGGTACGGAAAACGCACCGTTTGATGTCTCAGCAGCCTCCAGACTCTCGGACCAGCTGGCCCCCAGCCCCTCCCAGCTGGAACCGAGCCCCAGGCAGAGCGGCTCTGGCGGGAGACACGCAGCAGAGTCTGCTTCGCAGGGTCCCAGCCACGGGGCTCTTAAACATTTTGTAAGAAAGCAGCTTTCCTTACCGCTGCGTCTGCCTTCCGAAGGTGACGGCAGCGGGCAGAGCGCGCCCTCCCCAGCCTCGTCAGCATTTAACATGTGGCCACGGGAGCGCGTCCTCATGAGCGGGCGTCGCCCCCCTAATTTTCTCACCCCTCTGCCCGCCTTAGGCCGGTAAGGTCGGGGTGCACGCGGACGGCTTCTTGGCCCTTTCCCCAGGGGCCAGGGAAGACAAGGAGCTGCTTGTCAGCTGACGCCTGTGAGGGGTGGCGGGGAAGGGCAGATGTCGGAAGAGCCGCAGCACAGCGGGCCACCTCCGGGCACAGTCACCGAGGCCCGTGACGGGGCCGGGCGGAGCCGCCTGCAGCCACCGGGGACTCGGTCTGTGCCTCTTGGCCTCCCTTCCGTCACCACAAACCCAGAAAGGGGCAACTCGCCTAGACTGCCGCTGACTCCCTGGGCACTCCAGGGCATCTTAGCAACTCTCCTGCCCCAGGCCTCTGTGGGCAGCGGGAAAGCCAGAGCCTTCTGGGATAAAAGCCAGCAGGCAGCAGGCCACTGTCCCTCATCCCCCGGGGAAACGGGAAAAACACAAGGCCAGGGAGGCCGGCGCCGGGGCGGGAAGTGAGAACTTGCGTGTTGGGAAGACGGTCACGGCCGCCGCCTTCCCTCCTGGAGGCCCCACGTGGTCTGTGGACGATCGTGACCATCCGTGTGGTGAAGGAGACGCGGTCACCCGATCCTGCGGGTGTTCGCTGAGCGGGGTCTTATCTAGGAGCTGCCACTCAGCAGCCTCCGCTCCCCGTAAGGGGGACGGGAGCGCTGTTGCCCGAACGGGCCCAAGATGCAGGTCCTTTCAAGGGTGGAGGAAAAGGCTCTGGTCCGCCCTTACCCTCACTAGAAAAACCTTCCTTCCTTCCCGTAGAGGGGAGTGAAGCGGGAGAGGGGCCTCTCCCTGTTGTTCTGGTTTCTGTTTTTCCTTCTCCGTTAAATCTCCCGAACTCACTCCAGGTGGAGACGATGGGCGGTCCGACTCACTGCAGTCTGGTAGATAAAGAGGACACAGCGAAGAGCCTGCCCGCGCCCAGTGCTCAGATAGTCAGCCCAGTGACTAACCTTGCTCGCGTCCTGTTTCCGGGCAGTGGCTGACCTGCCTGCTCCCACGACCCTGCATCTGAGGTTCCTTGGGGAAACCAGGAGCAGTCCCGCTGAGTTAGGAGCATGAGCTTGTGCAGAGCTGCAGGCTCTGCGTGCCCTCGAGAGCCTTAAGTCGCTGTTGCTCTGTTTTAAAAAATACTTTCTGCTCTTCGGTCATTTCTTGACCCATGATAAGCTAACTCCTGATATTCTATGCATGCGTCCCATCCTCCTGATGGGAGTCAGGACTGTCCCTTACCGGGATTCCCCGAAAATTGACGAGCTCTCCTCCTTCATGCGTAAATCCAAGGTGATCACATTGGGAACACCAGTTGCAGCTTCCAGCTTGCAGTGAACGCTCAGAACGAAGTACTCGGGCAGTTCCAGCTGAGCGGGTTGGGGGGTAGTTCTTCCTAGAGAGTCTGCCCCAGCATCCATCCACCAAATGTTTACCGAAAGGGCTTGTATTAACTGCAGACACCCACTAGATGGCCATTCGAGGTGGGTGCCTGAGGCACCTGTGACCTCGTACGCACTGAAACTGCGTTCTCAGCGTTCCTTATCACACCACACACTCCACTCCCAGTCCCGTTTTCAGGGTCAAGGAGTTTCGTGCCCATGCACAAACCACACACACACAGTGCCTCAGTATTTTCCATGCCTGGACCTCAAATGCCATGTACGTAAGCCTGGACATGCTGCCGTGTGCCCCTCACATTATCTAACTGGGAGGCTTCAGATTCTGAGAACCAACCTATTGTCTGCCCCGTGTATCTTCAAAATGTCAAGCTGTTTTTGTTGGGAAAGCCAGGAGCAGGGCAGCCATGTGGCTGTGCCATCAGAGTTGTGAGGTTGAGAAGGTGGGCCCTCATTCAGTTCTAGTAATTGGGATATGTCTGACCCTGTGTGTCCCACTCTGTCCCCAGAGCCCAAGGTGGTGTTTGCCAAGGACCAGGTGTCATGCAGGGAGGTGCAGGCCGAGGCGGGGGCCAGCGCCACGCTGAGCTGCGAGGTGGCCCAGGCCCAGACGGAGGTGACGTGGTACAAGGACGGGAAGAAGCTGAGCGCCAGCTCAAAGGTGCATGTGGAGGCCGCGGGCTGCACGCGGAGGCTGGTGGTGCAGCAGGTGGGCCAGGCGGATGCCGGGGAGTACAGCTGCGAGGCCGGGGGCCAGAGGCTGTCCTTCCGCCTGCATGTCACAGGTGGGTTTCTTGAGGTCTTTCTTACATTCCTTAGGATAATTTTTAATGACGTTAGTGTGGAGGTGCCACCTAATTGCCTCTTTTATCCACAAAGGGAAACTATAATAACAATTAGCACGTAGGAATTTTGTGCCAGTGGCACAGGTTTTGTGATCTGCTTACTTAAACTTCAAAACAATTCTGTGAGGAAAAACTCTTGATGATTCCCATTTTAAGATAACACACAAGGAAGTAACTCATCACAGTTCACAAAGCCAGAAAATTGCAGTCGGAATTTGGACCCAGTATTCTGGGGTTATTCTTTCTTTCTAGAATTCTATCTTCAGTATTATGTTAGCAGCTCTGCTGGTTTTATATATTCCCTTTTTTTCTCACATGAAAACATATTTGTTCTCCCTTTGATTCTGTTCTATCTGGATATGACGTTACAGTTTAGCAGCTACCCATCCCCCATAACATTTTAAGAAGGTCATTCCATTGTCTTCTGAGTTTCATAGTTCTGTTGAAATATCAGCTGTAAGATTTGCTGTGGACATTTTAAGGGTAATATATCTTTCTTCATCCTGTTGCTTTTAAGATTTTCTTTTTGAATTTGCATGGTGGCATTTTTTCCTTGATGAACATACGTGTGGTTTCCCTTGTCTTCATCCTGGTTGGGATTCGAGAGCATCTTGAGTCTCTGGGTTTATGTCTTTCATCAGTTGTTTTCTGTTACTGAATCCTGAAGCTTCAGTGCCTTTGAAATGGGTTGATCCCTGATTTGTGTCTCTGACTGTGCATCCCTCTTTGTCCACCTGCAGAGCCTAAGGTGGTGTTTGCCAAGGAGCAGTCAGTGCATAATGAGGTGCAGGCTGAGGCGGGGACCAGTGCCACACTGAGCTGTGAGGTGGCCCAGGCCCAGACGGAGGTGACGTGGTACAAGGATGGGAAGAAACTGAGCTCCAGCTCGAAAGCGCACGTGGAGGTCAAAGGCTGCACATGGAGGCTGGTGGTGCAACAGGCAGGCAAAGCAGATGCTGGGGAGTACAGCTGTGAGGCTGGGGGCCAGAGAGTCTCCTTCCGCCTGCATGTCACAGGTGAGTTTCTTGAGGCCTTTATTGTGATTTGGGGATAATTTTCAGGGACTTGGGGTATATATGGAGGTCCCACCCAATGGGTTTTGTTTCTCCTAAATCCTCCCCTGTAATAACAACTAGCAGGTATTAATTTTGTGCCAAAGGCCTAGATTTTGTGAAGTGCTTCTTGTCTTTCTGCTTGCTTAAACTTGAAAACGATTTGTTAGGAGGAACTCTGATTATTACCATTTTAAGAAAACACACAAGGAAGTCACTCACCACAGGTCACAAAGCCAGAAAACTGCAGTCAGAATTTGGACCCATATTCTGGCATTACAACTCTCTTTTCTTCTTGTAAACTATGCCTTCAGTATTGATGTTAGCAGGTCAGCTGGTCTTAAGTACGCAATCTCTTACTTTTTATTTCTCCTATGAACACATATTTGTTCTCTCTTTGATTCCAAGAACTGTTTTATCTGGGTACAACACTGTAGTTTCTCAGCTACTCCCCCACTCCCTAACATTAATTTAAAGAGGTCATTCCATCATCTTCTGGCATCCATATTTTTTTGAAATATGAACTGTGGCCAGGTATGGTGGCTCCTGCCTGTAATCCCAGCACTTTGGGAGGCTGAGGTTGTCTGATCACAAGGTCAGGAGATCGAGACCATCCTGGCTAGCACAGTGAAACCCTGTCTCTACTAAAAATACAAAAAATTAGTCAGATGCGGTGGCATATGCCTGTATTCCCAGCTACTCTTGGGTCTGAGGCAGGAGAATCACTTGAGCCAGGGAGCCAGAGGTTGTGTGAGCCGAGATCATGTCATCACACTCCAGCCTGGGCAACAGAGCGAGACTCTGTCTCAAAGAAAAAAAAAAAAAGTAAATATGAACCGTTAAATTTGTTATGGATATTTTTAGGGTCATTTATCTTTTTTCATCCTGTTGATTTTAAGATGTTCTTTCTGAGTTTGTTTTGTGGTAGTTTTCCTTTGCTGAACATACGTGTGGTTTCCCTTGTCTTCATCCTGGTTGGGATTCGAGAGCATCTTGAGTCTCTGGGTTTATGTCTTTCATCAGTTGTTTTCTGTTACTGAATCCTGAAGCTTCAGTGCCTGTAAAATGGGTTGATCCCTGATTTGTGTCTCTGACTGTGCATCCCTCTTTGTCCACCTGCAGAGCCCAAGGTGGTGTTTGCCAAGGAGCAGTTGGTGTCTAATGAGGTGCAGGCTGAGGCGGGGGCCAGTGCCACACTGAGCTGTGAGGTGGCCCAGGCCCAGACGGAGGTGACGTGGTACAAGGATGGGAAGAAGCTGAGCTCCAGCTCGAAAGCGCGCGTGGAGGTCAAAGGCTGCACACGGAGGCTGGTGGTGCAACAGGCAGGCAAAGCAGATGCTGGGGAGTACAGCTGTGAGGCCGGGGGCCAGAGAGTCTCCTTCCGCCTGCATGTCACAGGTGAGTTTCTTGAGGCCTTTCTTTTGCTTTTAGGATAATTTTTAGGGAGTTGGGGTATATATGGAGGTCCCACCCAATGGGTTTTGTTTCTCCTAAAGCTTCCCCTGTAATAACAACTAGTAGCTATTAATTTTGTGTCAAAGGCCTAGATTTTGTGAAGTGCTTCTTGTCTTTCTGCTTGCTTAAACTTGAAAACGATTTGTTTGGAGGAACTCTGATTATTACCATTTTAAGAAAACACTCAAGGAAGTAACTCACCACAGGTCACAAAGCCAGAAAACTGCAGTCAGAATTTGGACCCATATTCTGGCATTACAACTCTCTTTTCTTCTTGTAAACTATGCCTTCAGTATTGATGTTAGCAGGTCAGCTGGTCTTAAGTACGCAATCTCTTACTTTTTATTTCTTCTATGAACACATATTTGTTCTCCCTTTGATTCTGAGAGCTGTTTTATCTGGGTATAACAATACAGTTTAGTAGCTACTTCCCCACTCCCTAACATTAATTTAAAGAGGTCATTCCATTATCTTCTGGTGTCCATATTTTCTTTGAAATATGAACTGTGGCCAGGTATGGTGGCTCCTGCCTGTAATCCCAGCACTTTGGGAGGCTGAGGTTGTCTGATCACAAAGTCAGGAGATCGAGACCATCCTGGCTAACACAGTGAAACCCTGTCTCTACTAAAAATACAAAAAATTAGCCGGGCGTGGTGGCATATGCCTGTATTCCCAGCTACCCTTGAGTCTGAGGCAGGAGAATCACTTGAGCCAGGAAGCCAGAGGTTGTAGTGAGCCAAGATCATGTCATCACACTCCAGCCTGGGCAACAGAGCGAGACTCTGTCTCAAAGAAAAAAGAAAGAAATATGAACTGTTAAATTTGTTATGGATATTTTTAGGGTCATTTATCTTTTTTCATCTTGTTAATTTTAAGATGTTCTTTCTGAGTTTGTTTTGTGGTAGTTTTCCTTTGTTGAACATAGTTGTGGTTTCCCTTGTCTTCATCCTGGTTGGGATTCGAGAGCATCTTGAGTCTGTGGGTTTATGTCTTTCATCAGTTGTTTTCTGTTACTGAATCCTGAAGCTTCAGTGCCTGTAAAATGGGTTGGCCCCAGATTTGTGTCTCTGACTGTGCATCCTTCTTTGTCCACCCTCAGAGCCCAAGGTGGTGTTTGCCAAGGAGCAGTTGGTGCATAATGAGGTGCAGGCTGAGGCGGGGGCCAGTGCCACGATGAGCTGTGACTTGGCCCAGGCCCAGACGGAGGTGACGTGGTACAAGGATGGGAAGAAGCTGAGCTCCAGCTCGAATGTGGGCATGGAGGTCAAAGGCTGCACACGGAGACTGGTGGTGCAACAGGCAGGCAAAGCAGATGCTGGGGAGTACAGCTGTGAGGCCGGGGGCCAGAGAGTCTCCTTCCGCCTGCATGTCACAGGTGAGTTTCTTGAAGCCTTTCTTTTGCTTTTAGGATAATTTTTAGGGACTTGGGGTATATATGGAGGTCCCACCCAATGGGTTTTGTTTCTCCTAAAGCTTCCCCTGTAATAACAACTAACAGGTATTAATTTTGTGTCAAAGGCCTAGATTTTGTGAAGTGCTTCTTGTCTTTCTGCTTGCTTAAACTTAAAAACAATTTGTTCAGAGGAACTCTGATTATTACCATTTTAAGAAAACACACAAGGAAGTAACTCACCACAGGTCACAAAGCCAGAAAACTGCAGTCAGAATTTGGACCCAGTATTCTGGGATTACTACTCTTTTTTCTTCTTGTAAACTATGCCTTCAGTATTGATGTTAGCAGGTCAGCTGGTCATAAGTACGCGTTCTCTTACTTTTTATTTCTCCTATGAACACATATTTGTTCTCCTTTTGATTCTGAGAGCTGTTTTATCTGGGTATAACACTACAATTTAGTAGCTACTCCCCCACTCCCTAACATTAATTTAAAGAGGTCATTCCATTATCTTCTGGTGTCCATATTTTCTTTGAAATATGAACTGTGGCCAGGTATGGTGTCACCTGCTTATAATCCCAGCACTTTGGGAGGCTGAGGTTGTCTGATCACAAGGTCAGGAGATCGAGACCATCCTGGCTAATACAGCGAAACCCTGTCTCTACTAAAAATACAAAAACTTAGCCGGGCGTGGTGGCATATGCCTGTATTCCCAGCTACCCTTGAGTCTGAGGCAGGAGAATCACTTGAGCCAGGGAGCCAGAGGTTGTGTGAGCCGAGATCATGTCATCACACTCCAGCCTGGGCAACAGAGCGAGACTCTGTCTCAAAAAAAAAATAAATAAATATGAACTGTTAAATTTGTTATGGATATTTTTAGAGTCATTTATCTTTTTTCATCTTGTTAATTTTAAGATGTTCTTTCTGAGTTTGTTTTGTGGTAGTTTTCCTTTGTTGAACATAGTTGTGGTTTCCCTTGTCTTCATCCTGGTTGGGATTCGAGAGCATCTTGAGTCTGTGGGTTTATGTCTTTCATCAGTTGTTTTCTGTTACTGAATCCTGAAGCTTCAGTGCCTGTAAAATGGGTTGATCCCTGATTTGTGTCTCTGACTGTGCATCCCTCTTTGTCCACCTGCAGAGCCCAAGGTGGTGTTTGCCAAGGAGCAGTTGGTGTCTAATGAGGTGCAGGCTGAGGCGGGGGCCAGTGCCACACTGAGCTGTGAGGTGGCCCAGGCCCAGACGGAGGTGACATGGTACAAGGATGGGAAGAAGCTGAGCTCCAGCTCGAAAGCGCGCGTGGAGGTCAAAGGCTGCACACGGAGACTGGTGGTGCAACAGGCAGGCAAAGCAGATGCTGGGGAGTACAGCTGTGAGGCCGGGGGCCAGAGAGTCTCCTTCCGCCTGCATGTCACAGGTGAGTTTCTTGAGGCCTTTCTTTTGCTTTTAGGATAATTTTTAGGGAGTTGGGGTATATATGGAGGTCCCACCCAATGGGTTTTGTTTCTCCTAAAGCTTCCCCTGTAATAACAACTAACAGGTATTAATTTTGTGTCAAAGGCCTAGATTTTGTGAAGTGCTTCTTATCTTTCTGCTTGCTTAAACTTGAAAACAGTTTGTTCAGAGAAACTCTGATTATTTCCATTTTAAGAAAACACACAAGGAAGTAACTCACCACAGGTCACAAAGCCAGAAAACTGCAGTCAGAATTTACTACTCTTTTTTCTTCTTGTAAACTATGCCTTCAGTATTGATGTTAGCAGGTCAGCTGGTCATAAGTACGCGTTCTCTTACTTTTTATTTCTCCTGTGAACAATATTTGTTTTCCCTTTAATTCTGAGAGCTGTTTTATCTGGGTATAACGCTACAGTTTTGCAGCTACTCCCCCACTCCCTAACGTTTTAAAGAAGTCATTTCATTGTCTCCTGGCATCCATATTTTCTTTGCAATATGAACTGTGAAATTTCTTATGGATATTTTAAGGGTCATGTACCTTTTTTCATCCTATTGATTTTATGATTTTCTTTTCGATTTTGTTTTGTGGTCATTTTTCTTTGATGAACATAGGTTTTCCTTTCTTCGTCCTGGTTGGTGTCAGAGTATCTTGAGCCTGTGGGTTTATAACTTTCATTAGTTGTTATTACTGAATCCTGAAGCTTCTGTGCCTGTGAAACGGATTGATCCCATATTTGTGTCTCTGACCGTGCGTCCCTCCTTGTCCACCCTCAGAGCCCAAGGCGGTGTTTGCGACGGAGCAGTCAGCTCATAATGAGGTGCAGGCTGAGGCGGGGGCCAGCGCTACCCTGAGCTGTGAGGTGGCCCAGGCCCAGACGGACGTGACGTGGTACAAGGATGGGAAGAAGCTGAGCTCCAGCTCAAAAGTGCACATGGAGGCCACGGGCTGCAGGCGGCAGCTGGTGGTGCAGCAGGCGGGCCAGGCGGACGCCGGGGAGTACAGCTGCGAGGCCGGGGGCCAGCGAGTCTCCTTCTGCTTGGATGTTTCAGGTCAGTGCTTTGTGGGTACTGACTTTGCCTTCTGCGGAGGTGACGATGAGACTGGCCGATAGACTCTGATGCTCTTCCCATTACCTTTACCTCTGTTGTTTCCTGTCCTCCCAATTTCTGTTTCATAACTGGTGTCAAGGGAGGCCAGATCGGAAGGGTGTATGCGGAGGGAGAGGGGCTCTTGTTGTGTACCTGGAGTGGTGTTTCCATGCAGTAATACCCAATCATACGTTCCCATCTTCTGCCTAGAACCTTGCTGGTCTTCCTTCGTGTCTCTATCAGCCAGGGCAGAGCCTGAGCCTGGGGAGGGTTCCGTCCCTCCCGCCTCCCTTCCAGTGCTGCCTTCCTGACTAGATGCTGGAGGTCACCCTGTGTACCCCCTGTCTTCCCCAGAGCCCAAGGCGGTGTTCGCCAAGGAGCAGCCGGCAAGCAGGGAGGTGCAGGCCCAGGCGGGGGCCGGCGCCACGCTGAGCTGCGAGGTGGCCCAGGCCCAGACGGAGGTGACGTGGTACAAGGATGGGAAGAAGCTGAGCGCCAGTTCGAGAGTGCGCGTGGAGGCCGCGGGCTGCTCGCGGAGGCTGGTGGTGCAGCAGGCGGGCCAGGCGGACGCCGGGGAGTACAGCTGTGAGGCCGGGGGCCAGAGGCTCTCCTTCCGCCTGCACGTGGCAGGTGGGTGCTCAGGAGCCTCTTCGCAGGTGGTGGTGGTTCTGGCTGGCAGCCCCAGCGGAGCTCTGTGCACTATCCTTCAGCCTTCGCATCTCGGGCTTCCCATCCTCCGGCTCCCATATCCATCCTCGAGGCTGGGCCAAGGGAGGGGTATGCACGGGAGGGAGAGGGGCTGTTCCTGCAAACCTGGTTGGTACTGCTCAGCCGCACATTCTAGCACCTGCCCAGAGCCTTCCTGGTGCTCCTTGGCATCTGGGTCTTCCTGGTCTTGGGTTCTGAGGTTGACCGGGCGTCTCTCCTGAGGCTCTGGGAGTGTCTTGTCAGTGTGTGTTCTGGCGGCTACCATTGCCCTCACCCCGCAGCACGTGCTAGTTCTGGTCAGCAAGAGATATTTTAATTTCATTGAACCTGGATTAGGGGAGATTTTGGCTACACCATCTATACTACTTAGATTTATCTCAAGAGTGAAGTTTGAATAATTTGATTTCATGTTTCTGGGACACCCTTCCTTTTCATAGATGTAGAAGCTCTTTGTGACCTATATGTAGCCAAATATAGGTGCGTATTTTGGTGTAATGTCTTTTTAAAGGGAAAAGGGATCGGAGGACTGGGAGATACTTGCCTGTGTTCCTTAGGAGTTTGTTTTGAAGCAAATAATGTTTGGCCTTTTTCTTCAGTTTGGTGGTTGCTCACTGTCAGAGTCCCTCTGGAGATGTGTTTATAAACTTAGGGATGGCAGGGTGCAGGCAGCTCCCACATCAGCATGCTTTATGAACAAGCCCAAGCCACTAACTAGTAAAGCGGTATTGTTTCCTAGCTTTGCCCTGTTGGTCAGTGTGTGTATCAGTCAGGCTTCTCCAGAGGAGCAGGACCGGTAGGATCGCTGTAACTGTGAAAGGGAGGTCACTACGGAGTGTTGGCGATGCCCCGTGATAGGCCATCTACAAGCTGAGGAGCAAGGAAGCCAGTCCAAGTCCCCAAATTTCAAAAGTGGGGAAGCCGAGAGTGCAGCCTTCAGCGTGCGGCTGAAGTTCCGAGAGCCCCTGGCGAACCACAGGTGTAGATCCAAGGGTCTAAAAGCTGAAGAACTTGGGGTCTATGTTCAAGGGCTGGAAGCGTCCTGTGTGGGAGAAAGATGGAGGCCGGGAGAGTCAGCCAGTCCGGTCCTTCCATGTTCCTCTGCCTGCTTGGATCCTGGCTGTGCTGGCAGCAGATTGGAAGGTGCCCATCAGACTGAGGGTGGGTCTGCCTCTGCCAGTGCTCTGACTCAAATGTTCTTCTCCTTTGGCAGCACCCTCACAGACACACTCAGGAACGATACTTTGCATCCTTCAATCCAGTCAAGTTGACGCTCAGTATTACCCATCATAAGTCCACCCCTTGTCAACTTGCACTCATACACAACTCCTGAGATCATACAGAATCTTCGCATAAAGACAGTAATAAGGTCATAATGACACGTAACATAATACAGCTGTCCTTCATACAAGCAGAAACGCACCCATCCCCAACCCAAATGCTGTTACGTGACGTTAACACTTAAATGCTGATATTAACTCAGTAAATGTTACAGCACAGGATAAAGGAAATAAAATGAAGGTTTTTTTAGTACAAGTGTATACTTACACAAACACGTTTTTAATAAAAGGAGGAAATGCTCGGTACAATGACCGTCCTCGGTTCTGCAGCTGGTCCCGTGGCCGTAGCTAGGTTTGGCGACTACGTTTTTCTACGCATTTGGTTTCCATTTGCCTTCCGCAAGCACCTCAGCTGGTCACGGTTTTTTTCCTGGTGGAGTGACCCACGTCTTCATTGCTGAAGGGTCTGGGCCATTGCAGTCCTGCCTGGATTGGGCTGCTGTGGCTTCCCACTGACCTTCATCGCAAGGCATGGTCATACTAAGAGATGCCCTAAGGGATCTCCTGTGTTCCCTGCGTATGCCTCCTGACCTCCGTTGCACAGTAGGAGACTGACTTTATCTTGATGATCCGGGTCAGTGACCCCAACCAACAACGTAACTCCTTTCTTAGCCTGTTGACTTAAAGGTAGGAGGAGCCCAAAGTGTTCAGGTGGCAATCTTGACTTCCAGTTTAATGGGATCATTGTCGTCTCTTCTGGTGGCAGATTCCTCCCTCTGCAGCTAAGACCTCTAGGCCAGCAGAACGTAGTGTCATGGGAACAGGAAGCAAAACTTTGCTGGTGGGTCACTGGGGGTGATGGTGAGCGGTGCCAATCCTACCCCTTGGTTCCTGGACCTGTGGACCTGGCTGTGGGAGAAACAGTATCCTATATTGCACATGGATTCGGCGCATACACAGCCTCTGGAGGACTTTGCCCCAGCCTTGCAAAGTAGTGTCACCTAGTTGGCGTTGGAATTGTGACTTCAAAAGGCCATTCCACTGTTCTGTCAATGCACCTGCCTCAGGATGGCAGGACCGTGGTAAGACCAGTGCGTTCCGTGAGCGTCAGCCACTGCCACACTTCTTTAGCCACAGAATCCCTTGGTCAGAGGCAGTGCTGTGTGCAGTACCATGACGGTGGATAAGGCATTCTGTGAGTCCAGGGATGGTAGTCTTGGCTGAAGTGTTGTGTGCAGGATAGGCAAACCCGTATCCAGAGTGTCTGTCTGTTCTGGTGAGAACAAACCGTTGCCCTTTCTATGATGAAAAAGTTCCCGTATAATCAACCTGCTGTCAAGTAGACGGCTGATCACGCTGAGGAATGGAGACGTATCCAGGGCTCACTGTCGGTCTCTGCAGCTGGCACATTGGGCACTCGGCAGTGGCTGTAGTCAGGGCCGCCTTGGCGGGTGGAAGTCCGTGTTGCTGGGCCCATGCGTGACCTCCAAACCTGCCAGCATGGCCACTTTGTTCCTGGGCCCACCGCGTGGTGACCGGGGTGGCTGGGGAAGGCGGCTGAGTGCCGTCCACAGAACGAGTCATCCTATCCGCTTGATCGTTGAAACCCTCCTCCGCCGAGGTCAGCCTTTGCTGAGCATTCACGCGAGATGCACATATCGTCAGTTTTTGATCACTCGCAGAGGTCCATCCACATACCTCTTCGCCAGTTTTCCAATCCAGCTGCTTCCAGCTCCCTGGCCATCCAGTGAGACCGTTGGCTACAGCCCATGAATCAGTGTATAATCACACGTCTGGCCGCTGCTTCTGCCAAGCAAAGTGCACGGTGAGGGGCACTGCCTGCGGCTCTGCCCACTGGGAAGCTTTCCCTTCACTGCCGTCCTTCAGGGACGTGTGCCCTTCAGAGGGGCTGTGGTGCTGCAGCTGCCCACTTCCGGGTGGTGCCTGCGTGCCGTGCAGAACCATCTGTGAACCAGGCCCTAAGTTTCTCTCCGTCTGTCCGCTGGTCCTAGGGGATGTCCCATGAGGCCGTTGGTGCAGGCTGGGGGAGAGAAGGCAGGCTGGCAGGAGTGGGGACCGTGGGCATTTGAGCCACTTCCTCTTGTAACTTACTTGTGCCTTCAGGACCTGCTTGAGCCTGATCACAGGTATGCCGCTTCCGTTTGATGATGGAACGCGGCTGTGCACGCCCAACTTGATGGGCAGATGGGTCAGAAAACACCCAGTTCTGATAGGCAGTCCAGGTCACATGGTGACTTGACCCACAGTCAAGTGTTCAGTTCCCACCAAAGCCCAGTAACAGGCCAAGAGCTGTCTCTCAAAAGAAGAGCAGTTATCTGCAGAAGATGGCAGGGTCTTGCTCCAAAAGCCTAGAGGCCTCCACTGCGGTTCACCTATGGGGGCTGCCAAAGGCTCCAGACAGCACCCTTAGCTGCCCCTGGCACCTCAGGCACCGTTGGATCTGCTGGGTCACATGGCCCAAGTGGCACAGCAGCCCGGACCTGGTGCAGAGCCTTCTCCTATTCTGGACCCAACTCAAAACTGGCAGCTTTTTGGGTCACTTCATAAATGGCCCAGAGTAACACACCCAAACAAGGAATGTGTTGCCTCCAAAATTTAAATAGGCCTTATGCCTCTTTCTGATTATAGGAGGGGCCAAATGTAGCAACTTATTCTTTACCTCAGAAGGAATATCTTGACAGGCCCCACGCCACTGGATTCCTAGAAATTTTACTGAGGTAGCAGGTCCCTGAATTGTGGTCAGATTTATTCCCTATCGTCTTGACTGCAAATGTCTTACCAGTAAGTCCAGTGTGTTTGCTGCTGTCTGTCTGTGCTCCCTTGGCTGGTACATAGGGAAGCCTGAGAAATACAATTAATTTTCTGGGTTTTTTGTTTTGTTTTGTTTTGGTTTGGTTTTTTTTTTTTTTAGAGAGTATTGATGCCAAATAGGGGTGGGCTGAAGTCCCATAGTGACCTCTGAGTGCTAACACTAACGTTTGGTGTTACGTGGATGTGTATAGATAGCAGAAATCTCACCATATATTTTTGTTATTTTCGGAGAATAAGACAAAATATTTTAAGTAATAAATTTAAAAAGTTGTGGCAATGTGGCTCATTCCTAGTAGACTACATGGAAACTCACGCGAGAGGATACAGAAAACGTAAATAGTCCTGTAAGTTTTAAATAGATGGAGGCAGTAATAAAAAAAAAACTTTAAAACCCAATAATTTTCTTTTCTTTTTTTTTTTTTTTTGAGACAGAGTTTCACTCTTGTTACCCAGGCTGGAGCACAATGGCGCGATCTCGGCTCACTGCAACCTCCGCCTCCTGGGTTCAGGCAATTCTCCTGCCTCAGCCTCCTGAGTAGCTGGGATTACAGGCACGCACCACCACGCCCAGCTAATTTTTTGTATTTTTAGTAGAGACGGGGTTTCACCATGTTGACCAGGATGGTCTTGATCTCTTGACCTCGTGATCCACCCGCCTCAGCCTCCCAAAGTGCTGGGATTACAGGCTTGAGCCACCGCGCCCGGCCAAAACCCAACAATTTTCTAGTAAACTGTTTCAAATATTCTGGAAAGCAGTTATTCCATATTCATGGATATTGTTCTAGAGAACAGAAAAAGGAGATTTGACTCTGTATGCCATTTTATGTATGTATATATATATTTTTTGAGACAGGTCCTCACTCTGTTGCCCAGGCTGGATTGCAGTGGCATGATCTCAGCTCACTGCAGACACCGCCTCCTGGGTTCAAGTGATTCTCCCACCTCAGCCTCCCGAGTAGCTGGGATTACAGGCATGCGCCACCACCAAAAAGTAGCACATGCACCAGCTATTTTTTGCATTTTTTTTCAGCAGGGATGGAGTTTTGCCATTTTGCCTAGGCTAGTCTCAAACTTCTGGGCTCAAGCTATCCACCCGCCTCAGCCTCCCACAGTGCTGGGATTACAGGTGTGAGCCGCCGTGCCCAGGCTGTCATTTTAAATAGACAGGGTGACATTAATAGCGAAATCTGACAAAGGAAGTAGGAAGAATTAGATTGTAGACCAATCTGTATGGGTTTGTCATTATTGATATCAAGAACACAATTATAAACAAAGCATTAGCAAATGGAATTCAGCAATATATCAGTAAGATAATGCACGCTGTTGAAGATCCTGGTCCCAGAATGCAAGGCTGGTTTGTCTTAGCATTAGATCAGTATTGTAAGCTTGACAGATTGAATGAAAAATGATGTAATTGATAAATGCAGATAAAAGTATTTGATAAAATCTAGAAGACACATTTGAGAAAATTTAGCATCAACTCATTTCGTAAGATTCTTAACAAACTTTATAGAAGTGTTCTTCCTGAATTTGATAAATTAAGGCTGATTTGGCTTTAGAACTAAGGCATATCCGTGAGGGTAGCAGTGCAGACATCAGGACCCCAGTCCCTGCCCTGGAGGAGCTTGTGCAGAGGGTCTGTCTTAGCTGCCCCGCCTGGGGCAGCCCATGGCTCCATGCGCAGTGGATGGAGAAACTGATTCTTGTGCTGGGGGTGGCAGGGCTTGTCCTGGCCACACGGCAGTGCAGAGCCTGAGGAAGGTTTTGTTTCTATTCCCTCGTCCAGGCCCTCCTACCCTCTGGTGGTCTTCCTGACCTAGAGTGTATCTTTGACCTCATGTGTCCTTCCTTGTCCATCCCAGAGCCCAAGGCGGTGTTTGCCAAGGAGCAGCCGGCACGCAGGGAGGTGCAGGCCGAGGCGGGGGCCGGCGCCACGCTGAGCTGCGAGGTGGCCCAGGCCCAGACGGAGGTGACATGGTACAAGGACGGGAAGAAGCTGAGCGCCAGCTCGAGAGTGCGTGTGGAGGCCGCGGGCTGCACGCGGAGGCTGGTGGTGCAGCAGGTGGGCCAGGCGGACGCTGGGGAGTACAGCTGCGAGGCCGGGGGCCAGAGGCTCTCCTTCCGCCTGCACGTGGCAGGTCAGTGCTTTGGGGACGCTGAGTGACCTTGTGTAGAGGTGTGATGAGACTGGTGGATGACCCCACAGCTCCCAGTGCCCTTGTCCATGAGACTCTACCTCTCCACTTCTCCATGCCCTCTCCTCCTAGTTTTATGCCCATGCTGTGCCAGGCTGGGCTGGACAGGAGGGTGCGGGAAGGGCCAGGCCTGCGGTGCACCTGGAGTGGCATTCCCATTCTCAACCTCATCGCACTGAGCCCTGCCCCCAAACCCCCGTGCTCTTTGGTGTCCAGGTCCCTGGCACTGTCTAGCCCTGTGGTCTGAGGTGGACCAGGCGTCACCCCTGGGAATGTGGGGATGTCCTTTCTATCCGGCAGCTCCCACCTGCCTCCCTTCAGCACCACATGGGGCTTCTCACCCGTGAGAGATGTTTGAATCCATATGAATCATGTAAGAGGAAGTTCCGGCCATGCAGTCCCAGCTGGAATTCTCGCCAGACTGAACTTTGGGGCGTCAAAGTTGCTGGTGTTGAAGAAGGCTCTTTCCTTCTTTTTCTCGAATCTAGAAGCTTTAGAAGCTCACGGTGCACCCATATGTGGCAAAATCTCTGTCCGTATTTTCTTGCAGTGTCTGTGCAAAAAAATTGCAGCCAAGAGAGCTGGTGTCTGTGCTCCTGGGGCCCAGCTGGAAGATTCCAAGTGCTCTTCTTGAGGCAAATCTGGCTTTTCTTTTGTCTCCAGTTTCAACCTTCTGAGGCAGAATTCCTTTTTGGAGTCTGATTTATGGATTTAGCAGTGGAAAGGAAGAAAGAGCTTAAGCTGTCTCAGCACACCATTTAAGAGAGTCTGGGCTGGACATAGGGACTCATGCCTTTTGTATTCCCAGCGCTTTGGGAGGACAAGGCAGGAGGATTACCTGAGCCCAGGAGTTCCAGGCTGCAGTGAGCTGTGGTCATCACACCACTGCACTCCAGTGTGGGCAACAGTGAGACCCTATTTCTGGAAAAAAAAAACAAAAAACAATAAAAAGGATAACTGTCAGAGAGAAAAACGTTGTGGTACTACATTGACTCCCAAATGCCAACACATGACAGCTTGGCATTCTATCTGTATAAAATTATTAAAAAGCCCACTATGTATCTTTCTAAAATATTGTGTTAAGAAAGTATGATAAATTATTTAAAGGTAATAAGTTTTCCAAGTTTTGGAGAATTACCAATTTCTTAAACTATGTGAAAAAGTTACACAAGAAGAAACAGACAACTCAGATAGTCCTATAGTTTTTAATTAAGTGGAACCAGTGATAAAAAACATTTTTATGAAAGGTCTAAGGCCAGCGGATCTATTGATAAATTATATCCAATATTCTCAAAGCAAATTGCTTCATGTTCTTAGAGATCCTTCCAGAGAACAGAATGAGAAGATACACTCTTGAACCTGTTTTATGTGGATAGCATAACACAGATACCAATGTGACAAGAACAGTATAAGGATTTGAAATTACAGGCCAATTCTTACGGATATCCAGGCCAATGCTTCAACAAAATATTTTCTGTTTGACATGGAGTCTTGCTCTTGCACCAGGCTGGAGTGTAGTGGCACGATCTCAGCTCACCACAACCTTCGCCTCCCAGGTTCAAGCGATTCTCCTGCCTCAGCCTCCTGAGTAGTTGGGACTACAGGCACACGTTCACACCCAGCCAATTTTTGTATTTTTAGTAGAGATGGGGTTTCACTGTGTTGGCCAGAATGGTCTCGATCTCTTGACCTCATGATCTGCCCGCCTCAGCCTCCCAAAGTGCTGGGATTGCAGGCGTGAGCAATATATTTTCAAAGTGGTATGACCAGCATGTCAAAAGGAAAGTGCACTACGAGAAAAGACATAGTTTAGAAATGCAACATTGGTTCAATATTCAAAACATGAGAAAATGTCCTGTGACATTAACAGATTGAAAAACAGTGAGATTATCTCAATAAATGCAGAAGAAAAGTTTGATAAAATTTAACATCACAAATTCTGAATAGCTGTTTGACATTTAGTATCAGGACTGGCTCAGTGCCCCATGCCTGTAATCCCAGCACTTTCAGAGGCTGAGGCAGAAGGATCCCTCAAGTTCAGGCATTTGAGACCAGCCTCCCAGGCAGCAGGGACCACTGGAACCTGCCACCATTCTGCAGGGCGCCCTGGCAGTGTGACAGATCCTCCATGCAGAATGGTTGGAGAAACTGTTCCCGTGCTGGGAGGTGGTGGTACGGAGCCTGGACAGCGTCTGTCCCTCGCACTTCCCCTTCTAGGCCTTCTTTCCCCAGTGCTGCCTTCCTGACCTAGATGTTGGAGGTCACCCTGTGCACCCCTGTCTTCCCCAGAGCCCAAGATGGTGTTTGCCAAGGAGCAGCCGGCACGGAGGGAGGTGCAGGCCGAGGAGGGGGCCGGTGCCACCCTGAGCTGCGAGGTGGCCCAGGCCCAGACGGAGGTGACGTGGTACAAGGACGGGAAGAAGCTGAGTGCCAGCTCGAGAGTGCGCGTGGAGGCCGCGGGCTGCACGCGGAGGCTGGTGGTGCAGCAGGCGGGCCAGGCGGACACCGGGGAGTACAGCTGCGAGGCCGGGGGCCAGAGGCTCTCCTTCCGCCTGCACGTGGCAGGTCAGTGCTTTGGGGACACTGAGTTACCTTGTGTGGAGGTGATGATGAGATTGCTGATAGACCCCAGTACTCTTTCCATTGGAGTTCATCCCTGGAAGTCTCTCATGATTCTACCTGCCGTTTTCCCACCCATGGCTGGGCCAAGGTTGGCTGGATGGGACGAATGTGTACAAGAGATACTGTGAGTTGTGTTTCCAGGCAGTAACGCTGTTTACAAATTCCCAGCCCCTGGTGAGCACCCACAGGTGCTCCTAGGCGTCCAGCCCTTTGGCTCAAAGGAACTGAGGGGGCTGCTGCAGGGGGCTGAAGCAGACCAGATACCTGTCACCTGAGGCCATCCAATAACTTGCACCCAGCCTCCCCAGCCCGACCTGCGGGCTCTCCCTATGGAGATGGTTGAATTCCACTGAACCAGGATAAGGGCGCATTTCAGCCACACAATCGTTCTTGGAATTAGCTCATGCTTGGACTTCGGATTATCCAAGTTTTAGGTGTTCAGGGACCCTCTTCTCAAATTTCTTATGGACATAAAAGGTCTCTGTGCACCTGCATGTGGCAAAACAATATCCTGTGTTTTTTCTGTTTTGTTTTTGAGACAGTCTGTCACCCAGGCTGGAGTGCAGTGGCATGATCTCAGCTCGCTGAAACCTTTGCCTCCCGGGTTCAAGCATTTCTCCTGCCTGAGCCTCCTGAGTAACCGAGATTACAGGCACCTGCCACCACACCTGGCTAATTTTTGTGTTTTCAGTAGAGATGGGGTTTCACCATGTTGGACAGGCTGGGCTCAAACTTCTGGCTTCAAGTGATCCGCCCGCCTCAGCCTCCCAAAGTGCTGGGATTGCAGGCCTGAGCCATGTGCCCAGCTGGTTTTTATTGTACTGCCCGCAGAGTAAGTAGAGCTGGGAATCGGTGGATCTGTGCTGCAGTGCCCCACTGTGAGGTTCGACATTCTCTTCCAAAAGCCTATGTTGTTTTTATATACTCTTATGTCAGTACATTCTGTGACTGAACTTCCCTCAGTTTAATTTCGTGTATTTAAAACTGAAGAGGAATAAATAGATCAAGCTACATCAGCACACATTTTAAAGGTGAGTTAGCATACAGCAGCCGCTGGCAGGTAAAGCAGATGTGTTTCATACTGTTGTCTAACAATTCATGGCTGATTGATGAAGCCTGACAACCAGCTCTGCGTTCCTTTTGTCAGTGGGAGATGGAGTGCAGTCACACCCTTGTTCATAGGTGCTGACACTTAACACTGCTGTCCATCAGTAGCTAGAAGTTTGTGGGGGGTATATGGATGCCAAAAATCCCACTTTGTGGGTACTTGAAATGTTGTTATATGAGAACATGTCATTATTACTGTTATTTTGAAACGGAGTCTCCCTCCGTCACCCAGACTGGAGTGCAGTGTGTGATCTCGGCTCACTGCAACCTCTGCCTCCTGGGTTCGAGCAATTCTCCTGCCGCAGCCTCCTGAGCAGCTGGGACTACAGGTGGACACCACCACACCTGGCTTTTTTTTTTTTTTTTTTTTTTTTGCATTTTTAGTGGAGATGGGGTTTCATTATGTTGGCCAGGCTGGTCTCAGCCTCCTGACCTCAAGTGATCTGCCCACCTCAGCCTCCCAAAGTGGTTGGATTACAGGCATGAGCCACCATGCCTGACCCTATTATTTATGCAAGTAAATTTGAAAAGTTTTGGCCAAAACTTTTGAAAAAACTATATTAAAAGTAGAAATAGATAAGTTTAACAGTCCTATAACCTTTTGTATAAATGCAACAAATAATCTTCTCATAGAATAGTGTCTACCCAGTGCTCTAAACTGTACCAGATATTCTGGAAAGAAATTATTCCATGTTCGTAGATGTTCCTCTATAGTATTGAAAAAGGACGTCAGTCCTCTATCTCATTTTATATAGGTAAATATCATTAATACCAAACTCTGACAGGGTGAATATGAGGAATTAAAATTGGCCAGTCTCTTATCAATATCAAGGCTCGTATCTTAAACTAAAATATTAGCACCCTGAATTCACCAGTTTATCAAGAGGATAATACACAATGATAAAAGTCTTAGTCCAGGAATGCAAGGCTGGTTTAACATGAGAAACATTAGAAAATCAGTACAAAATATGATATTAACAGATTGAAAGAAAAACAAATGTGATTACCTCAATATGGAGTCTAAAAGTATTTGATAAAATACAACATCATAAATATGCAAAAAATATCTGGAAAAATTTAGCATCAATTCATGTCATACAGTTCTTACCAAACTCTAAATAAAAACATTTTTCCTTAATTTCACAAGTGATACTGTAGAGAAAATAAGCTAACATTACACAAATGTGAAACCTTCAAAGTGTCGCCTTTGAGGTTGGAAACGGGACAAGGATGCCATCCATCACCACTTCTTCCAACACTGTACAGTACAGAGAAGAGAAAAAGGCAGCCCAAGGTGCGAGGCGTGGAAAGTAAAACGCGCACCTCACAGATGATACGGTTATTAGTTTAGAAAGTCCAAAAAAACTAATTATTAGTAAGAGATTTGGGAATGGTTACCACATAAAAAATCAATATCCAGAAAACACTTCTACATCTATGTACCAGAAACAAGCAGAGGGAAAATCGCGTTTTCGGAGATTTCCATTACCATCCGAGGTCTTGTGGTGACCAGTTGCCAGCCTAATAAAAGGTCTTTAAATGGCTTGTGGGGAAACATTGTTAAATGTTGTTGAGAGAGGGTGACGGCGGTGGCAGACGTGGAAGTGTGCATCCCGGTGAGCGCAGTTCTGTTGGGTGGGGGCGTACTGGAGGTGCGTAGCAAAGGCCAAGCAGAGCCAAGCCGCCCTTGAAGAATGCAGCGCGAGGGCCTTTGCTCTGCCAGACAGGAGGCTGTCCTCTAAAGCGGAGGCGATTCGGTCGCCTGGGCCCAAAGGCAGGAGGAAATGAACAGACCGGAATAATTGAATACTGAGCTCAAAAGTGCTTGATGGAACCAGATTCCTCCTCCCTTTCCTTATTTTTCACCCTGGTGCAAGGGGGAGGTGTAGAGGAAGGGTGACCTTTTCACAAATGGTGCTAAGACGATTGTTTGCAAAAGTAAAAATACTGAGTGTCTACCTCCCTGGGCAAGAAATCAGCTCAGTGTGTGGGTAGAGCAGCTCTCACCAGGTAATAGAGATTGGTCAGTGACTTCTGGGTAAGGGAAGAGGTCCTGAGCGGAACGTGAATGCACGAGCCACACAGGACGAATGATGCATTTGCCTGAAATAAGACTGATCACTTCATTTCATTAGAAGACCCTCATGCAGAAGTGACAGGGCAAGGCACAGAGATGGAGACGGTGTTTGTAACAGCATTTAATTATATGAAGTTCCTAAAACTAAATATGTGAAAGACAGTGCTATTGAAAATTGGGGTTGGGTGTGGTGGCACATGCCTGTAACCCACGTGCTGTGGGAGGCCAAGGCAGGAGGATTGCTTGAGCCCAGCCTGGGCAACATAGTGAGACCCTGCCTCTAAAAAATAAAAGAGCTAGGCATGGTGGTGCATGCCTGTAGTCCCAGCTCCTCGGGAGGCTGAGGCGGGAGGGTGTGTTGAGCCTGAGGATAGAGGCTGCAGTGAGCTGTGATCACGCCAGTGCACTCCAGCATGGGCGACAGAGCAAGACCCTGTATATAAAAAAAAAAAAAAAAAAAAAAAAAAAAAAAAAAAATTGGCAAAACACTTTAAGGGTGACACCACAGAAGAGCAAAGACCCCATCCCAAACCATCAGAAGGCACCCAGCTTGACGGTGCTCCCAGCAGGGCCACAGGAAGCCACGGGAGGCTCCATAGAGGCCAGCGCTGACCCTCCTGAGAGTGGCAGGAGTGGGAGCCTCAGACTCTGGGGCCCTGCGGTGAGGACGCGCCTGCACAGTCCCGTGGGGAGACCCTGGCACATCCCACATGAGGGGAGCTGTGCAGGCGTCAGGACCCCACTCCCTGCCCTGGAGGGTCTGTCATGGCGGCCCTGCCTGGGATGACAGCCCATGGCCACATGCAGAATGGATGGGGAAACTGTTCCTTGTGCTGGGAGGGGGTGAGGCTTCTCCCAACTACACACCAGGGCAGAGCCTGAGCCTGGGGAGGGTTCCGTCCCTCCCGCCTCCCTTCCAGTGCTGCCTTCCTGACTAGATGCTGGAGGTCACCCTGTGCACCCCTGTCTTCCCCAGAGCCCAAGGTGGTGTTTGCCAAGGAGCAGCCGGCACGCAGGGAGGTGCAGGCCGAGGCGGGGGCCGGCGCCACGCTGAGCTGCGAGGTGGCCCAGGCCCAGACGGAGGTGACGTGGTACAAGGACGGGAAGAAGCTGAGCGCCAGCTCGAAAGTGCACGTGGAGGCCGCGGGCTGCACGCGGAGGCTGGTGGTGCAGCAGGCGGGCCAGGCGGATGCCGGGGAGTACAGCTGCGAGGCCGGGGGCCAGAGGCTCTCCTTCCGCCTGCACGTGACAGGTCAGTGCTTTGGGGACGCTGCTCTGACCGGAGTAGAGCCGCTGCTGACCCGGTGGGCTCTCCGTTAGACGCCGCCCCTCGTTCTCACATCCTCTCACCTCCTACTCTCTGCCTGTGGCGGAGCTGGGCTGCTGGGTGGGAAGGGAGTGGGTGGAAGGGTCAGAGCCCTCCTTGTCCGTGTTAGGTGCTGTTCCTGTGCAGACATGCTGGGTCACATTTCCTAGCACCTCGGAATCACCAATGTCCCAAGGTGTCCGGGACTCTGGTCCTATCTAACACATGAGATGGAGGTAGGCCAGGTGTCCCTCCCTCAGGGATGTTCTTGCAGTCCCTGCATGGCCTCATCTGGCCCCACATGAGGGCTCTCCCTGTGGAGAGAGATTTGACTTCGTTGAGCCAGGGTGTAGAGAAATTCCAGCCACACAGTCTTACTTGGAATTACATCAGCACTGAACACTGGGCTCCCAAAGTTTTCAGTGTTGTGGGACACACTTCTGTCCTCCTCTGTGGTTGTAGAAGCCCGGTCTGAGCTTCACTAAAACCCAGGTCCACAGAGTCAGTGTGTAAACGAGTGAAGTGCAGAGCCACAGAGTGTGTGCAGACCCATGGTGTTAGTAAACAAGTGACATGCAGACCCACGGCGTTAGCGCGTGGACAGGTGGGGCACAGACCCATGGCGTTAGTGTGTGGACGGGTGGGGCGCAGGCCCACGGTGTTAGGGTGTGGACGGGTGGGGCACAGTCACACGTGGGGAGGATTAAGTGACGGTGGTGGTGGCCGCGGACTGGGGAGGCTGTATCACGTCATCCTGTTTCCCTGGTGTGTCCTGTGCCTGTCCTCTCCGCTGATTCACGGAAGTCTGAGAACATCCTTCCTGGTGTTTGTTAGGAGAGCCTAGTTTCAGACTCCAGCCTGAGCCCCAAGTGCCACCACGTAACCGTTGGTGTTGTAGATGTCTGTAACGGCTTACAGATGTGTACAGTTACCAAAAAACTCACTGCAAGTCCATTTCAAAAGGTTAACAAATTATCTAATTTCTAGAAGACCAAAACCAGTCAGGGAACAGATAACCTATGAGCAGTTACCTACTGCTACTGAAGTTACCTGCAGTTACCACGACCTAGTAAAAACCCGAACCAGTAGCAAAAAATCTCTAGCAAACAATACCTGAACCAGGTGGCCCTGCGGAGAAATTCTTCCAAACATGCTGGCCAGAAATTCTTCCACGTTCACGGAAATTCTTCTGGAGAATGGCAAAGGGAGGAAACACCCTCTCGTGCATTCTGTGCGGGTAGATGGCTTCCCGCCACAACTAAAATCTGGCCGGAAAGCAGGAAGATTGCGTATCATAGGTCAAAGAATCATGGAGATCGTGGCCATTTTGTTGAACAACATCTTAGCAAACTGAATGCAGCAGTACACGCAGACAGTTGTACAAGATGATAAAATTCATAGTGTAGGAATGAGGGCTGATTTCATGTTAAAAGCATTAGATAACCATGATACATGGTTGAAATTAAAAAACAATGCCATTGTCTTAAACGTAGAATAAAGTACCGCATTGATGAAATTGAACCTTATATATTCAGAAGAAGTATCTGGCAAAATTTAGCATCCATCATGCCATAAAATTCTTAACAAAGTATAAACAAAAGGGTGGTTCCCCCTTAATTTGACGCAGGGTGTGACTCTGTAAGCTTTGCCTCTGAGCCAGGGAACAGCACGAGAAGCCAGCGGCCAGCACTTCCACCCAGCATGGGGCAGCAAAGTCAGGAGGAAAGTTGCATGAAAAAGGTGAATCGGGCCGGGCGCGGTGGCTCAAGCCTGTAATCCCGGCACTTTGGGAGGCCGAGGCAGGTGGATCTCGAGGTCAAGAGATCGAGACCATCCTGGCCAACATGGTGAAACCCCGTCTCTACTAAAACTATAAAAATTAGCTGGGCATGGTGGCGCGTGCCTGTAATCCCAGCTATTCAGGAGGCTGAGGCAGGAGAATTGCCTGAACCCAGGAGGCGGAGGTTGCGGTGAGCCGAGATCGCGCCATTGCTCTCCAGCCTGGCGCCTGGTGACAGAGTGAGACTCTGTCTCAAAAAAAAAAAGGGGAAAAAAAGAAAAAGGTGAATCAGCGGAAGATATGGTTTACCCAGAGGATAAATTATCAGAGAGCTGAGAAAGATCAGCCCTTGCAAGATCTGTGTGAAGAAACTTTTCTGCATGTAGACGGGCAGCAAGCAGTTGGGAAATGAAGACGTGAGACAGACAGACTTTCAAAGGCATCGCATTTATGATCCCGGGCTGGTAAAAGGTGTCCAGAGGCTCACGGCGAAGCTATGAAACACTTTTGAGAGACATCAAGCTCTAAAGTGGACAGGAGGCATGGAGGAATGAAAGGTGTTCAGTCTCAACAGCCAAACGGACGTGGTTTTGGGGGGTGCGAGGTTGAAAAAGGACAAGTAGATTTAGTGGCTGTGCACAAGCTCGAGGAAGAGCCAGCCTGCAGGCACCCCAGTCCCTGCCCTGGAGAAGCTGGTGCACAGAGGGTCTGTCTCAGCTGCCCTGCCTGGGGCGGCCCATGGCGAGTGCACAGTGGACGGAGAAACTGATTCTTGTGTTGGGGGCGGCGGGCATTGTTCTGGCCACGTGGCAGTGCAGAGCCTGAGGAAGGTTCTGTTCCTCCTCCTCCCTGGTCCAGGCCCTCCTACCCTCGGGTGGTCTTCCTGACCTGGGCCGTATCTTTGACCTCATGTGTCCTTCCTTGTCCATCCCAGAGCCCAAGGCGGTGTTTGCCAAGGAGCAGCCGGCACGCAGGGAGGTGCAGGCCGAGGCGGGGGTCAGCGCCACGCTGAGCTGCGAGGTGGCACAGGCCCAGACGGAGGTGACGTGGTACAAGGACGGGAAGAAGCTGAGCGCCAGCTCGAGAGTGCGTGTGGAGGCCGCGGGCTGCACGCGGAGGCTGGTGGTGCAGCAGACGGGCCAGGCGGACGCCGGGGAGTACAGCTGCGAGGCCGGGGGCCAGAGGCTCTCCTTCCGCCTGCACGTGGCAGGTCAGTGCTTTGGGATGGCTAATCCCTCTCACCCGGAGCTGATGGCCACACTACATGGCCCCTGAGATCCTGGATGGTGGCTGATGGTGCTTAGGACTGCACTGGGCCGTCCTTGAAGAGCAGTGGGCATCAGGAGTGCCAGGTGGCATGAGGGTGGCCCTGATGGGCGGCGGGGCTGGTCAGGGATGCCAGGGTCCCCTCTCATGCCAACTCACCTCTTACCCAGAGCCGGAGCCCCTAATTTCAGAGAGATCTGGCCGCAGGGAGCCTCTGGTGGTCAAGGAGCATGAGGACATTGTGCTGACTGCCACACTGGCCACACCGTCTGTGGCTGCGGTGACTTGGCTCAAGGATGGCGTGGAGATTCGCCGCAGTAAGCGGCACGAGACAGCCAGCCAGGGGAACAGCCACACCCTGACCGTGCGTGGCGCCCAGCTTGCTGGACAGCGCGGTCTACAGTTGCCGCGTGGGCACAGAGGGGCAGGACATCCCCGTGCAGGTGGAAGGTGAGCCGGGCACGGGGCGGTGACACCTCCAGACCCCTCTGTCCCAGAGCTGGGCAGGGGCCAAGCTGGGTCTGTGCAGAGCCTGGCTGACGTCCCCTTCCCGCCCACAGAGGTGGCTGCCAGGTTCTGCCGGCCGCTGGAGCCCGTGTCTGGTGAGCTGGGCGGTGCGGTGACGCTGGCCTGCGAGCTGAGCCCGGCGTGTGCAGAGGTGGTGTGGCGCTGCGGCAGCACGCAGCTTCGGGCGGGCAAGCGCTTCCAGATGGCGTCCGAGGGGCCCGTGCGCTCGCTCACTGTGTCTGGGCTGCGTGCAGAGGACGCCGGGGAGTACGTGTGCGAGAGTCGTGATGACCGCACCAGTGCGCAGCTCACCGTCAGCGGTATGTGCGGGGCCGGTGTCCCTATCCAGGGTGGCTTCCTGGAGGAGGTGGCCGTTGGCACTCCCGCAGCGTGGGGGCTGTGCTGGTCCCGTGCGCCTGCCTCTTAAGCAGCCATCCCGTCCGCAGTGCCCCGAGTGGCGAAGTTCACATCCGGGCTGAGCGCCGTGGTCGCGGCGGAGGGCCGCGAGGCCACCTTCCAGTGTGTGGTGTCCCCCAGTGACGTGGCAGTCGTGTGGTTCCGGGACGGTGCCCTGCTGCAGCCCAGCGAGAAGTTTGCCATATCACAGAGTGGCGCCAGCCACAGCCTGACCATCGCGAGCCTGGCGCTGGAGGATGCAGGCCAGATCACCGTGGAGGCGGAAGGTGCCTCGTCCTCAGCTGCCCTGAGGGTCCGAGGTGAGCGGAGCGGGTGGCAGGACCTGCCTGGCTGGCTCGGGCTCCTGGCACAGGCACCTCCCCCATGGACTGGTCCTGCATGGGCACCTGGCAGTGCTGTCCTGAGTCTGGCTGGTCTGGCTGACCTCAGGGGCCACGGGATGTGTGGGCTGCAGAGAGGAGACTCAGTAGGTTGGATGGACGAAGTGTCTTCTCTGGGTATAGAGAAGATACAATCCTGCAGGTGCACCTGGTGGGGAATGGGTGGAGGTTGAGGCAATCCAGGAAGGCTTTCTGGAGGAGGTGGGTTCATGCTTAGCCTGAAGGATGGCAGGGGAGAGAGAGAGGGGTTAGCAGCAGTGCAGGCAGTGACATGAGCTTCCCATGCAGCTAAAGCCAGCAGCCAGAACTTGCCCTGAAGGGAAGTGGGAGTCATGGCAGGTTCTGGGGCAAAGCAGTTTTACAGCGGGTTCACCTTTGTGGTGTTCACGAGCGGCCTGAGGCAGAGAGGCCCGCGGGCACTTCTGTAACCCGCGCAGGAGTGCTGGGGCTTTGCCAACGCCGCCGCACCCGGTGGGGGCCGTGCCTGGGAGTTCGGGGGACCCCGGCCTGGCCTCTTGTTCGGAGCAGGGGGGCTGGAGGTGGGAGCGGGGCTGAGGGAAGCGTCTCTGTTTCCTCGCCCGGTCTGCTCCCCAGTGTGGCCAGGGCCGCGCCCAGCTTGGACGGGGACCTGGGTGGGTGGGCACTGGGCCTGAGGGAGCTGGGCGGGCGCTCCGTACCCTGGCTTGCCCGCGGACGAGGGCCAGGGCCGCCGTGACCTCCCTTCTCTCGCGGCTCCAGAGGCGCCCGTGCTGTTCAGGAGGAAGCTGGAGCCGCAGACGGTGGAGGAGCGGAGCTCAGTGACCCTGGAGGTGGAGCTGACGCGGCCCTGGCCCGAGCTGAGGTGGACGCGGAACGCCGTGGCCCTGGCACCGGGAAAGAACGTGGAGATCCACGCCGAGGGCGCCCGCCACCGCCTGGTTCTGCACGACGTGGGTTTTGCCGACCGCGGCTTCTTTGGCTGCGAGACCCCTGACGACAAGACGCAGGCCAAACTCACGGTGGAGAGTGAGCGCGGGCGGCAGTGGCGGGGGAGGGAGGGGAGGAGGGAGGAGCAAGGCTGGGCACCGAGGGCAGGAGGGAGAAGGGGCACTGAGGGAGGGGGCGGGCCTGTGGGCAGGTCCTAAGGGTGGGGGAGGGGTAGGCCTGCCACGGGAAGGGTGAGCCTGGGGGTGCTGCCAGGTTCCTCCCTGAGCTCCTGGGGAAGGCGACTGTGCCCGGGGGCTCAGAGGTGAGGGGCTCGGAGCAGTGGCCGACCCACGCCCCACGTGTGCCCGGCAGTGCGTCAGGTACGGCTGGTCCGGGGCCTGCAGGCAGTGGAAGCACAGGAGCAGGGCACAGCTACCATGGAGGTAGAGCTGTCGCACGCGGACGTGGAGGGCAGCTGGACTCGAGACGGTCTGCGGCTCCAGCAGGGGCCCACGTGCCACCTGGCTGTGCGGGGCCCCACGCACACCCTCACGCTCTCTGGGCTGCGGCCCGAGGACAGTGGCCTTGTGGTCTTCAAGGCAGAAGGCGTGCACACGTCGGCACAGCTCTCGGTCACCGGTGCGTGGGGGAGCCGGCGGGACACAGTGCGGAGCACGCCCGCCTGTCCCAAGGGGGCCCTGGGGAGGCCGGTGGGGACTGTGAGGACCTGGATGAGCCAGCCCCATATGATTCAGTCCAGCTCGTGCCCCGCCCCACACCTGTCCCCGCCCCCGCCCTGTCCCCGTCCCCACCCTGAGGGCTCCTCCCAGCCCTTTTTCTCCTCTCCCCTCCCGCTTCCGCCTCCCCAGAGCTGCCCGTGAGCTTCAGCCGCCCGCTGCAGGACGTGGTGACCACCGAGAAGGAGAAGGTCACCCTGGAGTGCGAGCTGTCTCGGCCTAATGTGGATGTGCGCTGGCTGAAGGTGCCTCTCCGCCCCCCGCCGCCCAACTCCGTTGCCTCTTCCCCTCCCCTCCCGTGGGTGGGCCCGAGTGGAACCCCGGGACTGAGCCACCTGAGCGCCTGACGGGGCCTCTCTGCTCCTCAGGACGGTGTGGAGCTGCGGGCTGGCAAGACAGTGGGCATCGCGGCCCAGGGTGCCTGCAGGAGCCTCACTATTTACCGGTGCGAGTTCACAGATCAGGGCGTGTATGTGTGTGATGCCCACGACGCCCAGAGCTCCGCCTCCCTGAAGGTGCAAGGTGAGAGCTGCATGGGGCACGTGGGGCATGGCACGTGGGGCATGGCACATGGGGCGTGGCAGGTGTGGGCAGCTCCTCCTGTCCTCCATGGTCCCCAGCCGGTGGCTTGGCCGCTCTGCTTCCATCCTCACGACCCTCAGCGTGCCGGGGCACTGGGTGGGGTGCACCAGGCAGGGGCTGCTGGGAGCGGCTCTGTGCATCTGGAGGTGACTGGCGGGGCCTCCCTTGCCACCCCAGGCCGCAGCATCCAGATCGTGAGGCCCGTGGAGGATGTGGAGGTGATGGAGAAGGAGGGTGCCACCTTCTCCTGCGAGGTCTCCCACGACGACGTGCCTGGCCAGTGGTTCCGGGAGGGCAGCAAACTTCGTCCCAGCGAGAACGTGCGCATCCGTCAGGAAGGTGTGAGGGCGGCGGCTGCGGTGGCGTGGCCCGGCCCGGGTCCTCCTCTGCCCTGCCTGTGCTGAGCAGCCCTTGTCCCCAGGAAGGACATACACGCTCATCTACCGGAGGGTCCTGGCAGAAGATGCAGGAGAGATCAAATTTGTAGCTGAAAATGCAGAATCCCGAGCCCAGCTCCGAGTGAAGGGTGAGGCAGGGGCTGAGGGGAGGGCGGGGCCTGGATGGTGTGTGTGTCTGTGGTCAGCTGGCTCAGCTCCGGCCCGGATGCCCCAGGCTGGCTCTCAGGACCGGGACAGCAAGGACTCAGGAGGAGGGAAGGGGTGTCACCTCCTTGGCAGGAAAATGAGGGCCGGAGAAGCAGCCATGAGGGGATTCTTGCTTAAAACCGGGGTCCTGATGAATTCTCCCTCGGGCTGCAGTGAGTGCTGGAGAGGCCAGGCTTGAGGCCCTGCTGGGGCGAGGGGTGGGGGGGTCCCACCTGGTGGCCCTGAGGAGGAGGATGGCTGGGGGGACTGGTGCGGGGGTGGCAGGGAGGGGGGCTCTGTAGATGGGAGGGGTGCGGACGGGTGGGTGGGCAAGCCAGAGGTTTGTGGGAGGGACGGGATTCCTGGGGCTGGACTAGGGTGTGCAGTTCCGGTGCCGGAATGGGGGCTTGGAGAGAGGACTGGAGTGGGTGGCGCTATGTGGGCAGGGCCTGCCCTGCTCTGGGCGGGGTTGGGTGGTGGAAATGAGAATGTGGGCTATGCTGTGGGGGTGGGGGACAGCCACGGAGACAGACGCACTCCCCTTGCTGTTGGTGCGGCAGGTCCTAGCACAGCTCCTGGGGCACACTCCGGCCCCTGGTGGGCAGACATGGGCTGTTGGGGCCTAGTGCGGTCCAGGACCGTAGCTCTCCCGGACCCCCAGTGTCTTGTCAGAGCCTGGGCCCGGGAGCCCTGAGCACCGTCTCTGACCCAGCCGCACCCCCACCACACTCACAGAGCTGCCAGTGACCCTCGTGCGCCCGCTGCGGGACAAGATCGCCATGGAGAAGCACCGCGGCGTGCTGGAGTGTCAGGTGTCCCGGGCCAGCGCCCAGGTGCGGTGGTTCAAGGGCGGTCGGGAGCTGCAGCCCGGGCCCAAGTACGAGCTGGTCAGCGATGGCCTCTACCGCAAGCTGATCATCCACGACGTCCAGCCGGAGGACGAGGACACGTACACGTGCAACGCTGGCGACGTGCAGACCAGCGCACACTTCTTTGTGGAAGGTGCGGGCAGGAAGGCAGCTCTGCAGTGGCTTTTGTGTGTGGGGGTGTCTTCCAGGGTCACGGTTTGCCCTGCGCTCCTGGGGACGCTGGGTCCAGGCGGCTCAGGAGGATGCCAGCATGCACGTAGCGGGCAGGGCCTTGTTCCCAGGAAGGAACCTGCGGGACGGGACAGCCTGTCCTTTCCGCGGGGCCTGCCAGCGCCCGTTCCTCCCCACAGAGCAGTCCATCACCATCGTGCGGGGTCTGCAGGACGTGACGGTGATGGAGCCCGCCCCTGCCTGGTTTGAGTGTGAGACCTCCATCCCCTCAGTGCGGCCACCTAAGTGGCTCCTGGGGAAGACGGTGCTGCAGGATGGGGGGAACGTGGGCCTGGAGCAGGAGGGCACGGTGCACCGGCTGACGCTGCGACGGACCTGCTCCACCATGACCGGGCCCGTGCACTTCACCATCGGCAAGTCCCGCTCCTCTGCCCGCCTGGTGGTCTCAGGTGAGACGCGGGGCAGAGCCACAAGAGGACAAGGTCCAGGGCTCCTGGGAGGCCTGGATGGGGCTGTGGGCAGGTACAGGGCAGGGCCACGGAGATGACTCAGGGCAGGGAGTGGGCACAGTTCAGGGTCACGCATGGATGTTGCTTAGGGCCGGGGGAGGACACAGACGGGGGACACAGGTCAGGACTGAGGGAGGACACAGACCAGGGCCACGGGGGACACCGCTCAGGGCCGGGGAGAACACAGACCAGGGCCACGGGGACACGGCTCAGGGCCGGGGGAGAACACAGACCAGGGCCACGGGGGACATGGCTCAGGGCCGGGGAGGACACAGACCAGGGCCACGGGGGACACGGCTCAGGGCCGGGGAGAACACAGACCAGGGCCACGGGGACACGGCTCAGGGCTGGGGGAGGACACAGACCAGGGCCACGGGGGACACCGCTCAGGGCCGGGGAGGACACAGACCAGGGCCACGGGGGACACCGCTCAGGGCCGGGGAGAACACAGACCAGGGCCACGGGGACACGGCTCAGGGCCGGGGGAGGACACAGACCAGGGCCACGGGGGACACCGCTCAGGGGCCGGGGAGGACACAGACCAGGGCCACGGGGGACACAGCTCAGGGCCGGGGAGAACACAGACCAGGGCCACGGGGACACAGCTCAGGGCCGGGGAGGACACAGACCAGGGCCACGGGGACACCGCTCAGGGCCGGGGAGAACACAGACCAGGGCCACGGGGACACAGCTCAGGGCCGGGGAGGACACAGACCAGGGCCACGGGGACACAGCTCAGGGCCGGGGAGAACACAGACCAGGGCCACGGGGACACAGATCAGGGCCGGGGAGAACACAGACCAGGGCCACGGGGACATGGCTCAGGGCCGGGGGAGGACACAGACCAGGGCCACGAGGGACACAGGTCAGGACTGGGGGAGAACACAGACCAGGGCCACGGGGGACACGGCTCAGGGCCAGGGGAGGACACAGACCAGGGCCACGGGGGACACGGCTCAGGGCCGGGGGAGGACACAGACCAGGGCCACGGGGGACACCGCTCAGGGCCGGGGAGAACACAGACCAGGGCCACGGGGGACACGGCTCAGGGCCGGGGGAGGACACAGACCAGGGCCACGGGGACACGGCTCAGAGCCGGGGAGGACACAGACCAGGGCCACGGGGGACACGGCTCAGGACTGGGGGAGGACACAGACCAGGGCCATGGGGGACACAGCTCAGGGCCGGGGAGAACACAGACCAGGGCCACGGGGACACGGCTCAGGGCCGGGGAGGACACAGACCAGGGCCACGGGGACACAGCTCAGGGCCGGGGAGGACACAGACCAGGGCCACGAGGGACACAGCTCAGGGTCAGGGAGAACACAGACCAGGGCCACGGGGGACACAGCTCAGGGCCGGGGGAGGACACAGACCAGGGCCACGGGGACACGGCTCAGGGCCGGGGAGGACACAGACCAGGGCCACGGGGGACACGGCTCAGGACTGGGGGAGGACACAGACCAGGGCCACGGGGGACACAGCTCAGGGCCGGGGAGAACACAGACCAGGGCCACGGGGACACAGCTCAGGGCCGGGGAGGACACAGACCAGGGCCACGGGGACACCGCTCAGGGCCGGGGAGAACACAGACCAGGGCCACGGGGACACAGCTCAGGGCCGGGGAGGACACAGACCAGGGCCACGGGGACACAGCTCAGGGCCGGGGAGAACACAGACCAGGGCCACGGGGACACAGCTCAGGGCCGGGGGAGGACACAGACCAGGGCCACGAGGGACACAGGTCAGGACTGGGGGAGAACACAGACCAGGGCCACGGGGGACACGGCTCAGGGCCAGGGGAGGACACAGACCAGGGCCACGGGGGACACGGCTCAGGACCGGGGGAGGACACAGACCAGGGCCACGGGGGACACGGCTCAGGACTGGGGGAGGACACAGACCAGGGCCACGGGGGACACAGACCAGGGCCACGGGGACATGGCTCAGGGCCGGGGAAGATAGTTCACGGAACGGTGGATGCAGCTGTTGGAAACAGATGCTCAGGGCCGAAAAGAAAAATCAGTTTCTTTCAGAAACGCAATTTTTATTTTTTGGACTGCAGGAACGGTACCCTCACTAGCCATCGTGCCACGAAACTATAGTGAACAAAGGAAAATACACACATTTATCCCTCACGCATTTGGGCTGGTCCTTATTGCTGTGTCTGATCTCCGTTGGCTGGAGCCAGACCTCACCCTCTAAACCAAAACCCGATTGGCTGACAACTTAAAACTTTTCTAAACAGGTGAAAGCAATGGAGAGCTGGGACCTGCCTGTGAGCACGTCCAGCACAGATATCTTAGTTAAAGTACAAGGACACAGAGTGTGCTACGTGCCTGTCACCATGGCGTGTCTAACAGCTACATAGGATAGGGCTTAACAGAGTTATTAGCGCACTTATGATTTAACAAGAAAGAAAACTTTAAAAAGGAGCTTTTCTACTTCCCACAGTGGCTCGGGGCCAGGGGAGGACTCAGGTTCAGGGCCATAGGCAACTAGGCTCAGGGCTTGGCAGGCAGGGCAGGGTGACTGGCTCCTGTGGCCCCGTGGCACAGCCTGTCCGCACTCCCTGCAGACGTTCCTGTAGTCCTCGCACGGCCGTTGGAGCCCAAGATGGGCCGTGAGCTGCAGTCTGTGGTCCTGTCCTGCGACTTCCGGCCACCCCCCAAGGCTGTGCAGTGGTACAAGGATGACACGCCCCTGTCTCCCTCTGAGAAGTTCAGGATGAGCCTGGAGGGTCAGATGGCCGAGCTTCGCATCCTCCGGCTGGTGCCTGCCGATGCTGGTGTCTACCGGTGCCAGGCGGGCAGTGCCCACAGCAGCGCTGAGGTCACCGTGGAAGGTGGGGCATGAGGGGCACAGGGCCACCGAGAGGGCTTGGGGAGGGGTTGCCTGGTGATGTGGGCACTGAGGCCCACTGTCTCCTCTCAGCGCGGGAGGTGGCAGTGACGGAACCACTGCGGGACGTGGAGGCCACGGAGGAAGGCCGGGCCAGCTTCTCCTGTGAGCTGTCCCACGAGGACGAGGAGGTCGAGTGGTCGCTCAATGAGTCGCCCCTGTACAACGACAGCTTCCACGAGATCTCCCACGAGGGCCGGCACCACAGCCTGGTGCTGAAGAGCGTCAGGAGGGCCGACGCGGGCACAGTGCGCGCCTCCTCCCACAAGGTGTCCACCTCTGCCCGCCTGGAGGTCCGAGGTGAGTCGTCCCGCGGGGCTGTGGAGGCCCCCACTAGGGATGGGACGGCGCTGGGCTCCCCTCACCCTCGCACCCCTCCTGCAGCAAAGCCGGTCGTGTTCCTGAAGGCGCTGGACGACCTGTCGGCCGAGGAGCGTGGCACCCTGGCCCTGGAGTGTGAGGTCTCTGACCCCGAGGCCCCTGTGCTGTGGCGCAAGGACGGCGTGCAGCTGGGCCCCAGCGACAAGTATGACTTCCTGCACACGGCGGGCACGCGGGGGCTCGTGGTGCACGACCTGAGCCCTGAGGACGCCGGCCTGTACACCTGCCACGTGGGCGCCGAGGAGACCCGGGCCCGGGTCAGCGTGCACGGTGTGTGGCTGCGGGCGCAGGGGAGCTCCGGGAAGGGGGCGTGCTGGGCGTGGGTGTGGGGCTGGCCACTACCTGGGTGGCCCATGTCATTCTCCGAGATTGAGGGGCTGCTCTGCTGAGCTGGAGAGGCCGGGGGGACCTCCTAGGGGAACCGTGGCCCGACGTGGTCCTGTGAGGCCCGGGTGCAGGCAGGTGGACCCGGGGTGATGGGTCCCGGAGCCAGGGTTGGAGGCTTGCTCTCCCTGCCCAGTGTGCTCCAAGGGCACAGCCAGGGATGTTGCCCTGAACCAGGGGCCGTGTCTGCATGGAAGCCACCAGGCCAGTGTGGGGGCACCAATGGGGGTGACCAGGCAGAAGCCGAGATGCCAGGCAGGGCCGGGAGTAGGCCACATCTCTGTCCTTCACAGGGCCTCAACAAGGCCCCAAGGCCACGGGGCTGGCAGGGTGGAGCCATCCCCAAACCCAGTCTTGCAGCCTTGGGGGCGTGTGTGCCCTGGAGCCTGCCTGCTTCTCAGGGGCAGGTCCCCCAACTGCAGGGCAGCTACCTGGCCCCGTGTGTGCCCACTGTCCTGGCTCCATGACTGGGAATCCCCATCCCGGTCCCAGTGGCATCCTGGTGTGGGTGACAGGTGGCGTAACAGGCCTGCTGACTGGTCTCTGATAGTCTTGTAACAAGATGGGGCCGGGGCAGGAGGCTGGTGAGTTTGTCCTGGAGCTGGGTTCAGCTGCCTGGCAGCCCCTTGTCCAGGGTCCGGCGCCTCCTCTCCTCCCTGTGGCCGCCGTGGGTCCTCCCTCTCCCTGCCTCCCTGATTGGAGCTCAGAGCTGTTGGTTACACAGATGCCAGGGTGCGGCCGGCTCCGGCAGAGGGGCATCTGCTCGTGGGCTGAGGCGGTGTCCCACCCTCCCCTCGGGTCCTGGCGTCGCCCAGGGTCTGGTCCCTCTTAAGGACCCGGGGGATCCGGCTCCTTCTGAGGTCTGGTCTCTTCGAGCTCTGATCTCTCCAGGGTCTGGCCCAGGGTACTGCCATCCCCTCGGCTGGCCTGACGGTCTCCCGTGGCCGCAGATCTGCACGTGGGCATCACCAAGAGACTGAAGACAGCGGAGGTGCTGGAGGGGCAGAGCTGCAGCTTCGAATGCGTCCTGTCTCACGAGAGCGCCAGCGACCCGGCCACGTGGATAGTCAGCGGGAAGACCGTGGGCAGCTGCAGCCGCTTCGAGGCCACACGGCAGGGCCGAAAATATGTGCTAGTGGTCCGGGAGGCTGCGTGCAGTGATGCCGGGGAGGTGGTCTTCTCTGTGCGAGGCCTCACCTCCAAGGCCTCACTCATCGTCAAAGGTGGGCGGGGCCTGCCGGATGGGGGCTTGTCACCCGGGCTGGGGGGTGGGGAGCTTGGGCCCGTCCCAGGGGTCCAGGAGCTGGGCAGCTGCAGAAGCCGCTGGGGGTGCTTTCGGGGCCTGCCTCCCCTCGCTGTGGCCCAGCTCCCCTTCTGGAAGCCTCAGGGCCTGAGGTACCTGCCGGGTGCTGGGGGCAGTTCCGAGGCGGCAGCGGGGCCGTGCTCTGAGCTCTGATGAGGGCCTGGATTCTCGTCCGATCCGTGGTCCAAGTGCCCTGAGCGCTTGGTAGCTCCACAGAGCTGGGGCTCACGGGGCCAGTCTGGCAGCACCGGTCCGAGGCCCCAGCTGTGGGCTCCGCTGATGTCACCGCCAGCACCTGAGTTCACGCCCCTGACGCGCACGGTGGGTGCAGCTCAGCGGGCGGAGCTCAATCCTGGGACCCCGACCATGGCCACACTGAGTCATCAGCCTGAAAGATGCCAACAGATAAAATTCTGTGGTGGTTGATCTTCCCGCCTCCCGGTCCCACGCTGGTGACAGTGGGGACACTGGCATTCCGGGACTCTGAGGCTCCTGAGGGCGGAGGTGCCAGAGTTTGAGGGTCGCAGGTTCTGTTGTCTGAGTCACCAGAGAGCGAGTGTTCCCAAACGCTCGTCCTTGCCCCAGTCCTGGTCTTGGCGGAGGCGGGAGGTTTTGGCTGGGTCTGTGCCTGGGGCTGTGGCTGGCACCATGGCCCTGGCTGGGCCTCAAGGGCAGCTGTCCCTGCTCCCTTCAGAGAGGCCGGTGGCCATCACGAAGCCCCTGGAAGACCAGCGGGCAGCGCCAGGGGAGGACGTGGAGCTGCGCTGTGAGCTGTCGCGGGCAGGTGCCCCCGTGCGCTGGCTGAAGGATGGGAAGGCCATCCGAAAGAGCCAGAAGTATGACGTGGTCTGCAAGGACACGATAGCCACACTGGTCGTCCGTGGAGCCTCACTCAAGGACGTGGGCGAGTACACGTGTGAGGTGGAGGCTTCCAAGAGCACAGCCAGACTCCACGTGGAAGGTAAACGCCGCAGGAGCCCCACACGGGGCCCTGGAGCGGCCTCGCTCCCCTGGCGGGGCAGGGGCCACCCCTGGAGCCCCAGCTCCTCTGTCCGAGCTGGAAGGACTCGCCCGGGTCCCAGCGCTTCTGCAGCCAGTCCCGGACGATAACGGGGCCAGCACGGGGCCTGCGCGGGCCTCACGCCCCACTTACTCCGTTTCCATCTCCCTCTCCAGAAAAAGCGAACCGCTTCACAGAGGAGCTGGCCGACCTGCGGGTGGAGGAGGCGGGCACGGCTGTGTTCACGTGCAAGACGGAGCACCCCGCGGCCACCGTGACCTGGCGCAAGGGCCCCTCAGAGCTTCGGGCCTCAGAGAAGCACCAGCTCAGCCAGGAGGGCCTGACCCTGCGGCTCACCGTCAGCGCCCTGGAGAAGACAGACAGCGACACGTACACCTGTGACATCGGCCAGGCCCGGACCCAGGCCCGGCTCCTGGTGCAAGGTGAGGCGGCCGCCTGCGCGGCCCGGGCCTTGAATGGCTCTGGGGACCTGGCGGTGGACAGGCCCGTCTTCGGTTTCCTATCACAAGGGTAGTGAGGTGCTCCCTCGGTGGCCACTGAGGCTCCAGCATGGCTGTGAACGAGCTGCCAGCCCCACTTCCGCGTGTTTATTCGGTCACTGTGTGTTTCTCCCACATGCGCGGGTGCCTGGCCCCATGCGTGAGCTCCGCGTGTGTCTGCACGTACAGCGTGTCGCCCTTGTCCCAGAGGGACAGCCTGACTAGGCCGTGCCAGGCGGCCTCAGGTGCCCCCAGGGAAGAACTGATGGTCGTTAGGGTTGTCATCGAGAGTTACACGGGCATCTTAGTCTTTCTCTTACTGTTTACAACAGAATACCTGAAACTGGGCCATTGATAGAGGAAAGTAATTTACTTCTTACAGCTCTGGAGACTGTCCTAGGTCAGGTCACATCTGGGCCACATCTGGTGAGGGTCCTCTTGATTCAGGGACTCTCTGCAGAGTCCCCAGGAGGTGGCACACGGCATCCTGTGGGGAGGGGGCTGAGGGTGCCAGCTCGGGCCTCTGTCTTCTTGTGAAGGCACCACTCCCGTGACAGCACTTTAACCCATTAAGCCATTGATCCGTGAATGGATTAATCCGTTCCTGAGGGCAGAATCCGCTCCCTCAATCCCTTCTTAAAAGCCCGACCTCTTTATGTTGCCACATTGGGATTAAGTTTCCGCAGGTGGCTTTTTGATCTTACTGTTTGCCTCTGTGGTTGAGTGGCAGGCAGAGTGAGAACTGTCCTTCTCTCCATGCTGTAGATAAGAAAACTGAAGTTTTGGTGGGTCCATGGCCAGGGCCAGGTCGTGGGGCACATTGGCATCAGGGCAGGCAAGGCCCCGTCCCCTCACCACAGCCTCCACTTGGCTCTGGAGTCCTGGGCTGCTGTCCAGACCTGAGTTTGCAGGAGGTCCCTACTGGGGTCTGACCACAGAGCGTTCACAGCGTCCTGTGTATGAAAGGCCCCAGCCTTGATCATCCGAAGTAACACAGACCAGGAATCATCACTGATTTTTCCTCTGCAATGGATTTGGTGACCCTGGTCAAAGCATTCTGTTAGCACAGTAAAGCTCCGTGATCTCAACTTGGTACCCATAGTTAATGTTTTTAAAAACTATCAAAAGTGGCTGGGCGCAGTGGCTTACGCCTGGAATCCCAGCACTTTGGGAGGCCGAGGCGGACGGTTCATGAGCTTAGGAGTTTGAGACCATCCTGGCCAACGTAGCGGACCCCATCTCTATTAAAAATAAAAAAATTAGCCAAGTGTGGTGGTGGGCCCCTGTCATCCCAGCTACTCAGGAGGCTGAGGCAGGAGAATTGCGTGAACCCAGGAGGCGGCAGTTGCAGTGAGCCGAGATTGCGCCACGGCACTCCAGCCTGGGCGACAGTGTGACAGTGCGAGCGTCTATGTCTCGAGAAAAAAAAAGCCATCAAAAGTGAGCGTCATAAGATAACAAAAGTTTAACATGGCTGGGCGCGGTGGCTCATGCCTGTAATCCCAGCACTTTGAGAGGCCGAGTTGAGTGGATCACAAGGTCAGGAGTTCAAGACCAGCCTGGTCAACATGGTGAAACCCCATCTCTACTAAAAATACAAAAATTAGCCGGGTGTGATGGCGCACGCCTGTAGTCCCAGCTACTTGGGAGGCTGAGGCAGGAGAATTGTGTGAACCCAGGAGACGGAGGTTGCAGTGAACTGAGATCACGCCCCTGCACTCCAGCCTGGGTGACAGAGTGAGACTCCATCTTCAAAAAAAAAAAAAAAAAAAAGTTTAACTTATGAGGATGTGGGCCGGCCTGGTCAGGGAGGCCAAGCTGCTTCCGTGTGTGCCATCCGCTGATGAGAGCTTTGTCCATGCGCGTCGCCTGGGCAGGGTGGGCCTCTGTGGAGTCACGCCTGCGGGGTACCGTGTACATGGAGTCTGAATGCAGGGCCCGTCTCAATACTCATGAACGTTGTCTCTTACCATTCCTAATTCAACTGCCAAAAAGCCTCATTTTAGGAATTCACGATTTCCATCTTCCAATCATTTGATTTAAATTTCAACACAACCATAGCTTTATTTTATTTTATTTTATTTTTTGAGACAGAGTCTTCCTCTGCTGCCCAGGCTGGAGTGCAATGGCGAGCCTTCGGCTGAGTGCAACCTCCGCCTCCCGGGTTCAAGCGATTCTCCTGTCTCAGCCTCCTGAGTAGCTAGGATTACAGGCACGCGCCACCACGCCTGGCTAATTTTTTTGTATTTTTAGTAGAGACGGGGTTTCACCATGTTGGCCAGGATGGTCTCAATCTCCTGACCTCATGATCCGCCTGCCTCGGCCTCCCAAAGTGCTGGGATGACAGGTGTGAGCCACCGCGCCCGGCATATTTTTTTTCACACTCCTGTTTCATCTGTTACTAGAAGAGTTAATTTCATGGCACAATTGTAATGATACAGCCAGCCGCTTCTGGGAGCACAGCTTGGAAAGAGCAGGACTGTGCTGGCGTGGTTCTCAGCAGGCTGTGGACTCGCCCCGCAAGCCTTGCAGGGCTCCCGAGGTGCGGAGGTGGGCTCGGGGCTCCGAGTGGCCCTCAAACAACTATCTTTGGACCGTTCAGCTCTGACCCACTTACTGTTTTTGGAGTTCTGTCCCTGCAAACTTGTGAAAACACAGCCACCTTGCTCTGTCCTGGGGAGCCCCGCTGGCTGACGCCGCCCTGGACGGTGGGGAGCCCCTGAGCAGCCTGTGCCTTTGCAGGCCGGCGGGTGCAGGTCATTGAGGATCTGGAGGACGTGGACGTGCAGGAGGGCTCCTCGGCCACCTTCCGCTGCCGGATCTCCCCTGCCAACTACGAGCCTGTGCGCTGGTTCCTGGACAGGACACCCCTGCACACGAATGAACTCAATGAGATCGAGGCCCAGCCCGGGGGCTACCACGTGCTGACGCTGCGGCAACTGGCGCTCAAGGACTCTGGCACCATCTACTTTGAGGCGGGTGACCAGCGGGCCTCGGCTGCCCTGAGGGTCACTGGTGAGTCTCATGCCCGCGTTGCCCACCTTGCTCAGGGCTGCAGCCAGGCGGACCTAGCTCCGCCAAGTGCCCGGTGTCCCTGGGCCCACAGAGAAGGCCCCACTGGCTTTCTGTGGGGCGGAGCAGCTCGAAAGCCTGAATTGGGCTCTTTCGGGATGAATGCATCTGCGTGGTTTGCAGAACCGTGCTCGGCGTGGCCCGGGCCAGGCTGCGTCCCCCGCAGGGCAGGAGCCTCACTGTGGTGAGGAGGTGATGGGTGATTGAGCGGACCCTGCCCTGCTCTCTCCACAGCCCGTTGCATGGCCCCAGCGCGAGGGTGGCTGGCGGGTGCCAAGCCAAGGTGTTGTCTGGTTTGCAGTGAGAGCCAGGTTTCGCCCATCGGTGCCTCTGTCACACATGCTCCTGCTTCTCTCTCTGCCCCCCAGAGAAGCCAAGCGTCTTCTCCCGGGAGCTCGCAGATGCCACGGTCACAGAGGGTGAGGACTTGACCCTTGCATGCGAGACCAGCACCCGCGACATCCCCGTGCACTGGACAAAGGATGGGAAGACCCTGCGGCCGTCCGCCCGCTGCCAGCTGAGCCACGAGGGCCACTGGGCCCAGCTGCTCATCACTGGGGCCACCCTGCAGGACAGCGGACGCTACAAGTGTGAGGCCGAGGGCGCCTGCAGCAGCTCCATCGTCAGGGTGCATGGTGAGCCCCAGCTGCCCGAAGCCCAGCCACGGGGCAGGCAACTGCTGCTCTCTCGTGAGGCAGCCCCAGCTTCAGGGCAGGGCATGTGCACCCACAGGGAGCCCAAGGCTCCCGTGCATCCTGTGTGGGGCGCCCCGGTCCCCATGTGCTTCCTGGCATTTCCTAGCACCTGGTCCGCCCTGCTTGGCTCCTGCCCTGGCCTCTGCCACCCGCAGGAGCCGCCCTGCAGACCCTCCGCATTCCTGAAGGGCCAGCCCTCTGCACACCTGTGTGCGCATCTCCCTTTTTATTTTTAAGTCGGATTTTCTCTCGTCGTCCAGGCTGGAGTGCAATGACGTGATCTTGGTTCACCGCAACCGCCGCCTCCCGGGTTTAAGCGGTTCTCCTGCCTCAGCCTCCTGAGTAGCTGGGATTACAGGCATATGCCACCACGCCCAGCTAATATTTTTTGTATTTTTAGTAAAGACGGGTTTTCTCCATGTTGGGCAGGCTGTTCTCGAGCTCCTGACCTCAGCTGATCTGCCCACCTCAGCCTCCCAAAGTGCTGGATGACAGGTGTGAGCCGCTGCACCCAGCCCTGATTTTCCTTTTCAGGAGGTGCAGCCGCGGTGGCTGAGGGCCCACCGTGATTTCATTTGACCTTACTTCCCGTGTCACAGCCACGCTTGGAGGTCTGGGCTAGGGCTTCCACCTGTGAATTTGGAGGGCACAGGTCCCTGACACCTACCTGTCTGTTCTCCTGCTTGATTCACCCTTTCTGCCCCTCACCTTCAGAGCTGACCCTTTCCAGAAGTCCTGAGGTCCCTGCCACAGGCCCCACAGGAGAAGGGGGAGGCGGGCCTGCTGGCACTCTGCAGCCGATGTCCCCAGCCCTCCACCCCCGGCTGGGGACCCCTCGTGGACTTCAGGGCAGGGGGGTGAGCTGAGCCCGTGCCTGTCCGCAGCCCGGCCGGTGCGGTTCCGGGAGGCCCTGAAGGACCTGGAGGCGCTGGAGGGTGGTGCTGCCACACTGCGCTGCATGCTGTCGTCTGTGGCCGCACCCGTGGAGTGGCGCTGCGGGGACAGTGTGCTGAGGCCAGGTGACAAGTACAGCCTACGCCAGGAGGGCGCCGTGCTGGAGCTGGTGGTCCGGGACCTGCGGCCGCAGGACAGTGGGCTGTACTCATGCTCCTTCGGGGACCAGACGACTTCTGCCACCCTCACAGTGACAGGTAAGCATCTCTGTCCATCCTGCCCATGTGGCCCAGGGATGCCGCCTCCTCCAACACAGGGGAACAAAGATGGTGCTCTCTGTGTCTGTCTGAACCTCCTGCAGCTCTGCCTGCTCAGTTCATTGGGAAACTGAGGAACAAGGAGGCCACGGAAGGGGCCACGGCCACGCTGCGGTGTGAGCTGAGCAAGGCAGCCCCCGTGGAGTGGAGGAAGGGGTCCGAGACCCTTAGAGATGGGGACAGGCACTGCCTGAGGCAGGACGGGGCCGTGTGTGAGCTGCAGATCCGTGGCCTGGCCGTGGTGGACGCCGGGGAGTACTCGTGCGTGTGTGCGGAGCAGAGCACCTCCGCCGTGCTCACTGTCAGGGGTGAGACCGCGTGTCCAGAGCCGTGTCCAGTGTCCACTTCTTCACGTCTGCTGTCCCAGTCCCGTCTCCCCGACTGTGCCATGCTCCTCCCTGCTCACCACAGAATCCCGTCCCGCTTTCTGGGCCGTGGAGGGAACCAGGAGAACCAGGCGTCTCCAGCCAGACTCCGGCCCTCCAGGCACCCTGGGGCACGGCCTGTGGGAGTTGACTTATCCTCGTCTCGCCATGGCCTGTCCCCAGTGCTTCCCAGTGTCTGACCTCTTCTGTGTCTGTCTGTCCATCCCTCCCCAGCCACGCCTGCCCACTTCATAGGAAGACTGAGACACCAAGAGGCCACGGAAGGGGCCACAGCCATGCTGCGGTGTGAGCTGAGCAAGGCGGCCCCCGTGGAGTGGAGGAAGGGGCCTGAGAGCCTCAGAGACGGGGACAGACACAGCCTGAGGCAGGACGGGGCCGTGTGTGAGCTGCAGATCCGTGGCCTGGCCGTGGCGGATGCTGGGGAGTACTCGTGCGTGTGTGGGGAGCAGAGGACGTCCGCCATGCTCACCGTGAAGGGTAATGACTGCCCCCGGCCACGTGCACGGGTGGTTGCGTCTGAGCGGCATGCACATTCCTGCCCTGTGCCCACGTCTGCGCTGTGGCCCTGCCTGTCTTTCTGTGTGTGGCTCTTTCATTCCTTCAGTAGGGATTCCCCACACCTGCTGTGCATGACCCAACTCAGGGGCAGGAAGACAGCAGAGAACAGAGGGCCCTCCCGGCCCTACGGGTCACGGGCCGAGACAGAGCATGTGGGGAGAGCCAAATCACTGGAAGACTGAGATCACGGACCTTCTCTAGGGAGAGCCAAGTCATTATGAGACGAGATCACAGACCTTCTGTAGGGTAAACACCAGGGAGGCAGCAGGGCCACCAGGAGGAGCCCCAGGAGCGGAACACAGATGAGGGTGGGGGTGCAGGTGGGCTGGTGTGCACAGCCAGGGGTGAGGGGCCGCTGTGAGGAGGAGAGAGGCAGGGTGAGCGTGGGGAGGAGATGGGGTGGCCGTGGGGAGGAGGTGACGGGTGACCGTGGGGAGGAGGTGACGGGTGACTGGGGAGGAAGTGACGGGTGACCGTGGGGAGGAGGTGACGGGTGGGTGTGGGGAGGAGGTGACGGGTGGGTGTGGGGAGGAGGTGACGGGTGACTGGGGAGGAAGTGACGGGTGACCGTGGGGAGGAGGTGACGGGTGGCCGTGGGGAGGAGGTGACGGGTGGCCATGGGGAGGAGGTGACAGGTGGCCGTGGGGAGGAGGTGACGGGTGGCCGTGGGGAGGAGGTGACGGGTGACTGGGGAGGAAGTGACGGGTGACCGTGGGGAGGAGGTGACGGGTGGCCGTGGGGAGGAGGTGACGGGTGGGTGTGGGGAGGAGGTGACGGGTGACTGGGGAGGAAGTGACGGGTGACCGTGGGGAGGAGGTGACGGGTGGCCGTGGGGAGGAGGTGACGGGTGGGTGTGGGGAGGAGGTGACGGGTGGCCGTGGGGAGGAGGTGACGGGTGGGTGTGGGGAGGAGGTGACGGGTGGCCGTGGGGAGGAGGTGACGGGTGGCCGTGGGGAGGAGGTGACGGGTGGCCGTGGGGAGGAGGTGACGGGTGGGTGTGGGGAGGAGGTGACGGGTGGGTGTGGGGAGGTGGTGACGGGTGGGTGTGGGGAGGAGGTGACGGGTGGGTGTGGGGAGGAGGTGACGGGTGGGTGTGGGGAGGAGGTGACGGGTGGGTGTGGGGAGGAGGTGACGGGTGGCCGTGGGGAGGAGGTGACGGGTGGGTGTGGGGAGGAGGTGACGGGTGGGTGTGGGGAGGAGGTGACGGGTGGGTGTGGGGAGGAGGTGACGGGTGGCCGTGGGGAGGAGGTGACGGGTGGCCGTGGGGAGGAGGTGACGGCTGGCCGTGGGGAGGAGGTGACGGGTGGGTGTGGGGAGGAGGTGACGGGTGGGTGTGGGGAGGAGGTGACGGGTGGGTGTGGGGAGGAGGTGACGGGTGGCCGTGGGGAGGAGGTGACGGGTGGGTGTGGGGAGGAGGTGACGGGTGGGTGTGGGGAGGAGGTGACGGGTGGGTGTGGGGAGGAGGTGACGGGTGGCCGTGGGGAGGAGGTGACGGGTGGGTGTGGGGAGGAGGTGACGGGTGGGTGTGGGGAGGAGGTGACGGGTGGCTGTGGGGAGGAGGTGACGGGTGGGTGTGGGGAGGAGGTGACGGGTGGGTGTGGGGAGGAGGTGACGGCTGGCCGTGGGGAGGAGGTGACGGCTGGCCGTGGGGAGGAGCCACCACAGTGGCTGTCATATGACGGCCAAGCAGAGCAGCTGTGTGATTTGGAGGAAGGGGCTAAGAGCTTTGGAGATGGGGGCTTTGACCAGGACTGGACGTCCAGAGCCCTGTGGCCTGCCTGTGGTGGATCCGGGGTGTCCTCGTGTGTGGGTGGTGGGAGTGGATCTCAGCCATGTTTGGGTCCCCAGGGAGGTGAGGCTGCAGATCTCACCCTGGGCCCTGGACCTCTCAGTCACAGCCGGGAGAGGCTTCCAGCCTCAAGCCACCGGTATTCTCAGCGGAAGGGGCACAGCCCCAGTTGCCTGGCCTCCTGTGTCCGTGGCCCATGGCCCCTTGTGGCTGGTGGTGTGGTGTGGCATGCGCAGGTGCTCGGCGCCTTGAAGGGCTTGGCTCGCTTCCGTGCGGGAAAGCACGTGGGATAAAGCCGGCCCAGAGGGAGGGCCCGGGCACCTTCGAGGGAGCGCAGGGAAGGGCGCTCTCTGGCTGAAGGGCCTTCTCGCCCAGGACTCTGGTGGGCTCCACTCACACTGCACGGAGGGATCCCTCAGGCCAGTGGAGGGCAGCGTCTGGGGGCCAGGCACGGCCGTCTGGACACCAGTACCTGAAGCAGGTAGCTCCGGCCACAGGCACAGGTGTCTCAGACCTTTGTGGGAGGCCTGGCCGCCACGCTCTTGCAGCGGCATCGACAGAGCACAGCTTCCATGGCACAGAGGCACCACACCACCAGGCTCACCAGGATACCCACGAGGCCCACAGACTTCAGGCCCTGTCTCATGGCTGTGTAGCGTTTTGGAAAGACAGAGACCACAGGGGCCGGGGGCTCAGCTGCGTCCCCCTCAGACCGGTGGCTGGAGAACAGATGGCCAGGGTAGACCCCTGCCGGCTGCCTGAGGCAGTTGCTTCCGGAAGTGGGCGAGTTCCGAGGGAGGTGATGGGTGCCCTGTGGTGCCCGCTGTGGTTCCTGCTGAGAGGGCACCCGTGCGTGCTGGACGTCTCCACTGGACCCGGAAGCCCCTAGGATGCTTTGAGCCAAGGTTCCCCTGGGGGTCTCCAGGAAGCAGCCGGGCGCTCCGAGGCCCCAGTCTCCATCTGGTGGGCTAGGAAGCTACCCAGCCCCAACGCACAGGACCCAGTGGCCCTCGTCTGTCCCTGCGATCCATGGCTGTTTCTACGTGCCTGGCTGGATGGCTCCTTCGTGTGTTCAGTGGGTCGTGTCTCATCTGCCGGACCCATGCACCGGGGCACCTGCCACCTGGGGTCCCTGCCTGTGTCCTTAACACAGTGACAGTCAAGGTGGAAGGCAGCACTCTCCTCCCTCCCAGCAGCAGGCTCCTTACCCGCCGTCTGCCCTGGGCTCTGGCCGCAGGAGCAGCAGGAACTGATGAGAAGCAGGATGATTTTGTGGGGGACTTTCAGGCAGTGGATTTTGGGTCTTTCCTCCAGCTATCCATCAAGATCATGACCGGCTGCAGTGGCTCACGCCTGTAATCCTACCACTGGCTCACGCCTGTAATCCTACCACTTTGGGAGTCTGAGGCGGGAGGATCAGTTGAACCCAAGAGTTCCAGACTGACCTGGGCAACCCAGGGAGACCCCCTCTCTACAAAAAATACAAAATTTAGCTGGGTGTGGTGCTGTGCACCTGTGGTCCCAGCTGCTCAGGAGGCTGAAGTGGGAGGACTGGTTGAGGCCACAAGTTGGAGGCTGCAGTGAGCTGTGATGGTAACACTGCTCTCCAGCCTGAGCAACACCCTGAAACCCTGTCTGAAGAAAAGAAAAATAAGAAGCAACAATGAACCAGGGAGCCACAGCGTGGGTGGGCCGCAGTGTGCTGTCGCTGAGCGCCACGCTGGTCTTGGGCCCTGGAGCACCTCCCCATCTCGCGGGGCCTGTGGCAGCTGTGTGTCTGCGATCATTTTGGGGTCCTTGCTAGGATTCCCGCTCCTCAGTTTCCCCAGCGGCTTTCCCCTGTGTGGGCATGGCCATTCTGTTCTCTGTGCCCGGGGCACTGTTTCCCATCCACGTGTCTGTGCGTTAGTTCCTGGTTCCCTCCAGTGAGGGAGCGTGTCCTTGCTGAGTGTCCCCCACTGTCTCCAGAGGGCCTCATGGTGTTTGTGTTCCTCTAGCCCTGCCAGCCAGGTTCATAGAAAGTCAGAGACCTGAGGACGTCTCAGAAGGGGCCCCGCCACAATGCCAATGGGCTGGACAGTGGGAGCCGCAGCGCACAGCCTGTGCTTAGCACGCCCCAGGAGCGGCCGCGTTCAGATGGGTTCCCTGTCTTCTCTCTCTGCCCGTGTCCTGTGTCTTCTCTGGGCTCACAGGGTGTAACTGTGGTCCTCTCTTTCGGCTCTCCAGCCCTGCCGGCCAGGTTCACAGAGGGTCTGCGGAATGAAGAGGCCGAGGAAGGGGCCACAGCCACGCTGCGGTGTGAACTGAGCAAGGCAGCCCCCGTGGAGTGGAGAAAGGGGCCTAAGAACCTCAGAGATGGGGACAGACACATCCTGAGGCAGGAGGGGATGAGATGTGAGCTGCAGATCTGTGGCCTAGCCATGGCGGACGCCGGGGAGTACTCGTGCGTGTGTGGGCAGGAGAAGACGTCAGCCACGCTCACTGTCAGGGGTAAAGATCGTGTGTGGCCTTGTGGACCTGTGGTGTGGTGTCTGCATGTCACCGTGCCATCCTCATCTTCCAAATGTGGGACAGCCCCTGTGGCAAGCCCAGGCTGTCTCTTCTCCACCTGAGGTCCTCCGACGTCTCCCGCCTCCCCGGATTCTTGTCCCGGAGGTGTCCTCACACTCGTCCCTCTGTGTCCTCTGTTCCTGCGGTCCATTTGCTTCCTCCCGTGTGAACGTTCATTTGCTCCTTCACGTGTGGTCCTTTGGTGGTTTGTGTGGTTCCTTGTGGGTGCCCATGTCCTGTCCACAGAGTCGTCTAGACAGTCCGATGATCTCAGTGACTGCTTGGTCCTTCCCAGCCCTGCCTGCCAGGTTCATAGAAGACGTGAGAAGCCAGGAGGCCAGAGAAGGGGCCACGGCCATGCTGCGGTGTGAGCTGAGCAAGGCGGCCCCCGTGGAGTGGAGGAAGGGGTCTGAGAGCCTCAGAGATGGGGACAGATACAGCCTGAGGCGGGACGGGACCAGGTGTGAGCTGCAGATCCGTGGGCTATCCGTGGCAGACACTGGGGAGTACTCGTGCGTGTGTGGACAGGAGAGGACATCAGCCACTCTCACCGTCAGGGGTAAAGGCCACATGTGGCTAAGGAGAGCCGTCTTCTGGGGCTCACGTGTTGTCACGCCCTCCGTCTGTGCTTGCCCCATGCTGTGTCCCTGCATCTGCGGCACTCTCTTCCCAGCCCCCAGAGCTGTTGTGGGAACCCGGAGAAACTGGCCCTGCAGCCGGCTCCCACCCCACATGCCTGCACGGCTGGACTCTGCCACGTCGCCCTGTCGGCTTCTGTGCCTTGCCCTTCCTGCTGCCCGACCCTCCCCCACAGAGCGCTGCCAAGGCTCTCATGGTCCTCGTGTGTGTCTGACGTCCTCTGGCTCTGGGAGCATAAAGTGTGAGGCCTCAGGAGGCCACGGAAGGAGCCACAGCAACAGTGCCGATGGGCTGGAGCATGGGAAGCCCCCATCCACAGCCTGTTCTCAGCACACCTCCATGTGGCCTGTGTCCAGTTGGGTTCTGTGTCTTCTCTGTGCCATCCGTGTTCTGTCTCTTCCACGTGCTCAGAGAGCATGAGCATTCATATATTCTGACCCTCCCCCAGCTCTACCCATCAAGTTCACAGAGGGTCTGAAGAACAAAGAGGCCACGGAAGGGGCCACGGCCACGCTGCAGTGTGCGCTGAGCCAGGTGGCCCCTGTGGAGTGGCGGAAGGGGCCTGAGACCCTCAGAGATGGAGACAGACACAGCCTGAGACAGGACGGGGTCAGGTGTGAGCTGCAGATCCGTGGCCTGGTGGCGGAGGACAGGGGGGAGGACCCGTGTGTGTGCGGGCAGCAGAGGGCCTCAGCCACACTCGCCGTCGGGGGAAAGGCCCAGGCGGCCAGGCAGTGCCGTGCTCTCGTCCACGTGTTGATTTGACACGTCTGTCCCTGCCCATGCTGCATTCTCCCCCTGTGTCTGTGCCCGCCTGTGTCCGTAACCGCGCGGGTGTCTTCCAGCCTTCGGCGCTATCGTGGGAAGCAGGAGGAAGCCGGCTGTCCGGCTGGCTTTTACTGCGTGCCTCCTAGGGCTCTGTTGACATTGTCCCGTTGAATTCCGTGTCTTCCATCCTGTCGTATTCTGTCCCCTGATGTTCTCCATGTGTTTCTGGCCCTCTCTGGGCCTGCGTGCCAGACTCCTGTAAAGGCTGAGGTGTGAGGAGGCCCCGGAGGAGCCGTGGCAGGAAGCCCCAGTTCACAGCCTGTGCTCAGCACGCCCATGTGACCTGTGCCCAGTTGGGTTCTGTGTCTTGTCTGTGCCCTCCACGTCCTTCCTATCTCTTCCCTGTGCTCAGAGGTGATTGGATCTGTGTCTTCTGACCTCCCCAGCCCTGCCTTCCAAGTTCATAGAGGGTCTGAGGAATGAAGAGGCCACAGAAGGGGCCACGGCCACGCTGCGGTGTGAGCTGAGCAAGGCGGCCCCCGTGGAGTGGAGGAAGGGGTCTGAGAGCCTCAGAGATGGGGACAGATACAGCCTGAGGCAGGACGGGACCAGGTGTGAGCTGCAGATCCGTTTGCTGTCTGTGGCAGACACTGGAGAATACTTGTGTGTGTGCGGGCAGGAGAGGACGTCAGCCATGCTCATCGTCAGGGGTAATGACCACCTGAGTGACTCCTGTCTCCTCCCACCTAACCCACATGGTCTCTGCTCTCCCGGTGCCTCTTGATATCATTGTCATCTCATTCAGTCACTCGCCTGTGTGACACATCCCTCAAATGCACATGGAACCCACTTGGATCACCTAATCTAAGGCCTGGGAATATGGACTCCAGGGGTAAATGGGGCAGGGACCCAAAGGAGAGCCTCACAGACAGACGTCAGGATACGGAAGAGCTGCTAGGGCTGCTGGTGTCCTGCTGGGGCCTGCACATGTGTGTGGGTTCTGGGGCCCCAGGCCTAGAGGCTGCGCTGATGGATGTGCACGGTAGGGCTGGGGGCTCAGCAAGGAGGTGGTCAGGCCAGGCCCCCCCTAAATCTGCCAAGAGTGTTTGTTCTGTGGTCATGCAGGCTCCTGAAGGACTGCTACCTTTGTCTGCTTGGCAGGCGCAGCGGAGCACTGCATCCGAGTGGCTTCGCAGCAGGTGTTTATTTTCTCAGACTTCCGGAGTCTGAAATTCCAAGATCAAGGAGTCACTCAGTTGGTTTCTCCTGAGGCCTCTTTTCTTGGCTTGTAGATACTCTCTGGTTGTATTGGATTGGGCCCACCCCAACAACCCCATTTTGCCTTTCAGAGATCCTATTTCAATACAGTGACATTGTGAAGTACTAAGGGTTAGGATTTCAACATACGGATTTAAGGAGAGGACTCAATTCAGGCCATGACATTCCACCCTCTGGCTTCCCACAATTAATGACCTTCTAACATGCAAAACGCATTTACTCCTTCCTAACAGCCGTAATCTTAACCCATTCCAGCATCAACTCAAAATCCAAATCTCATGTGAATGTCATCTAAGTCAAATGTGAGGGAGGTGAAGTATGACTCGTCCTGAGGCAAAATTCTTCAATTGTGAAGTGTGAAACCAGACAAGTCTTGTGCTTCCGAAATGCAGTGGTGCAGGCATAGGATAGACATTCCTGGTTCAAGAGGGGGAAAGTTGAAGAGAAAAAAGGGTTGCGGGTCTTATGCAGGCCTGAAACTAGCAGAGCAAATTTTCCTAGATTTTAAGGCTAGTGATTGGGGATGATGGCTCACCTCTGTAATGCTAGCACTTTGGGTGGCCGAGGCAGGAGGATTAATTACCTGAAGCCAGGCATTCTAGACCAGCCTGGAAAGTATAGCAAGACCCCTTTTCTTTAAAAAAAAAAATTTTTTTAATTAGGTGTGTTGATACATACCTGGGATTCCAGCTACTAGGGAGGCTGTGGCAGGAGGATCCCTTGAGCCTGAGAATTTGAGGCTGCAGTGAGTTATAATTGTGTCACTGCACTCCAGCCTGGGTGACAGTGAGACCCCCATCTCTTTTTTTTTAAAGCCTGAAAAATAATTCTATTTGACTTAATTCCCAGCCCTCCATGCCAACCAGAGTGTGGTCCCCAAGTCTCTCAGACCTGGATGACGTCTTATCCACTCATCTCTGGGCAACAGCCTCTCCCCCGGGTTCTGGACAGAGGAGGCCCTGATCCCTGTACCTCTAGTGGCAGTGGCAGCCCTGCTGATGCCTTTGGGTCCATTCTACCATTTTCTTGAAGGATAAGACATGTTTGCAGCCATGCAGTGGTATTAGCTCATTCTGTGGAATCCCAGAAGTCTGACAGCCTTCTTTCATTTTATCTCACCCCAATCCAATTTACTCCAATTTGCTTGTAGAAGATTATCAAAAGCAGTTGGCCTTCCATGCAATTCATGGAGGGTCACACCATCAGATAAGAGGCTTTTCCAGATAACTGCATCTCTACTCCTGGCTTCTGAAGAGATGACTAATTGGATCCATAAACTGCACACCTGGTGCTTTGGCAAATGGTTGTCTAGTCACACCTACAATGTTCTCTTCGGAACACAGTGTCTCATTTTTTACCATGTGGATAGGCTGAAAAATTTCCAAAGCTTCAAATATTGATTCCTTTTTTTTTTTTTACTTACAATTCCTCTTCAATTTATTTCCCTCCTCTTGCACTTTACTATAAGCAGCAAAGAAAACAGGCTGCACCTTCAACACTTTACTTAGAAATCTCCTCAGCTAAACATGCAAGATTTTACTGTCTATCAGTCCTACCTTACACACACAACAACACAATTTGGACACGTTCTTTGCCACTTAATGAGGATCACCGTTCCTCTGCTTTCCAACAACCTGTTCTTTATTTCCATCTGAGCTCTGACCAGAAGGATTTTGAATGTCCGTCATTGCATGAAGAGGTTGTTGATAGCAATGTAGGTTTTTTTTCCAACATGCACTTCAAATATCCAGCCTCTACCCACTACCCAGTTCCAAAGCAACTTCCACATTTTTAGATAATTGTTACAATGGCACCCAACTCCTGGTACCAATGTTTTGTTAGTTTTCTGACTAGAAGTCTGAGATGAAGTTTTGTTAGGTTGACTTCCTCGGAGGCTTCTCTCTTGGCTTGTTGATGTGGTTTTTCATGTGGTCACCCCTTCTGTTTTTCAGGTGGTCACCCCTCTGTGTGTGTCTGTGTCCTGATACCCTGGACACCAGTCATATTGGATTAGGGCACATCCTAATAACCTCATTTAATGTTAAGTTAGCACTTTAAAGGCCCTATCTTTGATACAGTCACACTCTGAGGTTCTAGAGGTTAGATGTGAACATGTAAATTTGGGGGGATGCAATCAGAGCATAACAGAGGGTAATCAGGGTGGGCCTTGGTTCGTTGTACCTTGTGAGCTCTCACTCTGCCTGAAGTCAGGAGGGAAGAGAGGATGGCAGGTTGAAGAGTCAGAGTTGTGGTGTAGAAGCCACATCTGGGGTCTGTTGGAGGTTTCAGTGGTTGAGCCAAGGCAATGTGTATCCAGTAAGGTCAGGACAGGAGTAATGAGGTGGAGACAGCAGGGCCTTGTGTGGGCTGGGATGGTGGGCAGCGAGCCCAGGAATGCCCATTCATGAGCAGTGCCAGATGGACGCCCTACATGGGATGGGTATCTCCTGTATGAGAATGGGAGGCAGGTGCCAGGGCAGGGAGGTGCATCCTATGAGGTTGGAGGGGGTGGGGGTGGAGGGAGAGGGAGGGAGGGAGGAGAGAGAGGAGAGAGATGCATCACATTATTGCGTATGTGGGTTGCAAGCTGGAGGAGTCTTTCTTCCTAGTAATGATAGGATATGGGTAGGACAAGATGCCTTTTGAGAAGAGATCCAGGATGGAGCCCAACTCCCAGCTAATCTGTGTCTCAGAGGCAGAACGCAGGAAGACCTCACTCTCACACAGTTTTTGGTCCTCCTTATCCTGTGTCCTTGGGATCTCCTTCTGTTTCCCTTTTGGATGTTCAGGTGCGTCCCTCAGATCTCCAGAGGGTTTGATGGCTTCTGTCCATGTGACCCTTCCTAGCCCTGCCTGCCAGATTCACTCAAGATCTGAAGTCCATGGAGGCCTCAGAAGGGGCCACGGCTGTGCTGCAGTGTGAGCTGAGCAAGGTATCCCCTGTGGAGTGGAAGAAGGGTCCTGAGACCCTCAGAGATGGGAGCAGATACAGCCTGAAGCAGGATGGGACGAGGTGTGAGCTGTACATCCACAGCCTGGCTGTGGCTGATGCTGGAGAATACTCGTGCATGTGTGGACGGGAGAAGACCTCAGCCATGCTCACCATCAGGGGTAAAGTCCACACGTCCAGAGCCATATTCTGGTGGCCAGTTGTTCACTTCCTGTTGTCAATTTCTGCTCATTGCATGGTCTCCCCCAGACTGCCACACCCTTTACGTCATGCCACACTGTCCCTTCCAGCTTCCTGGGCTGCTGAAGGAACCAGAAGAAACACATGTACATCCAGATTCCCACCCCGTGATACCACAGGCCCTGTCCTATCAGATTGTCCGTCGTCCATCTTGTCGGGTCCTGTCTACCAGCGCTTTCAAGGAGTCTAACGTTCTTGTTTTATGACCCTCTCTGGCCCTACATGACAGATTCATGTTATCTCTGAGGCCTGAGGAGCCCACGAAGGGGCCATGACTATGGTGTTACCAGGCTGCACAGAGAGAATCTACAGCCTGTGCTTGGCATGCCCTACATGTGGCCTGTGTTCACTTGGAGTTTCTGTCTTCGCTGTGCCATCTGTGTCTTGTCTTGTGCTCAGTGTAATTGTGTCCCTGTCTTTCTGATCCCTTCACCAGCCCTGCCTGCCAGGTTCACAGAGGGTCTGAGGAACAAAGAGGCCAAGGAAGGGGCCACAGCCACCCTGCAATGTGAGCTGAGCAAGGCAGCCCCTGTGGAGTGGAGGAAAGGACTCGAGGCTCTCAGAGATGGGGACAGATACAGCCTGAGACAGGACGGGGCCATGTGTGAGCTGCAGATTCACCGCCTGGCTGTGGCAGATACTGGGGTGTACTCATGTGTGTGTGGGCAGGAGAAGACCTCAGCTACACTCACAGTCAGGGGTAAAGATCCTGTGTGGCCACATGGGCTTGTGGCTTGGTGTATATGCCTCTCTGTGTCACCGCCTTCTGCCTCCAATGTGGCACAGCTCCTGTGGCAACCCTTGATTATCTGTTCTTTACCTGGGGCCCTCTAGATGTCTCCCACCCCCACCCCCATCTCATCAGATGTCCTCCTGCTCATGCACATCCCTGTGTATTCTCTGTGCCTCCTGGGCCATTTGCCTTCTCACTGTTTGTTCATTGCTCATCTTACTGTGGTCCTTTGGTGGTTTGTGTGGCTCCTTATTAATGTCCATGCCCTGTGCAAAGAATCCTCCAGACAGTCTGAAGATGTCAGTGACTGTTTGGTCCTTCTCAGCCCTGCCTGCCAGATTCATAGAGGATGTGAGAAGCCAGAAGGCCACAGAAGGGGCTACAGCCACCCTGCAATGTGAGCTGAGCAAGGCGGCCCCTGTGGAGTGGAGAAAGGGGCCCAGCACCCTCACAGATGGGGACAGATACAGCCTGAGGCAGGACGGGACCAGGTGTGAGCTGCAGATTCGTGGCCTAGTCACAGCAGATGCTGGAGAATACTCGTGCATATGTGGGCAGGAGAAGACCTCAGCCACGCTCACTGTCAGGGGTAAAGACCACGTGTGGCCACCTGAGTGACTTGTCTTCCCCCACCGAACCCACGTGGTCTGTGCTCTCCCAGTGTCTCTAAATGTCATTGACATCTTAGTCACTTATCCGTGTGGTCCATCCCACAAACGCACTGAGAACCCACTTGGATGGCCCTAATCTAGGACCTGGACACACGGACCCCAGGAGTGAATAGTGCCGGGTCCCCAGGAGGCACCAGCAGACAGGTGTCAAGATCCAGGAGGGCCTCCTGGGCCTCTGCCATTTTACAAGGGCCTGTGGATGTGCACCAGCTCTTGGGCCCCAGGCATGGAGGTCAGGAAATGTATGTCCTTAGACACACATAGCAATGGGTTCAGGTCAGGTGCCTCTTCAATCTGGCGAGTTTTCTCATCGATCCTTGTGGTCATTCCAAGCTTCTAAAGGAGTATTGTCTTCATCTGCTCAGGCTGACATAACAAAGCACCGCAGACAGGGTGGCTCAAACCACAGAGATTTATTTTCTCAGAAGTATGGGGCTGAAATCGCAAGATCAAGATGTCAGCCCCTCTTCTTGTAGACAGCTGTCTTCTCGTGTCTTCACATGGTTGTCCCTCTGGGTGCGTATGTGTGGCCTAACCTCTCTTTATAAGGGCACCTCTCTTTATAAGTCATACTGGATTTGGGCCCACCGTAACAACCTCATTTTACCTTTCAATGATTGTCTTTAAACACAGTGACATTCTGGGGTGTGCTGGGGGTCAGGACTTCAACATATGCATTTTTCTGAGGCACAATTCAGACCATAACACTCCACCACCGGCTTCTGAAAATTCATGGCCGCCTCACATGCAAAATATGTTTACTTCTAACAGTCCCAGATCTTAACCAATTTCAGCACCAACTAGTCCAAATTGCCTCTAAATATCAGCGGAGTCAACTGTGAGGGAGACTCATCCTGAAGCAAAATTTTTCTTCATTTGTGAAATCAAGGCAAGTTATTTGCTTTGAAGTCACAGTGGTAGGACAGGCATGGGATGGACATTCTTAATCAGGGAGATACTGGAGAGGAAAAATGAGTCATGGGTCCCAAGCAAGGTGTAACCCAGCAGGACAAATATCATTAGGTTTTAAGGCTTTGGATTAATGCCCTGTCCTCTAGACCCAACAGGATTGCAATTCTACCCCCTCAGCCCTGAGTGGAGGTGTCTGGCTCTCTGTAACTGAGGAGGACAGCCTTACTCCCAGGCCTGTGCCCTCTAGCCCGTGGTTATACTGCCATTGCTGTCAACCTCTGAACCAACTATTGGGTCATTATTCCTTTTTTCTTGCAGAATCTCATGCTTATATCCAGGTAGCTCTATTGGCCCATCCTGTAGATTCTCAGAAGTCTGACAGCCTTCCTTCATCTGTCCCATCTCTGTTCCAATCAGTTCAAGCTAGCAGCATTTCCTCTAGTCTAAAGATCTTAGAAACCTTGTCCCATGCGATCCGTATGGGTGAAACCCACCAGACAAGAGAGTTCTCCACAGATCTTTCCTTGATCATCTCATTTCTATTAATGGCTTCTGCTGAGAGGGCTGAATGGATCCATAAACCACACACCTGATTTGTGTAGCGAATGGTTGTCCAGCCTTGATATTCTACCCAGAACATGCTTTCTCATTTTTTTGCAGTATGTGTGGGCTGCAAATTTGTCTATATCTTCAAGCTCTGGTTCCTTTTTGCTTAACAAATTCTTTTTGAATTTATCTTTCTCCACTCGCATTTTCATATGGAGAAAAACCAGGCTAAGCTTTCAGTTCTTTGCTTAGAACCTTCCCCAGGCAAATATACCCAGTTTTGTTGTTTGTAAGTCCTGCCTTCCACAAAATGCTAGTGAAATTTGACCAGGTTCTCAGTCACTCTATAGCCATGATTATCTTTCTCCAGTTCTTAAGAACATGTCCCCATTGTCATCTGAGGCTTGACCAGAATCACTTAATACCCATGTCTTCACCAACAATTGCTGCCTGGCAAATACTGTTTTTTGGCATGCACCTAAAATATCAGCCACTTCCCATTACCCAATTGTAAAGCCACATCCACATTTATATGTATTTGTTACTTTGGCCCCACTCCTGGGGTTACTTGTTACCCCACTCCTGGTACCAAAGTTTGAGTTTGTTTGCTTGGGGTGCCATAAAGAAAGTATCATAGACTGGGAGGTATAAATAACAGAAATTTATTTCCTCACCATTCTAGAGGCTAGATGTTTGCGCTCCAGGTGTCAGTAGGCTTGGCTCCTTCTGAGGCCTCTCTCCTTGGCTTGTTGACAGTTTTCTCTGTATCTTTGCTGGTCCTTCTGTGTTTGTGTCCTGATCTTTTCTTAGAAGGGAAGCATTTATATTGGATTAGATGCCACCCTTATGATCCCATTTAGCATTAATCACTCCTTGAAAGGCCCTATCTCAAAAATCGTATTCTGAAACAGTGGAAGTTAGGACTTCAACATTTGCCTTTTGTGGAAGCGCAGCCCACAGCAGGCTTTGGCTGTGTAACTGGGTTGGGCCTTGCTTTGCTAACTTGTGAGCCCTCTACCTGGAGTCAGGAGGGAGGAGAGAATGGTAGATTGGAGGTTCAGAGGTGTAGTTAGAGGCCACATCTGATACCTGTCATGATCGAGGTGATATGAGCCAGGGTAGTATGTGGGAATGTGGATTCAGTAGGGTCAGGCCAGGAGCATATTGGATGGAGGCAGCAGGGCCTTGTGTGGGCTGGGATGTTGTATGGTGAGCCCGGGTAGATCCAGGCATGAGCAGTGCTGGATGGAAGCTCTGTCTGCTCAGACTGTCTCTTGTGTGAGCGACGACAATGGGACAGTGGATGTTGGGGCCTGAAGATGCCTCCTGTGTCGTCCTAGAGAGATGCCCATCACATTATTGCATATGTGGGTTGCAAGTTGGAGGAGGCTGTCTGGCTTCCCCATAATGCAAGTTCACGGATAGGACAAGATGCCCTTTGAGAAGAGATCCAGGATGGAGCCCATCTCCCACCAGTCTGCACCTCACAGGGAGAATGTAGGAAGATCTCACTGTCAAATGCGTTTTGGGCCACTTCATCCCAAGTCTCTCCAGCCTTCCTGCTGCTTTTTCCTTCTTGGATGTTCCGGTGTGTCCCTCAGATCCTCCAGAGGGTTTGATGGCTTCTGTCCACGTGACCCTTCCTAGCTCTGCCTGCCCGATTCACTCAAGATCTGAAGATGAAGGAAGCCTCAGAAGGGGCCACGGCTCTGCTGTAGTGTGAGCTGAGCAAGGTGGCCCCTGTGGAGTGGAAGGGACCTGAGACCCTCAGAGATAGTGTCTGTTTCTCCTGTGCCATGTGCTTTCTCACCCTCTGTACCTTTGCTCATTCTGCCATGGTTCTTTGGTGGTTTGTGTGGCTCCTTGTGTGTGTCTGTATCCTGTCCACAGAGTCTTCCAGACAGTCTGATGATCTCAATGCCTGCTTGGTCCTTCCCAGCCCTGCCTGCCAGATTCATAGAAGATGTGAGAAACCAAGAGGCCAGAGAAGGGGCCACGGTTGTGCTGCAGTGTGAGCTGAGCAAAGCAGCCCCCGTGGAGTGGAGGAAGGGGTCTGAGACTCTCAGAGATGGGGACAGATACAGCCTGAGGCAGGATGGGACGAGGTGTGAGCTCCAGATTCGTGGCCTGGCTGTGGAGGACACTGGAGAGTATTTGTGTGTGTGTGGGCAGGAGAGGACCTCAGCTACACTCACTGTCAGGGGTAAAGATCTTGTGTGGTCATGTGGACTTGTGGCCTGGGATCTACGTGTCTCTCTCACCACCTTCTGCTTCCAAATGTGGCACTTCTGTGGCAACCCTGAGGTTGTGCTCTAACTGGAGTCCTCTGGTTATCCCCTTCCTTCCCTTCTCCTCATCAGGAGACATCCTCCTATTTATGCCCATCCCTGTGTGTTCTCTGTTCCTCCTGGGCCACATGCCTTCTCACCTTTGGTACATTCATTTGCTCATTCTGCTGTGGTCCTTTGGTGGTTTGTGTGGCTCCTGTGTGTGTCTGTGTCCTGTCCACAGAGCCATCCAGATAGTGTGATCTCAGTGACTGCTTGGTCCTTCCCAGCCCTGCCTGCCAGATTCATAGACAACATGACAAACCAGGAGGCCACAGAAGGGGCCATGGCCACGCTGCGGTGTGAACTGAGCAAGGCGGCCTCCGTGGAGTGGAGGAAGGGGTCTGAGACTCTCCGAGATGGGGACAGACACAGCCTGAGGCAAGACGGGACCAGATGTGAGCTGCAGATTTGTGGTCTGGCTGTGGCAGATGCTGGGGAGTACTCGTGCGTGTGTGGGCAGGAGAGGACGTCAGCCACACTCACCATCAAGGGTAAAGATCAACGTGGCCAAGTAAAGCCACATTCTGGTGTGCCGGTATTGACCTCATCCCATCCATCTCCACTCATTCTGTGTTGTCTCCCTGTGTGCATGTCACCCTGTTCCCATAATTGCCCAGAATCCCTTCCAGCCTCCTGGGCTGTTGTAGAAAGCAGGAGAAAGCAGCATCTCCAGCCAGCTCCCGCCTGTGTGCCAGCGTGGAGTCAGTCGTATCGCCCTGTTGGCGTCTGTGTATCGTTCTCAATTCCCTTGTATTCTGTCCACCAAGGAGCTCCAGATGATCTGATTTCCACGTGCATCTGGCCCTCTCCAGCTCTGTGTTTGCCAGATTCATACACAGACTGAGGTGTGAGGTGGCCATGGAGGGGCTGCACTGAGGGAAGCCACAGTGCACAGCCCGTGGTCGGCACACCCCGACGTGGCTCATGTCCATTTGGGTTCTGTGTCTTTTTGGTGGTGTCCATGTCCTGTCTCTTCTGTGGGCTCAGAGGCATGAATACGTCCGTATCTTCTGACCTCCCCAGCCTTGCCTGCCAAGTTCACAAAGGGTCTGAGGAATGAAGAGGCCACGGAAGGGGCCATGGCCATGCTGCGGTGTGAGCTGAGCAAGGCGGCCCCTGTGGAGTGGAGGAAGGGAACGGAAATCCTCAGAGATGGGGACAGACACAGCCTGAGGCAGGACGGGTCCAGATGTGAGCTGCAGATCCGTGACCTGGCTGTGGCAGATGCCGGGGAGTACTCGTGCGTGTGCGGGCAGGAGAGGACCTCAGCTATGCTGACCGTCAGGGGTAAAGCTCCTGTGTGGCCAGGTGTTTATCTCTGCAGATAACTTGGTGTCTACATGTTATCTTTTACCTCTATCTCTCCGTGTGCCACCTTCTGTGTCTCAGTGTGGCATGGTCCTGTGGCACCCCATGGTTGTCCGTCCTCTAACCAGGTCCTCTGGGCACCTCCCGCCTCCCCATCTTGCCCAGGAGGCGTCCTCATGCCCATGTCCTTCTCCACGTGTGTCCTCTGTTCCTCCTGGTCCATTTGCTTCCTCCCGTGTGAACGTTCATTTGCTCCTTCACGTGTGGTCCTTTGGTGGTTTGTGTGGTTCCTTGTGGGTGCCCATGTCCTGTCCACAGAGTTCTCCAGACAGTCCGATGATCTCAGTGACTGCTTGGTCCTTCCCAGCCCTGCCTGCCAGGTTCATAGAAGACATGAGAAGCCAGGAGGCCAGAGAAGGGGCCACGGCCACGCTGCGGTGTCAGCTGAGCAAGGCGGCCCCCGTGGAGTGGAGGAAGGGATCTGAGAGCCTCAGAGATGGGGACAGATACAGCCTGAGGCGGGACGGGACCAGGTGTGAGCTGCAGATCCGTGGGCTATCCGTGGCAGACACTGGGGAGTACTCGTGTGTGTGCGGGCAGGAGAGGACATCAGCCATGCTCACTGTCAAGGGTAATGACCTCACGTGGCTGCGTGGACTGACATGGGTGTGTGGCCTCCTCTGTGTGCAGTCACGGTCACTGCACACCTGCTTGTGGGTGCTTGTTTCCTCTGCCTCCTGCAGTTTCCTCTTCCCCTCTGCTCATGGGTCCCAGTGTTATCCTGTGCCCTGGTGTCTGTACTGAGCTCCAGCCACAGTGACCTTGGGTACAAGTCATGGTGGTAGGGAAGGAACTCCTGCCTCGTTGCCTTCCCCCTGCCTCTCATCACCCCCTAGTCGACCAACTTTCTGCCAGCCTTCATTTGAGCCCTGCAGTCTCAGCCACAGGGTCTCATGTCCTCGGAGGGAGGCCTCTGGTGCCTAGCAAGGGGAGGCAGGACCTAGAGCCCTGGGCCCTGTGTGCTGGCCCTGGTTCTGTGTAGCCTTGAGGGGCAAACAGTCCCCACGGCACCTGAGGGCCTAAGGGGACCTGGTTCCTGCCCTGGAGTCTGGGGGCCACTGGCCCCAGTCTGCGATCTGAATATATATCTGTGCCCTGGGGCTTGGGTGCCCAGGGAGGGAGGATGGAACCTATAGCCCCAGGCCCTGGCATCGGCCTGGGATCTGGGGGACTCAGCTCTGCCCTCGGGTCTGGGGCACAGGGCCTCACCCAGCAGCTCTCCAGCCAGCTCCTACCTGTGTACCAGGGAGAGTACACACCCCTGCCCTGGGCCCTGGGGGCTGTGGCCCTGCGGGGGTTGCGGGTGGGATCCTGGGCGAGAGGCCAGCCTCCTAAGCCCCTCCCGGCTTTCCCAGCGATCTGCCTCCTTACTTCCGAATCGCGGACCAGTGGTCCCCACTGCCACCTGAGGCGGCACTGCCTGTGAGGCCAGGCCAGGGAGCTGGGGGGAGCCCAGGCCCTCATCTGCCGGCCTGGAGGGCGACGCCCGGTGCAGATCTGGAGCTGACCCTGCCCCCTGCCCCCTGTGTCCTGCGTCCTGCCCGCTGCAGCCCCACAGTCCGTGTTCCGGGAGCCACTGAAGAGTCTGCAGGTGGAGGAGGGCTCCAGCGCCAGCCTGCGGTGTGAGCTGTCTGAGCCCGCCACTGCAGTGGTCTGGAGCAAGGGTGGCCTGGAGCTGCAGGCCGACGGGCACCGGGAGCCACGGCTTCAGGGCTGCATGGCGGAGCTGGTGTTACGGGACCTGCTGCGTGAAGACACCGGCGAGTACACCTGCACCTGCGGCTCCCAGAGCACCAGCGCCACCCTCACCGTCACAGGTGGGCTCCCAGGCTGGCCTGGCCCAGGATCTAGGCCAGTTCCAGTGCTCTGGGCTGACCCTTGGGGCTGCTCTCCACCTGGGGGTCCCAGCTGAGGAGATGGCTCCACAGGGCAGGGGTCGGACCTGGCCCAAGGCCCTGCTCCTTCCCAGTAGCCGCTCGATGCAGTCTCCCCTCCCCCGCTTCCCTGTGTCACGCCCACTGTGCGTTCCCCCTTAGCGCCCTTCGGGGACCTGCCCTCACGCCCCGTTCCTCCCTGGCAGCGGCACCTGTGCAGGTTCCTCCAAGGGCTGCAGCCCCAGGAGGTGGACGAGGGCGACACGGCGCGCCTGCGCTGCGAGCTGAGCCGGCCGGGCGCCAGCGTGGAGTGGCGCAAGGGCTCCCTGCAGCTCTTCCCTTGTGCCAAGTACCAGATGGTGCAGGACGGGGCCGCTGCGGAGTTGCTGGTACGCGGTGTGGAGCAGGAGGACACGGGCGACTACACGTGCGACACGGGCCACACGCAGAGCACAGCCAGCCTCTCCGTCCGTGGTGAGCCGCTCGCCAGCCCTGCCTCCCACAGCCCTTCACCCTTGGTCGGCGGCCAGGGGCGCTGAGTGTGCCTTCCTGCCTCTCCCCCAGTCCCCAGGCCCAAGTTCACGACCCGGCTGCAGAGCCTGGAGCAGCAGGCAGGTGCCGTAGCCCGGCTGTGCTGTCAGCTGAGCGACACAGAGCGGGGGGCCACGGTGCAATGGCTCAAGGAGGGCGTGGAGCTGCATGCGGGCCCCAAGTATGAGATGAGGAGCCAGGGGGCCACGCGGGAGCTGCTGATCCACCAACTGGAGCCTAAGGACACGGGCGAGTATGCCTGTGTGACAGGTGGCCAGAAAACCGCTGCCTCCCTCCGGGTCACAGGTGAGCCTTGGGGCCTCCCAGAGGAGGCGGCGAGCCGCTCCCTGCCATCCGCCCCTCATGGCGGCCTTCTGGGTGCACCTGAGCCCTGCTCTCACGCCATTTTCCTCCTCACCCCCGCACTTCCCGGTGTCCCTGTCGGGGCTCTCTGGGAAACAGGCTGTAGCCCCTCAAGCCCACCTGCGGCCGGCGTGTGGGCGCCCTGCTGACCGCTCCTGTTTCTCCCGCAAGCCTTGCCTCCCTGCTGTGCTAGCCAGGGTGGGGCTGCGGTATTGGAGTGGACGGGCTCCCAGGACCCTTCCCAAGGATTTCTCAGACACAACTGCCTCTTGGCCTATACCCCGACCCAGGGTCTGTCCCCAAAGAGCTGCCATTGTGGGATCCGTGCTTGTGAGCACATCAGGAGACAGAGACCATGTAGGACAGATGGGCCATGGCAGAGGAGTGTGAGGGTGCCCAGGAAGGCTTCCTGGAGGAGGGGGCATGGGAGCTTGGCCTGGGCTCTTTTACTTGGCTGGTGAAGGGGACCCTCTCGCCTCACCCCTCAGAGCCCGAAGTGACCATTGTGCGGGGGCTGGTTGACGCGGAGGTGCCTGCCGACGAGGATGTTGAGTTCAGCTGTGAGGTGTCCCGGGCCGGAGCCACAGATGTGCAGTGGTGCCTGCAGGGCCTGCCGCTGCAAAGCAACGAGGTGACAGAGGTGGCCGTGCGGGATGGCCGCATCCACACCCTGCGGCTGAAGGGCGTGACGCCTGAGGACGCCGGCACTGTCTCCTTCCGCGTGGGCGGCCACGCTTCTTCCGCCCAGCTCACTATCAGAGGTAGCCGCAGGCGGGCCCCACCAGTGACTGCACTGGGGACGGAGACAGCAAAGGTCCCTGCCTTTGAAGCTGGGGGGCCTGGCAGGAAGGTGGACCTGTGGGCTGGCACTTCAGGGTGGCCCCAAGATGTCAGGGGAGAGTGGGCTGAGTCAGGCTGGTAGGGTAGGTTGTCGTGGGCTTCCCATAGGCTGACACAGTGTTGGAGTTTGGGTCTTGGCCCTCATGGGGTCCACTGCAAACCGGGGCCACTGCAAACCGGGGCCCACTCTCAGCCGTCAGTCATCTGCACCATCTCCTCTAATTCTCACCTGGGGCCCATTTACCCGCCTGCCATCCACCCATTCACCGTCCGTCCTTCGTCCCTCCAATCCATCGATCCATCCACAGTCCTTCTATTTATCCACTGATCAGCCATCCGGCCATCCACTTATTATCCATCCATTCATTCCCCCATTGATCCATTTACCTGTCCACTGTCCATCAGAGCAGACCTGCCTGCAGCTGGAGTGGGGAGCTGAGAACAGGCCCCCACGTGCTTATCTGTGTGCCTTTGGAGAGGATACCCAGGGATGGCCTCCCAGGACGATGAGACTGCTCATTGAGGGGGTACCTCAGATGCTGAGGCTGACACCCATGCCTCCCCTGTGTCCAGCTCCTGAGGTGACCATCCTGGAGCCCCTGCAGGACGTGCAGCTCAGTGAGGGCCAGGATGCCAGCTTCCAGTGCCGGCTATCCAGAGCCTCGGGCCAGGAAGCCCGCTGGGCTTTAGGAGGCGTGCCCCTGCAGGCCAACGAGATGAACGACATCGCTGTGGAGCAGGGCACACTCCACCTGCTCACCCTACACAAGGTGGGGCCCCCGGGACCCGCATGTACCAGGATGGGGATGTTTCCCACTGCATTTGGGAAGGCCTCCCTCCAGGGGGGTGTGTTGGGGGGTGAGCCCCTGTCATGGAGGTCTGGCAAGATGGCTGGGCTCCTCGTGGGTGGGATGGGGCTCCCAGGGTCAAGCATGTTTCTCCCTGATTCCTCAGGTGACCCTTGAGGATACTGGAACTGTCAGCTTCCACGTGGGCACGTGTAGCTCCGAGGCCCAGCTGAAGGTCACAGGTGGGCAGCCCCCTCCCACACCGGTCACTCTGCCTGCAGATACTCAGCTTCCTGGGTACCAGAATATCCTACCCATTGGTGCTGTCCGCGGGTGGTGGGAGCAGAAATCTAAGACTTCCAAAAGTGATCTTGTCTTGGGGCTGGCAATTTTCCAACTCCTGGCCACTGAAGCCATTGGACCAGAGAGGTTACTGGGGGTTAGGCTGGTGAAGATAGTCTTGAGAAATTCCAGGGCGTGTGGGGGGTCCTCTCCGGGATTAATGCCACTTGCAGGAGGGAGATGGGGGGCCCAGCTGCCACAGGCGTGGGCCCTAAGGTAAGGCAGGGCCTTCCTGACTTCCACGCTCCCGACGCCGCCTCCTGTGATACGGATGCACGCACAGGCCAGCGCATCCACGTTTACACACATCTGCCCGCCTCAGGCTTGAAGGTGCAGGTGCAGAAGCATGCCTATGACAAGCGTACAGATTTGGGCAAGCGCGCAAAAGGATTTTAGGACCCTTCAGCTTGGGTTATACCTTGTCCCCAGAGCTGGCCATCCCTGAGTGCTTGTCCTTGAGTGCTCTTCCCCGAGGCCTCAGTCAGGTCCCGTCTGTGTCCTCGTCATCATCCCTTTATCCATTCACCTATCCACCTTCCATCCATCTGCTATGTGTCATCAATCCGTCATCTGTCCATTCATCTGTCACCCATCCTTGTACCATCTGTCCATCAATCCATTCGCAAACCATCCATTCATCCATCCAGCATCCACACACCTACCGTGCATCCAGTCGCCATCCACCGTCTCTCCATCCTGCTGCTCATCCATTGATCCCTCTGCATCCATCCATCCGCACACCCAGGCATCCGCTGTTCATCCGTGTACTATCCATCTATCCATCTGCTACCCATCCTTCCATTCACCTACCATCCACCCATCCATCCATCTGCTCACCTGTCTGCCATTCATCTACCCTTTCCCATCCACTCAGGTATTCGTCATTCACTCGGCCACTAGCCACCTGGCTTCCCGTTCATCCACTGTATCCACCGTCCATCATACACTCACAGTCCACCTCCATCCATTCATTCACAGTGGAACATGCCCTCTAAGCTCCTAACCAAGTCCTGAGCCTCACAATGGGCTGGATGCAGTCTGCCCTCAGGGAGTCCCCAGTCCGTTGGGGGAGTTGGACCTGGGGGTAGCGTGTCCTTCATCCTAGGGGCCACCTCCCACTCCCAAGTCATTAAAAGGAGACAGATGCAGTCAGTTCTGTGGCCTGTGGGTTTGGGAAAGGTTCCAAATGTCAGTGCCCTCCAGTTGAGTGATGAAGATGGGGAGTTTCCCAGGTGTCCTGAGCAGGGGCAGGATAGCAAGGGCCTGGTGTGGTCGTTGCAGTGGGCAACTGTATGGAGCTGCGTGGAGCTGGGCTGTACTTTGGCCCCGGTCTCGGTGAGGTGCTCTCAGCCTGGGTGAGCTGGCTCACAGGCAGACACCTGGCTCTGACCTTGTGGTGACGGCCCGGGCACAGGTGTGTAAATGGGCGCCCATCCCAGGTCGGTGACGTGGTCGAAGAGCTGGGAAACTGCAGGAGACAAGAATGGAAAGCTAGCGGAGTCGGATGAGGCGGTGGCCAGATGTGCCGTTGGGGGAGACGGTGGAGGGCAGGCCGGGAGCTGGTGCTGGGGTGTCAGTGGCGCATGCGAGGGACAGCGTGGAGGGGCTTCCAGTGGAAGGCCTCGGGAGGGCGCAGGGGCTGATCTGCCTGCTGCGGTCCTGATGGGCGGCTGGTGTCTCTGGAAGTGCTCCCCACTCACGCTCCTCACTCCATGGGATGCGAGTCTCTGGGCCAACTGCAGTTTCTCTCTCTTTGTGAGGAGGCTCACAGGATGGCCTCTGGAAATCCTTCAGGGGCAGGCAAGGATGGAGGGCGGCAGGTGGTGGAATAAGCCTTTGGTTCTGTCTTCCTCTCTTGCCTGTGGCGTGTGGGGTTCAGCCGTGTGGGCACAGTAGCCTGGGCACGTTCTCTGCCGAGACCACCCTGAGTTTCCATCTGAGAAGGAGATGGGTGGAGGAGGAGAGAGTGAGGGCACAGGGCAGGTAGTGACCACACGTGTCTGGACAGCCCCTTGAGTCTGGGCCCTGCTGTGTGACCGGGAAGGGAGCAGTTGCCACTCAACATTAGGGCCCTGGGATTCTGGACGGAAGGGACCTTGGAGGACATCTGGACAAAGTGCCCCCGTGGGATGGGCGAAGTGTCTGCCGCCACAGCCCCGGGGACACGGAGCTCATTTCCGAGGTGAACTCCCGTCCTCTCACAGTAGCAGGCCCTGTGGCTGCTCCTTCCCAACCCACATTGGGTCAGACAAGGCACCAAAGGTCAGAAAGAACCCCAGCCATGGGGCTTGGAGCTTGTGCTTCTGAGAAGGGCACGCGTGCCTGTCATCAGCCTCCTGTGGGTGAGACCAGGCATGTTCCGAAGGGGTGTGTGGGGTGCGGGTCTGTGAGCTGGGGCTGAGCCCCTCTCCATTCTCACTGTGGGTGGTCTCTGTGCCTCCCTCTGTGATCAGGGTGGGCCAGCTGGCCTGGGTGGAGTTCTAGACCCTAACCCTCAGTCACCCTCCTGGCCTGGGTGGTACCAGCTCTGGCAGACCCCAGGGTGGCCGTGTACCAGTTGCTGGCCCCAGACTATTCTAGCAAGTCCCGTTTTTGGCAGGGGCGAGGGGGTGAGTTATGTGATCACAGCTCAGTATAGCCTCAAGCTCCTGGGCTCAAGCTGTCCTCCCACCTCAGCTTTAGGAGGAGCTGGGATTCCAGGCACGTGATGCCTCCACAGGGTCTTACCGTGTTGCCCAGGCTGGTCTGGAACTCCTGGGCTCAGTCCTCCTACCTTGACCTTCCAGAGTGCTGGGATTATAGGCGTGAGCCACTGTGCCTGGCCAGTTCCCACTTCTGACAGCAATTCTAGAGAACAACACACTCACTGACTTTCTCCTGTTATTCTCTCAGCCCAGAACACTCTGTGACCAGATGTCTGGGGGCCACACGTCAAGCGATTCTCTAGCAGATAGCAACTGGCTGTCTACAACTCAGTTCAATCCTGACACTTTCTACTTGGAGTTAGAGTCAGAGTTCACAGGTTAAGGGCTCAGTCCCACAAGACGGCCCCCGCTCAGATGCCAGTGGGAAGTCTCGGGCCACCCACACTTTTGACGGAACAGCTGTGAAATGGGGTTCCCACTACCACTCCTTGAGTTTAATTAACTTGCTAACACAGCTCCCAGAATTCATAGAAACACTTGTATTGAGCAGCTATTATAAAGGATACAGCTCAGGGACAGCCATGTAGAAAAGATTTAAAGGGCAAAGACCTTCCGTGTCCCCTGTGCGTGTGCCATGCTCCCAACTCTCTGCACCTTCACCAACCTGGGAACTCACCAAATCTCATTCGGGAGTTTTCATAGAGCATCATCTCTGACCCCCTCTCCGCGTCCTAGAGGTGGGACGGTGGGAAACTTTCAACCCTCTGAACACTTGGCCTTTCTAGAGGCCCATTCTGGTGCTGTCCGGGACCCCTACCTGAGCCACCTCATTAGCGTAAGCTCATTGTGAACACTCAGGGACTTCTGAGGGCTTTAGGACCTCTGTGCCAGGGACCAAGGACAGAGACCCAATCTATTTTTGTGCCACACCTCCGCACCAGTGAAGCCTGAAGTGGCCCAGTCCTGTGGACTCCGGGGTGCCCTAGCCTGGCCCTTCTTCTTACCCTCTTGTGCAGAGGCAGCGCCGTGCCTGGTACGTGGCTTGCAGAATGTGGATGTCTTCGCGGGGGAGGTGGCCACGTTCTCCTGTGAGGTGTCTCACGCGGGTGGGCCGGAGGCTCGCTGGTGGCTGGATGGGACCCTGCTGCAGGATGGCCCCCAGAGCGCCATCGCTGTGCGCGAAGGGACTTTTCACTCCCTCGCGCTCTCAGGCCTGGGGGTGTCCGACTCCGGCACCGTCACCTTCCGCGCAGGGCCCCTGGTCTCCATGGCCAAGTTGTTGATCAAAGGTATTGGCCAGTGGGAAACCCCACCATGCTGGCACTTGTGTGTGCTTCCTGCAGCCTCCTGGGATCAGGGATTGGCCCCCAGGGCCACAGGCTGGGCACCGCTCTATGCGTGGCTGTTTGCCTGCAGAAGCACAGGTGGGCACTCAGGGTGGGTGAGAAGCCTGGACACCAGTCTGTGCCCTGCGGGCCATCACCTTGCTGGCTGCACGTGCCCAGCCATGAAACCTAGTCCCTTGTGGAGGCAAGAGCAGCCCTGTGCAGCCCGCCCTGCTCGCACCTGCTTCCCCCGCCGTGAGCTCGGGCTGGCTTTGTGCCCTTCTGGGAAAGAGCTGGCCATCCGGGAGCCCCTCCCAGTGACTCACATGGTGCCTTTGCCCCCTGTACACCCTCATAGAAAATGTGGAATGTTTTCCTGGGTCCCGGGGGCAAACAGCCATTTGTGGAGTAGGATTTGGACAGGTGGAGATGGCACGGGGACCCCAAGAGAGATGGCAGAAGGAGCGAGCTGGGCTGGGGCTCTGGCTCCTGAGCCAGGGTCAGAGGGCATTTGGAGAGGGGGACTTTGGGGGCTGTGTGTCCCTTGGGGTAGTGTGCCCAGGGCCAGAGGGAGGTAGGGGCAAAAGGGACCAGGAGGGGCCCACCTGGAAAGAGAGCAAGCCTGACAGTGCTATCTGCCATGGGTGGGGGTGAGGCGTGTCTGCAGTGGACGGGTGGGCCTCCTTCCCTGGGCCACGTGCCTGGCGGTCACTGCCCAGCCATTGCGTGCCACAGCTTTGCGCTTGCTGCCACTGAAGCTGCTGACGCTGACAGCAGAGGGTGGGCAGGCTGTGGAGGCTCAGCGCGGGGGCTGACGTGTGTCTGGCATGTTGGCCGACAGATCCCGTGGTGGAGGTGGTCAGTGCCATGCAGGACCTGGCCGTGGAGGAGGGCAGCTCGGCTGAGCTCCTCTGCCAGTACTCACGGCCCGTGCGGGCCACGTGGAAGATGGACGAGCGGGAGGTGTGCGCGGATGGGCGCCGCGTCATCATAGAGCAGGACTGGAACGTGGCCAGGCTGACCTTCAGGCCGGCCTTGCCCTGTGACAGTGGCATCTATTCTTGTGAGGCTGCGGGCACCCGCGTAGTGGCCCTGCTGCAAGTGCAAGGTGAGGCCGCCTGGGGGGCAGCCCTAGGCCCGGGGTGGCTTTGGCACAGCTTGGGCCACGCAGTGACAGAGGAACGGCCGGCGGTGTCCACTAGTGCTGGGACGTAGGTGGCTCGGATAGGTGGCAACAGGCCCTGGAGGTGGCAAGCTGGCTGCAGCAGGAGCTGAGCTGTGGGCAGGCAGGGCACGCACAGCTGCCGGGCTTGTGGCTTCCGTGAGGAGTGTGTGGCCACGTGTGGGACTCCTAGACGAGAATTAGAGAGGGAGGGGGCGCAGAGGGCGGTGGACTAGTGAGGAGGTCTCTGGTTGGTGTGAGTCTGAGCACGGCATCCCGGTGGCCAGGCAGTGGGTCTGCTAGCTCTGTTTGGGGTGCGGAGAAAGGGCTGTTCCCAGACCTTGAAGCTGCAGCAGGGCCCTGGCGGGTACAGCCCAGCTCGAGCCTCACGTCTGCGTTTGAGCCCGGTTGTGCGGTTGGCGAGTCCCTAGTCTTGTAAACACCCCCTGTGAGGTCAGGAGCCCAGTGCCAAAGTAAGCAGGGCGTGGCGTGGAGGTGGTCAGTGCCATGCCCTGGACGCTGAGTGCCCCACTCCATGTAGCGTCTGGGGAGGGGCATTTTGTTTGGCTTTTTGTAGTTTTCAGGGCTCTCCCCGGGGATGTGGGGACCCTGGAAGTGCAGGCTGGTCTGAGACTCCCTCTCCCCGCAGCCAAGAACACGGTGGTGCGGGGGCTGGAGAACGTGGAGGCGCTGGAGGGCGGCGAGGCGCTGTTTGAGTGCCAGCTGTCCCAGCCCGAGGTGGCCGCCCACAGCTGGCTGCTGGACGACGAGCCCGTGCGCACCTCAGAGAACGCCGAGGTGGTCTACTTTGAGAACGGCCTGCGCCACCTGCTGCTTCTCAAAAACTTGCGGCCCCAGGACAGCTGCCGGGTGACCTTCCTGGCTGGGGACATGGTGACCTCTGCGTTCCTCACGGTCCGAGGTGACTGAGTGGTGCCGGTGCGGGTCGGGCCGGATCCCTCCCGCCAGAGGCTGCAGAGGCCTGGGGCTGGGGGCTGTGGCTGCAGACGGGTGTCAGGGGCGGAGGCCCTGGGGCTGCGGGGGGTGGGGGGCAGGAGAAGGGAGCGACACGAGGGGCGGGGCTCTCCAGGGGCTGCTCCTTCCACCTGACGCCCACAGCCACCCGCTCCGCAGTGGGTAGGAGCCCCAGGCCCGGGGCCCAGGAGGGGTGGCACAGCGCGTGCGTCCTGTGCCGAGACCAGAGGCGCCCAGAGCTGGGAGGGGACTGTTGGTCTCTGGGACCCACAGGAGGTTGGGTTGAAGGCAGGAAGGACGGGGCAGGGCTGGGGGCCAAGCAGGGGTATCCCGGTGGGAGGCTGGGCTGCCCTCGCCAGAGGGGCTCGTGGGGCCACAGGTAGGGCGCCTTGGTCTCCTGGACCCCTCCCACCCACGCAGGTGTTGACGAAGCGAGGGTCTGAAGCCCAGGCACCGGCCCCCTGCTCAGGCCCTCGCCCTCACACCCCGTCCCCCGCATGGCCGCAGGCTGGCGCCTGGAGATCCTGGAGCCGCTGAAGGACGCGGTGGTCCCGGCCGGCGCGCAGGCCCGCTTCACCTGCACGCTCAGCGAGGCGGTGCCGGTGGGAGAGGCGTCCTGGTACATCAACGGCGCGGCGGTGCAGCCGGACGATGCGGACTGGACGGTCACCGCCGACGGCAGTCACCACGCCCTGCTGCTGCGCGGCGCCCAGCCCCACCACGCCGGGGAGGTCACCTTCGCTTGCCGCGACGCCGTGGCCTCTGCGCGGCTCACTGTGCTGGGTGGGTGGTAGGCGAGCTCCCTGCTCCCTCCCTTGCAGGTCGGTCTGGGGGCGTCCCAGGCTGGGTTCTGCAGCATCTGCCCACTCCACACCCTCCGGTTGGCTGCCTGCAGATAGGGGCCTGACCGTGGGGGTTTGGAAGGCTGCCCTGGCCGGGCATAACCGTGCATGGGCCCACCGTCCTCGGGTTCCTGAGGCCAAGGTGCCCTCATCCTGCCCCATCTCCCCACCTTCCCCCACCCCCAGTGCACATCTGAGCCCAGCTCTGGGCAGACCGGAGGTAGGAGGGGCTCTGACCCCAGAGGCTGCTGGGGGCTGTCCACGCCAGGTGGCTCCGGGCACAGTCTCCATGTGATATGCAGGTGCCCTGCCACGGGGCCTGGGCAGCAGCCCGCACTCCCTGAGACAGGTGGGCCACTGGCACAGCAGCACAGAGCCTCAGGGTGTGGCCACCTGCAGGCAGTACAGAGCCCAGTGGCCTCCAGAGGGGCTGTTCGTGCCAACAGGGAACTGCCCCTGACCAGTCCCCCTTCCCCCCAGGCCTCCCTGAGCCCCCAGAGGATGCTGAGGTGGTGGCTCGCAGTGGCCATGCAGTGACACTGTCTTGGGCGGCTCCCACGAGCGATGGAGGTGGTGGTCTCTGTGGCTACCGCGTGGAGGTGAAGGAGGGGGCCACTGGCCAGTGGCGGCTATGCCACGATCTGGTGCCTGGACCCGAGTGTGTGGTGGATGGTCTCTCCCCTGGGGAGACCTACCGCTTCCGTGTGGCAGCTGTGGGCCCTGCGGGCGCCGGGGAGCCGGTGCACCTGCCCCAGACTGTGCAACTTGGTGAGTTGCTGCACTGGGCCCTGGGGAGTTCACAGCCTCCGCAAGCTGGAGGAGGGTGGGGGGAGGAGAGTGGGGGGAGGAGGGTAGGGGGAGGAGGGTGGGGGGAGGAGGGCGGGGGGAGGAGGGCGGGGGGAGGAGGGCGGGGAGAGGAGGGCGGGGGGAGGAGGGTGGGGGGAGGAGGGTGGGGGGAGGAGGGTGGGGGGAGGAGGGTAGGGGGAGGAGGGCGGGGCCTCGGGGTGGGGCCTGCGCTCTGGGTGCATCTTTGCTGATGGGGCCTGTTCTCCTCCATGGATGCTGTTCCCAGCAGAGCCACCAAAGCCTGTGCCTCCCCAGCCCTCAGCTCTTGAGAGCCGGCAGGTGGCAGCGGGTGAGGATGTCTGTCTGGAGCTCGAGGTGGCCGCTGAGGCTGGCGAGGTCGTCTGGCACAAAGGGACGGAGCGCATCCAACCCAGTGGGCGCTTCGAGCTGGTCTCCCAGGGTCGGCGACAGATGCTGGTGATCAGGGGCTTCACGGCAGAAGACGAGGGCGAGTACCGCTGTGGTCTGGCCCAGGGCTCCGCCTGCCCCGAGGCTGCCACCTTCCAGGGTGCGTGGGCCCTGTCCTCCCAGCTCCAGGGTGGGGAGCTCTGGGTGGGGGTGCAGCTTGCCCACCTTCTCACAGGCTCTCTCAGGGAAGGGCTGAGGGTCCTCTTGAGGACCCCACCATGTGGGAGAGACCGAGGCTCAGTAGGGAGATGTGCAAACCCCACGTGCAGAGCCTTGATGGCCGAGGACGGCCTCCCTGTCCCCGAACAGGTCCGGGCTGGTCCAACACTTGGTTCTCCTTTTCCGGTCCCTGTAAGATTCTGGGCCCCTGTACACATCCCCTGTATTCTGAACTCCCTGCAACTCCCAGTGCTCCAAGCCACCCCACACTCTGAGGCCCATCCTTTGCACTCTGAGCCTGAGCCCCCCGCCTGGCAGCCAGCACTCCCATGAGTCTAGGTGCTCTATCCCGGAAGCAGGGTCAGAAGGGCTCAAATCAGCCCAATTTGCCTTTGCAGAGTCCTTTTCTGTTCCAGGCATCACATGTCCTGTACAGGGAGGTAGACTGAGGCCCCACTCCAAGCGGGAGAGCCGAGGCTCAGGGGCTCTGAGACTTGCAAAGATTGTGCCATCTGAAGTAGCCAGTGCCAGGCGGGCAGAGAGGCCTAGCAAGGCCACAGCCCAGCCACACGCTGATTAGCAGCGGAGGTGGGTCTGGGCTGTTAGCTCTGTCCCAGCCCACTGACCCGTCTCCTGCCTTCCTCAGTGGTGCTGAGCCCAGCCTCTGTGGATGAGGCCCCCCCGCAGCCCAGCCTGCCCCCCGAGGCCGCTCAGGAGGGCGACCTGCACCTGCTGTGGGAGGCCCTGGCTCGAAGGCGGCGCATGAGCCGTGAGCCCACGCTGGACTCCATCAGCGAGCTGCCCGAGGAGGACGGCCGCTCGCAGCGCCTGCCCCGGGAGGCAGAGGAGGTGGCTCCTGACTTCTCCGAAGGCTACTCCACGGCCGATGAGCTGGCACGCACCGGAGAGGCTGACCTCTCACACACCAGCTCTGATGACGAGTCCCGGGCAGGCACCCCTTCCCTGGTCACCTACCTCAAGAAGGCCGGGAGGCCAGGCACGTCACCACTGGTCAGCAAGGTGAGCACCCCAACTTGGCCTGCAAGGAGGTCTGAGACCTTCGCCATCCTTCCATCCCTCCCTCCATCCCTCCACCATTCATCCACCCATACATGCATCTATTCATCTATCATTTTTCCTTCTGTGCATCCGCTCATCTACCATTCATCCATCTAGCCATGCATCCATTTATCCATCTTTACTTCCTTCCTTCCATGTCCCATCCAGGCATCTGTCCATCCACCATCCATCCATTCATTCTTGCATCCATCTACCATTCATTCACCTATCCGTGCATCCATCCATCCATCCTTCCACCCATCCATCCACCACCCATCCTTCCTTCCATCCATCCACCTGCCATCCATCCATTCATGCATCCATCTTTCCATCCTCTCCCACTTCTACCATCCATCCAATCATACATTTGTCTTTCTTTCCTTTCATCTGTTTATTCATTATCCATCCATCCGTTCATCCATCCATCCGCCACCAGCCCACTCATGCTTCTGTCTTTTCTTCCTTTCATCTGTTCATCATCCATCCATCCTTCCATCCACCCACACATGAGCCATCCATCAATGCGTGCATTTATTCTCTTCTGTCCATCCACCATCCATCCTTCAATCCATGCATCTATTTTTCCATTTATCCATTTATGTTCCCATTTTTCCTTTTATTCATTCATCCGTTCATGCATTCTTTTTTCCTTTCATCCACCCATTTACTTATGTGTCCATCTTCCTTTACTTTCTTTTTTTCTCTTTTTTCCATATTCGACACCAGCTTGAACCAGACCTTTATTTTCATCTGTTCATTCGCCTGCCATCTGCTCATCCATATGTTCCTCTTTCTTTCCTTTCTTCCATCTATCCATCCACCGTCTATCCGCCCATGCACACATGCTTCCTTCCATCTAGTCTCCATCCACCCATCTGCCATCTATGTACTCATCCCTCCATTGTCTATTCATTGTCCTACCGTCTGTCCATTCACCGTCCACCTGCCAGCCTCCACCCGTCCGTCCATGCATGCATCCATCCTTCCTTCTTTTCAGCTCTTCATCCATCGTTCTCTCTGACTTGCATCTGTCGACCCGCTGTCCGTTCATGTATCCACCCAGCGTACTTCCATTTATCCATCCGTCTGCTATCCATGTGCCACTCCTGTGCCTGTTCACCTGCTTATTGATTTATCTGTCAGCCTGTTCACCCACCCATGCAACCATACAACTCCATTCACGTGCTGTTTATCCATCCACTATTCGTCCGTGATCTATTCCTGTACTTGTTCACCTGCTCATCTGTTTAGCTGCCAGCCTGTTTACCCGCTCATCCACCCATACCACCATCTGCCTAACCATTCACTCACCCGCCACCCACGCACCCACCCGCATACACGTACACCTGTTCTCCCATTCAACCCTCCTTTCATCGGCGTATCTCTCCATGCACCCTGCACCCACCCAGTCCTATACCCGCCTGACTGTTAAAACTTTGCCCCGAAGAGTTAGAACTGGCCTCATCTTCACAACCCTGTTCATGCCCGTCTGGGTGACTGTAAAGTGATTTCCAGGAAGTGGGCTTGCCTTTTGGGAGGCGCTGTCGGACATCTAGGTCAGTCGAAGCTAGTGTGGGTCCAGTTGGTAGGAGGGAAAAGGGCTTACTGGAGCGAGACCTGGGGCTGTCCCTGCGTGCGTCCCGGGCTAGTCCTGCCCTGTTTCTGGCCTCAGTTTCCCTGTCTCACCATGACATCAGGCTCTGTGCCCACAGGTCGGGGCCCCAGCAGCCCCCTCTGTGAAGCCACAGGAGCAGCAGGAGCCGCTGGCTGCTGTGCGCCCACCACGGGGAGACCTGGAGGACCCCTCAGTGGACAAGGCAGCTGTGAAGATCCAGGCCGCCTTTAAGGGCTACAAGGTTCGGAAAGAGATGAAGCAGCAGGAAGGGCCCGTGTTCTCCCACACATTTGGGGACACTGAGGCACAGGTGGGGGATGCCCTGCGGCTGGAGTGTGTTGTGGCCAGCAAGACAGATGCGCGAGCCCGCTGGCTGAAGGATGGCATGGAGCTGACGGATGGGCGGCACCATCACATCGACCAGCTTGGGGATGGCACCTGCTCTCTGCTGATTACTGGCCTAGGCCGTGCTGATGCTGGCCACTACACCTGCCAGGTGAGCAACAAGTTTGGCCAGGTAGCCCACAGTGCCTGCGTGGTGGTCAGCGGCACAGAGAGTGAGGCTGAGAGCTCCTCCGGGGGTGAGCTGGACGATACCTTCCGCCGGGCCGCCCGGCGGCTGCACCGGCTCTTCCGCACCAAGAGCCCGGCCGAGGTTTCAGACGAGGAACTCTTCCTGAGCGCAGACGAGGGCCCTGCGGGGCCAGAGGAGCCCGCAGACTGGCAGACATACCACGAAGACGAGCATTCCATCCGCATCCGTTTTGAGGCACTCGCCGAGGCCCGCCAGGCGGTAACCCGCTTCCAGGAGATGTTTGCCACGCTGGGCATTGGAGTGGAGATCAACCTTGTGGAGCAGGGGCCCCGGAGGGCGGAGCTGCACATCAGCAAAGAGGCCCCTGCCCCTGCGGCACCTCCAGAGCCTGCGCCCAGCCTGCTGACTTCGGGTGCCGGTGAGTCTGCGTGAGCCTTGGTCTGGGGTCCAGAGCCAGGGTGGAGAGGCAAGAGGAGGCAGGGGAGGAGCCAGGCTAGGCGTGGCCAGAGTCTGCTGCAAGCTCAAGGGATGACCTGTACCCACCACTGGGCTCTTTGCAGGTGCAGCCCACTGGTGTGAACAGCTCTGACTTTGAGGTTAAATAGAGGTTAAAATCTATTTGAACTCCAACCCTGTCTCGTACTAGCTGTGTGCTTTTGTAGAAGCTGCTTAGCTTTCGCATGTGTGAAATGACGTGAAATCCAGTTTTACCTTGGTATACACAGAGGATGGATTTCGGAACCCTCATGTGTACCCAAATCCACACATACTCCGGTCCCCAAATGAGCCCTGCAGAACCTGTCTACATGAAAAGTCAACCCTCCCTCTACAGGGTTTTGCATCCCACAAGTGCTGTATTTTTTGATCCACATTTGGTTGGAAAAAATCCATATATAAGTGGACCCAAGCAGTTCAAGTGCCTGTTGTTCAAAGGTCGTGTGTACTCGCTCTCTAGAACTTCATTTTTTAAATGAGACTCTGAAATGTAACCTGTATAGAATGCTGCATTCCTCATGGTCCGGTCTGCAAACCATTTCCCTTTCAAGCGTCCAGGAGTCGTTGAAAAGCCGTTTCCCTATTTGCTTGTATCTCTCTAGGAATGTTAGACAGGGTGTGATGAATATCCCACAGTGTTATTTCTTGAAACTTCTCTCCAGTTTTGAGCCTCCCCCTCGCTTTGAGTCCCTCACCTGCTCCTCCTGGACTTACAGACCACACGGTCTTCATCTCTGCTTTACCTCCCTTTTCCTCCCTGTTTCCAGCCCCTTCTCCCTTTTGCCTCAACGTAACTTGGGAAGCAAGCTAACAAACAGAATTCTTAGAGAACAAGGAAGAGAGAGAGGCTTAGCAGGCGAAGACACCATTCTGTTTAGCTGTCAGGGTCTCTGAGTGCTCCTGTATGAATGATTGCTCTGTACGTCATGTGTGTCAAAGTGTTCCTCTGGTGGTGACTTGCTTGTATGTGGCAGACGGACATGATCATTGTTCCCTGGGGCTAACTCACGCATCTTTCCCAGCCCCGGTGTTCCTGACCGAGTTGCAGAACCAAGAAGTGCAGGATGGGTATCCTGTGAGCTTTGACTGCGTGGTGACAGGTCAGCCCATGCCCAGCGTGCGCTGGTTCAAGGATGGGAAGTTGTTGGAGGAGAATGACCACTACATGATTAATGAAGACCAGCAGGGTGGCCATCAGCTCATCATCACAGCCGTGGTGCCAGCAGACATGGGTGTCTACCGCTGCCTGGCTGAGAACAGCATGGGGGTCTCCTCCACCAAGGCCGAGCTCCGTGTGGACCGTGAGTGCTGCCTCTGATTTGGCGTCTCCAGGTTGGTGGTGTAGGAGCTCCTGAGTTCAGCTTCAGGATGGTTGAGAGAGCATTCATCTCAGGCCAGGCAGGATTTGGGGCCTCGGTGTCTTATGGCTGATGGAAAGCTCTCTGGGCGCTCAGGCCAATACAGGTCCCCCGTCTGCAGCCCCCTGGGGTAGGGGGTTGAGAGGCATCCTGGCTGGGACAGAGGCCCAGGAAGGTTTGGAAGTGGACCTCATGGAGTGGGGTGAGTGGGTCAGGAAGGGTGAGTCCGGCCTACTCCAGGGTCCCTTTTGAAGGCTGTCGAATGGCTTGATCAGGAAGCCTCTCAGGAGAAGCTCCGGGCGTGGCGGATGGGTCGCGGCATTGTGGCGTTGTGAGAAGCATTTATCCGACCCTTGTCCTCAGTTCCTATGCAGAGCATCTAAATCCCTTGGAATTTCCTGGGGGACAGGAGCATCTTTTGTTCTAATAAGGTGACTCTTGGTGGCCCCCAGGTAGCTTCAGGATGGGGGCTGCTTTCCAGAAAGATGAGGCCTGTATTAGAAGCCCAAAACGTTCAGCTCTACCTCCGTTCTCTGGGGAGGGTGGAGACTAAGGAACGTATCCTGCCTGTGTGCTGCAGCCTCCGCACCAGCCCATATACTAAAGGTTTGGGTAGCTTTCGGGCTGGCAAACACGTGGAGGTGCCAAGTGCTGCTCTGCTCCCTCACACCTGGCCTTGTGTGTCTTTTCCATGAGGCTGTTCCCGAGTTACATCCTTCATAGCAAACCACTAGTAGTAAGTAAAGCACTTTTCTGAGTTGTGCAAGCCATTGTGGCAAATGATCAAACACAAGGAGGAGGGTTGTGGGAGCCTCCAGTTCATCGCCATTCGGTCAGAAGTGTGGGTGGCAGTCTGGGACTTAGAGCTGGCATCTACGGTGGGGACAGCCTCGTGAGACTGATCCGGTTAATGTTCGGGGTGTGTGCTCACTTTGGGCAGTTAGTGTCAGAGCTGAATGCATGTGTTGTGTGTCCAGTTGGCATCAGATGTGTTGTGAGTAAAAACAGCTTAGGCACAGAGGATATGCGGAAAGCGAATAAGCACATGAAAGATGTGTGACGCCATTAGCCATAGGGATAGTCACGTTAGTACCCTGATGAGCTGTTACTGCATACCTACCAGAGCTGTTACTGCTACAACTGCAAATGGGGATAGCACCAAATGCAAGTGAGGATACAGAGAAACTGGGTCACTCATGCATTGCTGGTGGGAACGTGAAATGGGCCAGCCGCTCTGAAAACAGTGTGGCAGCCTCTTACAAAACTAACCATGTGCTTGCCCTATAACCCAGCAATTTCTTTTTTTTTTTTTTTTTTGGCATTTATACCAGAGAAGTGAAAAGATTTCATTCAAACTAAAACCTGCACTCAAATGTTCGTAGGATTTATATTCCTAACAGAGCCAAATGCTGTAACACCCCAAATGTCCTTCACGGGTGAGTGGTTCAACCACTATGTCCATCCATTCCATGGAATGCTACTCCTCAGCCATGAAAAGGAACTACTGATGAATAATAACTACAATAAAATGGATTCTTACGACATGAAATTAAATATATAAACATACACTCAATTATGTTCTTGTAAAACTCGAAATCTCAACAAAAGCAATGGGTGGCATCAATGCCAGGTCCCTGCTTGGATGCCGTAGCATAGTTAGGGGAGACGTTGACATTGCAGAACGGTGGGTGAAGAATAAACGGGATCTCTGTGTCCCTTCGTAGAACTGTGTGTGAATTTACAATTATTTCAAAATTAAAAAAAAATTATTAAAGACAAGTCAATGATCTTAAATAAGAAAAGAACCGACGTGCTTATCCACATAGTGCCACCTCTGAGCGCTTCACTCTGCTGCGTAGATCTACGTCTCCCTCTGATACCACTTTCCTTCTGCCCGAGGACATCTTTTACCATTTCCTGTATTGTGGGTATGCTGGAATTCCTTCGGATTTGGTGTGTCAGAAAATGTCTTTGCTTCAGTTTTGTTTTTGAAAGATATTTTTCCTAGGACAGTTTTTTCTTTCCATATTTTAAAGACAGTGGTCCTCTGTCTTCTAGCTTGCATTGCTTCCAGTGAGAATCAGGATGTCATTCTTATCACTGATTCTCTGTCCATAACTTGTCTTTGTATAAGGACTTAAAACTTTTAAGTATTTGCACACCATGAAATTGAGAATTTAACAGTGTACAGTTTCGTGGGCTTTAGTATATTCACAAGGTTGTGCAACCGTCACTTCTGTCTAATAATATGTTCTGGAGTATCTAATTCCGGAGCATTTTCATCATGCCTGAAAAGAAGCTATTAGCAGTTACTCCCAGTTCTCTCATTCCCCCAGCCCCTGGAAATAACCCATCTACTTTCTGTCTCTGTGGGTTATCCTATTCTGGACATTTCCTGTGAGAAGAAGCCTACAATACGCGGCCATGTGTGCCTGCCTGCCTTCACTGAGCACACTGTTTACAAGGTCCGTCCGTGTAGTGCGTGTATCATTATCGTATACATCCTTATGGCTGAAAAAAATGCCATGGTATGTGGCGTATTTGTGCATTTACTGGGTGGCATTTATCCGTCGGCTGTTTTGGCTGCTACGAACGATGCTGCAGTGAACGTTTGTGTAGTTTGTGTGTGAGTGTTTGTGCTGAGCGTGTTTTTAGTTTTCTCTTGTATACACCTAGGAGTGGAATTGCTTGGTCATGTGGCAACTCGGCTGAACTCCGAGAGGAGCCACCAGCCTTTGCCACAGCAGCCACGTCATTTCACACTCCCATCAGCGACGTGCGGGCGTTTCAGTTTCTCCACATCCTGCCAGGACGTGCTGTTGTTCATCTTTTTTATTATACCCATCCAAACGGGCGTGAAGGGGTATCTCACCGTGTTGATTTGCTTTCATTTCCCCAGTGACTGATGATACCGAACAAGTTTTCATGTGCTTGTGGGCCGTTTGTTTATCTCTGGAGAAATGTCTATTCAAATCCTTCGGATGTCGTAAAATTGGGTGATTTGTCTTTTGTTTTTGAGTGGTAGGAGTTCTTCATGTATTCTTGATACTAGAGTCTTATCAGATAAAGGATTCTCAAATATTTTCTCGTTCTGTGGGTGTCTTTTTACTTTCTTGAGAGTGTTGCCTGGTTTTTATTCATGTCTTTGTGTCCACTATCTTTTCTTGTGTAATATCCATCCTATAAATTTCATTCATTGTATTTTTTGTCTCTATAAGTTCTACTTGAGTCTTTTAAAATATGTTCTACGTCTCTACCTAACGTTTTGAATGCAGAGAATACAATTCTAACACCTGTTCTTCTGTCTCCTCTACCAGTTCCAACATCTGCGTCGGTTCTGGGTTGGTTTCTGTGGGTTATTTTCTACGTTACGGTCATCTTGTCCGGTCTCGTGGCATGTCTGGTGATCTTTAATGGAGGGTCTGACGTGGTAAGCTTTACCCTGTTGGGATATTTTGTATTTCTGCAGGTCTTCTTGAGCTTTGTTCTGGGATACAGTGAAGAAACTCGGATGGGATTTTATTCTTGAGGCCGGGCTTTTATGATTTCTTTGGTTGCTCAGTGTAGGGCTAATTCCCTCGCACTGCGGAGGCAAGAGCTTTCCCGAGTACTCTACTGGGTGCTCCTTTGAGTCAGGAATCTCCAGTCTCACTGGTGGAGCCAGGCGCTGTCCCTGGTACTGTTCCCCTCATCATTTCAGGTGCGTCTTTCCTCCCATGCAAATGTCAATCAGTATTCTGCTGAGTCCTTGAGGCAGGTCCTTTCTCTGCACAACCTTCTCTTCCCCAGTACTTCGTCTGTGAACTCTAGCCGCCTTAGTCTTTCGGGTCTCTGAGCTCCCTCTTCTCAACTCAAGGAGTCTGCTTCTGCCTCAGTTTCCCTTCCCTGGCCCTACAAATTCAAGGCAGGAAACTGGAGCAACCACAGGGCTCATCTCTGTTTCCTGTCTTTAAGAAATCACTGCCCTGGCCAGGCGCGCAGGGGCTTGTGACTGTAATCCCATCGTTTTGGGAGGTTGAGGCAGGAGGATCACTTGAGCCTGGGAGGTTGAGGTTGCGGTGAGCTCTGGCTGCACCACTGCACTCCAGCCTGGGTGACAGAGGGAGACGCTGTCTCAGAAAAAAAAACAGAAAAGAAAGGAAGAGACATAGAATGTATTTTATTTTATTTTAAATTTTTGTATCTCTCAAGATTTTTCCATTTTTTTCATAAGTTATTGGGGTTCAGGTGGTGTTTGGTTACATGAGTCAGTTCTTCAGCGGTGATTTGTGAGGCTTTGGTGCACCCGTCACCTGACCTGCGTACGCTGCACCGTGTTCGTCACCCTTTGTCCCCCGCCTCCCTCCCCCTCTTCCCCGCCAGTCTCTCAAGTCCACCGCATCATTCTTAGGCCTTTGCATCCTCCCAGCTGAGCTCCCACGCACGAATGAGAACGTGTGATGTTGGGTTTTGCGTTCCGGGGTGACCTCACTTAGAATGATAGTCGCCAGTCTCATCCACGTCACTGCCAGCGCTGTTCGTTCATTCCTCTGTGTGGTTATGGAGTTTTCCATCGCGTACTACACACCCCGGTTTCTTTATCCACTCGTTGCTTGATGGACATTTGGGCTGGTTCCACAATTTTGCAGCTGTGAACTGTGCTGCTGTAAACATTCGTGTGCAGGTGTCCTTTTTGAGTTATGACTTATTTTCCTCTGGGTAGATTCCCAGTAGTGGGATTGCTGGAACAGTTGGTAGTTCTACCTTTAGTTCCTTAAGGAATCCCCAGACTGTTCCATAGCGGCTGCACCGGTGTACACACCCACCAGCAGTGTAGACGTGTTCCCTGATCACTGATCCCTACCAGCATCTCCTGGTTTTTGATGATGGCCATCTTTGCAGGAGCGAGGTGGTATCACACTGTGGTTTTGCTTTGCATTTCCCTGATGATTTAGTGATGTTGAGACATAGAATATATTTTTAAAACCCAAGTAGAACTTCTCTAGAGATGATAGAACTTCCAGTGGATAGGGCTAATAGCAGGTTAGAGAAGATTAGAAATTTATTACAGAAGACAAACTACATCATGCAAGGACATGAGGGAAGGAGGCAGAGGGAGCTCTCTGGGGTCCCTTCTATGAGAGCAGTAATCCCATTGATGGGCGCCCCACCCTTATCCACCTCCCAGGGGCCCACCTCTTCATCCATGGGGGGCTAATATTTCAGCATATGGTCTTTGGGGGCTACCTAAACATTTATTCCATTAAGAGAGGGTAAGTCCAGCCCCAGTCACTCCATCTTGAGTAGAAACACAAGTCCCAGCTGCTGATTTTGAGGACTGTGTCTCTTTTATTATAGTTCCGGGGTACATGTGCAGAACGTGCAGGTTTGTTGCATAGGTATACACGTGCCGTGGTGGTTTGCTGCACCCATCAACCCGTCACCTGCCTTAGGGATTTCTCCTAATGCTCTCTCTCCCCTCGCCCTCCACACCTGACAGGCCCCGGTTCCCCTCCGTGTGTCCTGTGTTCTCATTGTTCAGCTCCTAACGATGAGTGAGGACATGTGGCGTTTGGCTTCTGTTCCTGTGTCAGTTTGCTGAGAATGGTTTGAGGCCTGTGTCTCGTCATCCCCTTGTTCCCTAGTAGGATGGAACTGGAGGGTTCTGCCACTATCACTGTTTCTTCTGAGGCCTCTGGACCATGCAGGATTTAGTTTGCTGTGTCCAAGAGGCTTGTGGTTGGTTAGAGGCCTTGCGGAGTGGGGCTGGTGACAGCCCGGGGTGGAGAGGCAGCAATGCCGCTGTCCCCCCGTGACTTCCTAGCCCCCAAGCCTCAGTGGCTCCCAGGCAGGGCTGTGTAGCCAGGACCTCTGAGGGCCGACGCCACCCTGGTGCAGGAGCTCATGCCGGGGCAGGTGGGGTGGCCGGCGTGGCTCAGCTCCCTTTCCTTCCCCAGTGACAAGCACAGACTACGAAACTGCAGCGGATGCCACGGAGTCCTCGTCCTACTTCAGTGCCCAAGGCTACCTGTCCAGGTAGGGGCCGCAGAGGGGGCTGTGCCCCGGACTGACCTTGCAGGGCCTCTCGGGCAGTGACGGTGCTGGGCGAGGGCCGGGCTGGGGCTGACGGCATGCTCTCCTGGAGCCTTCCTCCACGGCCCGGTGGCCTCTGTCCGCTGAGTCAGCAGACGGGGGCTCCCAGTGTCATCCATGCCTGAGCCCCTCGGCGCCCCTCCTGCCCTGCGTCACGGCTGCCGCCTTTTCTGTTCTCCTGCCAGCCGGGAGCAGGAGGGGACAGAGTCCACCGGTGACGAAGGCCAGCTGCCCCAGGTGGTAGAGGAGCTGAGAGACCTCCGGGTGGCCCCTGGCACGCGCCTGGCCAAGTTCCAGCTGAAGGTGAAAGGTGAGAGGGAAAGGGAGTGGGGACCCGGCCGTGGCGGGATGGAGGTCGAGGAGCTGCCCCCGTCAGCCACAAGCGAAAGGAGACCCGGGCCGTGGGGTCAGGCGGTCACTCATCCTGCTGTACAGGGCCCAGCCCTGTGGGGTTCTGTGAGCTCCCTGTTGGTGCAGAGACAAGAAACTGTGGAAATAGAAGACACAGACACAGAGGTAAAGGGCGTCTGGGCCCGGGGTCCACTGCCAACCAGAGCGTGGAGATCCGCAGTGGCCCCGAGCGCCGGGACGCTTTTACTGAGTACAAAGCAGAGGGCAGGTAGGTGGCATGGGGTCATGGCGGTCAGTGATAGGGTCAGGTAAGTCACGGGTCTTGAAGATCGGGGACCCAGGACGTTCAGGGAGTCGAGGCGAGAAACCCTAATGCGTCAGCGCTCTTCGCATATTTGTCAGAAATGTCAAGGACATTAGTTCTTCTGAGAAAAAGAGAAACCAGGTGCGGAAGCAGAGCGTGAGCGTGGACATGGACCGTGACCGCTGAAGCCAGCCCCACATAGAGACAGTTGAGCCCCCAGAGGTCTGTGGGCTCCCGACCGTCGCCAGGCCTTGCCACCAGAGCGTGGAGGAGCGGAGTTTTCTCCTAACTCCCCAGGAAGGAGACGTCTCGGCCATTGGATGTCTCCTTCCTTAGCTGGCTGAACAGCGGGCGCTTTCCCAGCGCTGGCACTGCCGCACAGCGAAGGCGCGTCACAGAGGGCTTAGAGCATCCTGCCTTAGGGTCACTTGTTCACAATGTCACCTCAGTTCCATGCTTCATAACCCAATAGTCGTTAGTAAAATTAAAGGTTATATCGAGTATGTATCTTTATAAAATTATGTATGATTATGTAAGGGAATAACTATGTACCTACATTTCTAAATTAATATTTGGGAACAGGCTGAGGCTTCAGACCCTTACGATGGTACCTGCAGGGTTCCCCCGCACATGCTGCCCGGGTGCGGAAGGCCACCACTGTGTCACTGATGTTGTGGGGTCTGTCTCCCATCTGGAGGGCATGATGCCCATGGGTGGCAGCCCAGGCTGACCACACCCCCTCCCGTGGCCCAGGCTACCCAGCTCCCAGGTTATACTGGTTCAAAGACGGCCAGCCCCTGACCGCATCCACCCACATCCGCATGACTGACAAGAAGACCCTGCACACCCTGGAGGTCATCTCCGTCACCCGGGAGGACGCTGGCCAGTACGCGGCCTACATCAGCAACGCCACGGGCGCCGCCTACTCATCTGCGCGGCTGCTGGTCCAAGGTGGGTGCTCCCAGGTCCCGGGCAGAGCCTTGGGCACTGGCCAGCATCCTGGCCAGGGCTGACACCCCGCAACCCTGCCACCTCAGGCCCTCGGTGGGCTGACACCCCGCAACCCTGCCACCTCAGGCCCTCGGTGGGCTGACACCCCGCAACCCTGCCACCTCAAGCCCTCGGTGGGCTGACACCCCGCAACCCTGCCACCTCAAGCCCTCGGTGGGCTGACACCCCGCAACCCTGCCACCTCAGGCCCGCAGTGGGGGTCAGTGGCCATCACCCCTTCGTACAGAGCAGCACAGGCGGCCAGAAGTCGGCCCTGCAGGGAGCGGGTGTGTAGCCCTCTGTCCTGACTGATGGGCAGACTGGAGGTTGAAATTGACCCGGGAAAGTGAGTCAGCCCTGTGGCTCTAGATAGACCCGCACACCGGCCAGAGCCGGTGGTAGCGTGGGACTAGAGAGCCCTCCTTCCTTATTGTTCAGAAAGTTCTAAGCACCGAGAGTTCATTCCAAGGTTCACCCAAACCCGTCCCCCCACTGCTGCGGTTTTCCCCCGAGGCCCCAGGTGGGAGTCCCCTGCTGCTCTGAGCAGTGGCATTCCGTTGTGTGCTGGGTTCGGTGTGGGGCCAGAGTCCGTGGCAGGGTGAGGGTGGGTGGTGGGGCATCGGGTCTGGTCCACACGGCCAGTTGCCTCTGTCACCCGAGCGTGGGGTTCCAGAGCTCCATGGCCCAGGGTTCAGGCGGGGGTTAGGACGTTTGCCTGGGGGGGCAGCGCTGCCCTCAGACTCCCTCACCACAGTGGGTGGGATTGCCGGGCATCCGCACAGTGCTGGGCAGGAGCCACGGCGGGGCTCTGGGTGCCGGGTGTCTGACTCCACTGTCTCTTTCAGGCCCCGATGAACCAGAAGAGAAGCCTGCATCAGGTGAGGCAGGCCCAGGCGGGTAGGGGGCAGCCAGGTGGCCATAGGCACAGAGGGCCTGAGCCCAGGGCTGGCTGCCGTGGAGATGTGAGTGACCACGGGCTGGCTCAGGGAGGGTGCAGCCAACAGACAGCCCGGCCGAGGGAGCAGCATGGTGCTGTCCAGGTGCTGGCCGTGGAGAGCCACCTGGGGGCCTGTAGGCGCTGTGGGGGGCCAGGGAGGCAGGCGGTGGGGGTATGCCAAGTCCCCAGCAGCTGCCCTGTGCCCTTCAGATGTGCGTAAGCAGCTGGTGCCACCCCGAATCTTGGAGAGGTTCACCCCTAAGAAAGTGAAGAAGGGCTCCAGCATCACCTTCTCTGTGAAGGTGGAAGGTAGGGCGTTTTCCGCCTCGGCCGTGGAAAGATCACCCCTGGGATGGGACAGAGGTGCCCCTTCCACTCACATCTCCCCAGGGGGGCCACAGGAAGGGCCCCATCTCCAGAGGCCGCTCCTGATGGGGCACACCTCCCACCCTTTCGCCCGCCCTCAGGATGCCCGGCACCCACCGTGCACTGGCTCAGGGAGGCGGCTGAGAGGGGCGTGCTATGGATTGGTCCCGACACGCCGGGCTACACTGTGGCCAGCTCGGCGCAGCAGCACAGCCTGGTCCTGCTGGACGTGGGCCGGGAGCACCAGGGCACCTACACATGCATCGCCAGCAACGCGGCTGGCCAGGCCGTCTGCTCCGCCAGCCTGCACGTCTCTGGTCGTGAGTAGGGAGTGAGGGGTGGGGTATGGGAGGTAGGCCCTGGGTGGCTCTGGGGTCTCCTCGGGGTACGTGGCCCATCACCGTCTGGGCCGGGACCCTGTGGGCCCCCTTTTGCTCTTCTTGTTCTGATACAGCACCGCAGACACCCCAAGACGGGTCACGCCCTGGCGGTGCTGGTGGGTTTGAGCCTCAGAGCCCTCTCTGGGCCCAGGCCTCTGTGGGTTCCGCACCACCAGGTCCTGGGCCTTGCTCAGCCCCTCGGAGGACAGGAGAACCCATTCCCCTCCCATCAGTGTTGGGGTGACCGCAGGCCAAGAGTGGGTTGGGGAGGTGGGCTCAGGCACAGCCCCTGCTCAGGGCTTTGGAGGGACCCAGTCCAAACCCGGAATCAGAGGTGCCGGGGTCGGAAGCCCAATCCCAATGGCTGGCCCGGTCCTCCCGACAGTGCCTAAGGTGGAGGAGCAGGAGAAAGTGAAGGAAGCGCCGATTTCCACTTTCCTGCAGGGGTGAGTAAGGGCTGTCCCTGGAGGCTGGTCCGGCCTGGGTCAGGGAGGGCACTCTAGGAGTGGGGTCAAGACAGCGCTGCCCCTGGGGAGACCACCTGTCCCCGAGCGCGTCCCGGCTCTGCCCCATGCAGGCCACGTGCCTTGGCTAGTGCTCTTCCTTCTCTGTGCCTCAGTTTCACCCTTGCAAAATGAGGGCTTCCCTGGGGCCTCTCTGGCATGGAGCCCCTTTCCCTGCAGCCCCCAGACCCTCTTTTTGTCAGGAGCTCAAAGGACGGAGGGTGGTGGGGTCCAGCCCAGGCCTCTCAGGACACTTGCTTCACCCATTTAGGACCACACACGCTGTCACAGCCCAGGGCTTGGAACCTGCGGGTTTGGCTGACCTTGCGGGGCAGAGGAAAGGTACAATCAGGGTGGGTGTGTGCCTGAGAGGGGCCAGGGTGGCTGAGCCGCTGATGCCAGGGACAGGGAGGAGGCTGCCCGGGGTGGCTCCAGGCCTCAGAGGCTCGTCCTGGGCAGCGCAGCCCCAGGACATCTGCTCATTTCGCCAGGACTGACCCATGTTTTTGTGGCCTAGACTTGAGGCTTGGTTAATGTCGGAGCCACATCTGATCCCCGTGGATGGATCCAGGAGCCTGTGGGGTCCCTGGGCCAGCCCCGGACACAGAGCTCACATCCAGCAGGCTGTATAGACACCTGGGCGCCAGGCACTGAGAACAGAGCCGCACAGCCCCGCTTAGGCCCCACAGCTCCTGCAGCGTCTGCCAGCTGTGTCCCCAGCACCCCTCATCCGCTGTCCCCTGGCGGTCTCTGCTGTGCCCCGTCTCTGGATGTTATCAGCCCCTTGGTCACGCCTTGGCTTGATGCTCATGAGCCAGAGTGACTCCTCATCCTGGTGGGTTCCCTGGCAGCCCCCACCCTGCCAGCCGCAGTCTCATCTCCCTGCTGGACATCAGCACCATGCCAGGGAGGCCTTGGGCCTTTGTTCACCGTCGGCTCCCAGGGCCCAGGACGGGCCTGCAGCAGGGCGTGCTGGTTGTACATCCGAGGGGCATGCGGCCGCCTGAGCAGAGCATTTGTACCCCCAGGAGAGCCTCTGGCTGCCAAGGGAGACCCTGGGCCACCTATCCCTCGCCGAGGTGGGCACAGAGGAGTTCCTGCAGAAACTGACCTCCCAGATCACCGAGATGGTATCGGCCAAGATCACGCAGGGTGAGGGGCAGCGGCCCGTGTGCCGGGGTCTCTGGGGTGTGTCCATGGTGGGTGTTCGGCCTGCCCCTGAGCCCTGGAGAGCCAGAGGCAGGCCGGGGTGACGTAATCCTTGCGCCCCCAGCCAAGCTGCAGGTGCCCGGAGGCGACAGCGACGAGGAGTCCAGGACGCCATCTGCGTCCCCGCGGCACGGCCGGTCACGGCCATCCTCCAGCGTCCAGGAGTCGTCCTCGGAGTCAGAGGACGGGGACGCCCGAGGCGAGGTAGGCGGCTGGAACCCTCTGGGGGCAGGGCAGGGAGAGGGGTGCAGGGTGGAGGGCCCAGGAGGCAGGAGCTGGTGAGCACAGGGCCTTCTCCACACGGGCTCCAGCAGAGACTTGCCTGTCTGGGAGGGCCGTTCGTTTGCTTCGTTCATTCTCTCCTTCATTCCTTCAGCAGAGAATGTGTGTCCCAGGCACTCTGTTAGGGCTTGGGATGGGCTGGGGGTGGGGAGACGGCCAACAGGTAAGGGAGTGTAGGCAGCCCAGGGCTGTGGTGACCTGTGGGGTCAGGTGGGCAGGGGAGGCTTCCCCCACTCCTGCTGTTCTGCGTGTGCGTGATGACTCTGGGGAGCCTGGCCCTGGGGCTGGGGATCTCGGCAGGCCTGGCTGGCACTTCCCGGGGCCCACCATCTCAGCCCCCCACGTCCCTCAGATCTTTGATATCTACGTGGTCACCGCCGACTACCTGCCCCTGGGGGCCGAGCAGGACGCCATTGCGCTGCGGGAAGGCCAGTACGTGGAGGTGCTGGACGCCGCTCACCCGCTGCGCTGGCTGGTCCGCACCAAGCCCACCAAGTGCAGCCCCTCGCGGCAGGGCTGGGTATCACCTGCTTACCTAGACAAGAGGCTCAAGGTACTGGATGCCCAGGAGGGAGGGTCCTCGGGGGTCTCGGGGGCCCTGGGAGGGTCGTCCAAATGCCCAGGCGGGAGGGTCCTCGGGGGCCCTGGGAGGGTCACCCAAATGCCCAGGCGGGAGGGTCCTCGGGGGCCCTGGGAGGGTCACCCAAATGCCCAGGCGGGAGGGTCCTCGGGGGCCCTGGGAGGGTCACCCAAATGCCCAGGCGGGAGGGTCCTCGGGGGCCCTGGGAGGGTCACCCAAATGCCCAGGCGGGAGGGTCCTCGGGGGCCCTGGGAGGTCGTCCCAATTTGAGTGGCAAGAGCCAGTCCCCACAAGGCAAGACCAGAGCTCAGCGCCCCAACCACAAACTTCCCTCCCTTACCAGCTGTCGCCTGAGTGGGGGGCCGCCGAGGCCCCCGAGTTTCCCGGGGAGGCGGTGTCTGAAGACGAGTACAGGGCGAGGCTGAGGTGAGTGCCTGCCGGGCCCAAGGTGGCCAGCTGGACCGTCTCCCAAAGCAGCTCTGGGTCCAGGCCCCAACACTGGAGGTCTTGGGGTCATGGTCACACTGATTCCTCTGCAGGGGCCTCTGAAACACTGCTCCTGTGTGAGCCTGTTGGGGATGGGTGGGGGCCGAGGACAGCGGAGCAGGCCCAGAGCTGCCGGGGTTCCCACAGCTGCCCTCCAGGCCTCTTGCTAGTGAGGCCCAGCTGGGTGGCTTCCTGGTGTTAGGGGCCCGTCTCGTTAGAGAGGCAGCCTCTCTGCACCTGCTCTCCCACTTCCTGTGAGCAGGTGACAGGACCTCGGGTGGCAGGAGGCGCTCCAATCTAGCAGCCGAGGGAGCGGGGCCTTGTGGCCCTCAGTCCCGGTGCGGGAGGCAGGCGCTCCGGGGTCCCTCACGGCGGCCCCTCCCGCCCAGCTCTGTGATCCAGGAGCTGCTGAGCTCCGAGCAGGCCTTCGTGGAGGAGCTGCAGTTCCTGCAGAGTCACCACCTGCAGCACCTGGAGCGCTGCCCCCACGTGCCCTCGGCTGTGGCCAGCCAGAAAGCAGTCATCTTCCGCAACGTACAGGACATCACCCGCTTCCACGGCAGGTGGGTGGGGACGCACGCACACACACACGATGTCCATGCGCGGGTGCTCTGTAGGGCCAGGCCTCCTGCAGGTGGGTTGGAGCCAAGGAGGGAGAGAACCGGTGCTGACTTGATTTACCCCTTGGCACACCTTCCCTCGAAGCCCAGACGGGTGTACCTGGCTTACTCATGGGAAGGCCCGTGGCATACCCACTGCTGACACAAGCATGCACACCCTGATACGTGTGCACACATGAACACATACATGTGTACAGCACACCCACATACACGTGCGCGTCACCTACATGCACACAGGCATGCCTGTGTACGTTACACACATGCCTTGTGTACATCTCCACACTTTATGCACATGTATGCCCATGCACTTTTGCACCTTTCATCTGCACACTTGTGTATACATGCACAGAGCGCACAGCGCCTCCTTCCCCCCACCTGCCTGTGTGCAGCCACGTGCACGTTCATACACATGTGCATGCCTCCACACATGCGTGCATACGATATTCATGTGTGCTTTTGCACACAGCACACAAGCACTTCCTTGCATGCCAACACCTGTCTGCACACACCGTCTCGGGTCCCAGGAGCCACAGGGCCGTGGCCCTGGTGCAGAGGCCAGCTTCCTCCCAGAGGTGAGGGCTCAGGGCCGGGCCGGGGGGCACCGGCTGAGTCCTGACGCCATCCCCGTCCACGGCAGCTTCCTGCAGGAGCTGCGGCACTGCGACACAGGACGACGACGTGGCCATGTGCTTCATCAAGAACCAGGCGGCCTTTGAGCAGTACCTGGAGTTCCTGGTGGGGCGCGTGCAGGCCGAGTCGGTGGTCGTCAGTACAGCCGTCCAGGAGTTCTACAAGGTGCCCTGCCCGAGCTCACGGGCTCCCTCTGGAGGCCCGACCCTGGCCTGCCTGCATCAGAGCCTCTGCCCGCAGCCTCCCCGTGGCCCCCTTGGGCCTCCGTTCCGAAATGGGGTCAGGCTGCTTCAGCAGCGGAGTCCTGTGCTTGTCACAGCTGATGACAGCTGGCACTCAGGGTGCAGGGCTGTGACCCCCCGCCTCCAGCTGTCAGGGACTCAGCCAACAGGGAGACTCCCATTCCTGCCCTAAAACCCCATTCCCGGTTCCCACAGACATACGCGGAGGAGACCCTGTCGGCAGGAGACCCCTCTCGGCCCCTGCTGCCGCCCCTGCAGCACTACCTGGAGCAGCCGGTGGAACGCGTGCAGCGCTACCAGGCCTTGCTGAAGGTGGGCCCCGCCTCCCCTGACCAGACTGGGTCTCTCGGGGTCCAGCTGTGGGGCAGCCTGAGCCCTGACCTCCGTCCCGGCCGCAGGAGCTGATCCGCAACAAGGCGCGGAACAGACAGAACTGTGCGCTGCTGGAGCAGGCCTACGCCGTGGTGTCCGCCCTGCCGAAGCGCGCCGAGGACAAGCTGCACGTGTCCCTCATGGAGAACTACCCCGGCACCCTGGAGGCCCTGGGCGAGCCCGTCCGCCAGGTCGGGGAGGGGCCGGGGCGTAGGCCATGTGGGTGGGTGTGGGGTGCTGCCAGGAGGTGGGGGCGTGCGCATGAGTCGGTTAGGGCCCTGGGCCCTTGGGTGCTGTCGGGTCTGCACACTGGGCGTCCTGGCCGGTCACAGGCTGACCGCAACCCACACCTCCCCAGGGCCACTTCATCGTGTGGGAGGGCGCGCCAGGGGCCCGCATGCCCTGGAAGGGCCACAACCGCCACGTGTTCCTCTTCCGCAACCACCTGGTGATCTGCAAGCCCCGGCGGGACTCCCGCACCGACACCTTCAGCTACGTGTTCCGGAACATGATGAAGGTCTGCAGACGCGGGTGGGGTCCCCATCGCTCGGCTCCGCGGTGATGCTGCCGGTCCGGGGTGGCCCGAGTGTTTCCTTGTCGGGGCCCACCTCTGTTGGGGACGGTCCAGCCGTGTCCCCTCCCTGCGCTGATGCCCTCCCCACCCCACAGCTGAGCAGCATCGACCTGAACGACCAGGTGGAGGGGGACGACCGTGCCTTCGAGGTGTGGCAGGAGCGGGAGGACTCGGTGCGCAAGTACCTGCTGCAGGCAGCGGACGACCGTCATCAAGAACTCGTGGGTGAAGGAGATCTGTGGCATCCAGCAGCGTCTGGCCCTGCCTGTGTGGCGTGAGCGTCCACCTCCCCGGGGGTCAGAGGGCTTAGCCGGGGTGAGGCACCCCAGCCTGTTCCTGCAGCCACACGGGTCCTTGCCCAAGTGGGTGTGAGGGGTGGGCTCGGTCCCGGGACAGACAGCTCAGCCGGCTTGCAGCGTGTAATGGCTACAGCCTCACGGGGAGCCCTGGGGCTGGGTGTTGAGTCGGCCCTGACCCGAGGTGGGGGACACCGTGGGGACCCCAAGCCCAGGGCACCCATCCGGATTGTGTCAGGGGCTGTGAAGGGTGTGGCAGCCAGGGTGTGAGCAGAATCTTCCCCCAAGCCCGCCCTGGTCTCTGTTAAACACACACCTGCTTCCTGCACCTGCCTCCAGATGGGGACATTGGACGGACGAGGGATGACAAGGGACAGTCCCCATCGTGGCCACACCGTCGGATGTGGGGCCTGTGGCACAGGGCAGGTGACCTGCCAGGTGCACCTGGGGGTGCTGCAGCCCGACACCCCCCCAGAGCACTGAGGGCTGTGTGTGCCCTCAGGGCCCCCGGACTTTGAGGAGGAGCTGGCCGACTGCACAGCCGAGCTGGGCGAGACGGTCAAGCTGGCCTGCCGCGTCACGGGCACACCCAAGCCCATCGTCAGCTGGTACAAAGGTAAACCCAGAGCCGGGGCCACAGCTTTCCTGTCCCAGATGCTGGCCCTGCCAGCCGAGAGAAAGGGGCTGTGGGGTTTGGGGGCCCGGCATGGGGTTTAGCCAGGTGTCTGGGGCATGAAGGACGGGCCCCATACGTCCACTTGCCACCCAGTTTCCAGCATGGCCTGGAGAGGAGGGAGCCAGGGGATCTCGAGGAGGACTCAGCTCTGCAAAGCTGTTAGTCGCACGGTCAGGGCTGACTGCGGCCGGAGGGCCAGTTAAAGTAGCAGCTGGGAGAGCCACGTAGGGAACGATCGGGAGGCGCTACCACGGGCGTCCGGGTGTCCCTCCCAGGGGCATCGTCTCTCCCAGAGACAGCACATGACACGCACGGGGTGGAGCCAACCAGCGGTTTCCCCAGCCCCAGGGTCCAGGGTTTTGTGGGCTCAGCCGTGGAATCGTGGCTCACTGCTCTGTAGTGGTTCTTGGGCTCCAGCCCCTCGGGAGGCCAAGCTGACGCTGCATGGGCCAGGGACCCCGGGAATCTCAGAAATCCACGGTCAGCATAGATGGTCCCATGGGGGAACAGCCGCTTTTCCCAGGACATCCCAAGAGCCCGAGGTTACCTCCCAGGAGCGGGGGCCTCTCTCTAGGCAGCATCCATCGTCCCCTGGGCTGGAGCTGTGACCGGTTTAAGCAGCAGAGGGACACAGGTTGGCTCCATCATCTGTCACCTTGGCTGTAATGCCAGGAACCTGCTGGGGAGGGCTGAGCGGGGGCCTGGGAGCCGCCCTGGGAGCTGGGGGAGGGGCTCAGGTGGCTGTGGACTCCAGGGGCGTGTTGAGGGCAGAGCTGGCCCATTTGTCGATGGGGTGGCTGGCCACGTGGAGAGAGCTTGGCACCAGATGTGCGCACAGGTGGGGCTGGACATCTGCCAGTTGGGGGGGGGGGTTCCTTTGATAAAGGGTAGTATGCAGACAGGCTGGGCGGGAGGAGGAAGCGCCAGGCCTGGGAGGACCCTGCAGTCTATGCCTGTGGGAATGCAGGCGGAGGGGCTGAGGGGCAGTTAGAGACGTGCAAGTAAGGCTCAGGAGAGGGTGTGGCCGGGGAGGGTGTGGCCAGAGACCACAAATGATCAGACCTGCAGAGCATCTGACCTGCCAGCTGATGCAGAGTGCGTGTGGAGGGGTGAGGCCTGAGCACCCAGCCTTGAGCGCGCCCACTTCCAGAGTCTGCAGAGGCGAGAAGAGGCCAGCCCAGGGAGAGGAGCAGCCAGGGAGGTGGGGGCCCAGGAAGCCAGCCAGGGAGTGGGCAGTGGTGCCCAGGGCTGCCGGGGTCCCCATTCTACCCCTCATGCATGTGGTTGGCCTGTCACGATTTACACACATACACATTACACACACTTGTGCACAGAGACATAGAAACACATGGTACATCTTGTGTATGTACATATATGCCACACACACATTATACATGCATGTATAAACACTATATGTGTAATATAGATATATATCACACATACTACACATACACGCATGGTATACAATACATATATGCAAATACCACACATGAATATGTATTTAGGTACACATATGTACACACCACATACACAGGCATCATGCACGGTGCACACTGCACCTGTGCAAGGACAGATACATAGATACATGCAAACGTCACTGCACATGTCTGCAGGCACACCACACACAGCTACACATGTACACACACTGCGTAAGTATAGGACAGATACATAGATACATGCAAATGTCACTGCACATACCTGTCTGCAGGCACACTACACACCACACACAGCTACACATGTACACACACTACACACATAAGTATAGGACAGATTCATAGATACATGCAAAATCACTGCACATACATGTCTACAGGCACACCACACACAGCTACACATGTACACACACTGCGTAAGTATAGGACAGATACATAGATACATGCAAACGTCACTGCACATGTCTGCAGGCACACCACACACAGCTACACATGTACACACACTGCATAAGTATAGGACAGATACATAGATACATGCAAATGTCACTGCACATACCTGTCTGCAGGCACACTACACACCACACAGCTACACATGTACACACACTACACACATAAGTATAGGACAGATTCATAGATACATGCAAAATCACTGCACATACATGTCTACAGGCACACCACACACAGCTACACATGCACACACTGCACACATAAGTATACATATTAGACCACATGTGTGCACACGTGGATACTGCACACATACACACATGTACACAGCCACATAACACATGCACAGATCCATGCAACACACGTACATGCTAAACAGACACCACACATGGATATTCATAAACGCTATATACTTGGCCCGCCCCCAAATCGTCACCAGCCCCTGCAGGGTCAGGTGTGTGGTTTCCACCAAAGTCCTGTGGCATGCTGAGGGCTGATTTTCACAAATGATGCCTCTGGTAACCATGTCGGGGACAGAACAAGTCCAAAAACCCAAGGGGTGCCTCCCATTGCCAGAGACCCCAGTGGGCAGAATGACGAAGTCATTCTCAGAAACCAGGAGTGCGTGGGAGTCGTGGAGCCCGAAGGCGGAGCGCGTGCTGCAGTCTGTCGGCTCTCGGCCCACTCAAACCTGGCTGGCCGGGGGGACCAAGACCTGTTACCAGCAGTGCCTTAGGGGCTCACGTCGTTACCCACACCCCGGTTTCTGTGGGGAGGTGATGGAGCCCGGTGTTAGCCGCATGCAGGGGGTGCCCCGTGGGAGAGAAAGCCTGACTCTTAGAGACACGGAGCGGTTTTGATGGGGCTGCGCATGCTGCGCTCCGGAGACAGCAGACGACCTCCTACCTGGGATGCAGAACCGACGTCTCCCCAGAAAGGGTGGAAGGGCCTCGCCTTGCTGCCCTGCGACGCGGCCGGGGAGCCGCATCTCCAGCTCCACGCTCCTCCCTCCTCCCCTCCACTGTCGGCGTCGCACTCCGTTCTAAACCTGGCTGTGCCTTTGCTCAGAGGTCGGATGTGGAATCCGAACCCCAGCAGAAGTGTCTTCTCAAAGCAAGATGAGGACCATCTTTGAGAAGTGTCTTCTCCAAGCAAGCCAGTGGACCTGGTGGCGAGAGACGTGGGGCCCACGGGCTGGGGCGAGACGTGCTGAGGGCGTCCGCACAGCTGCTTCCTGGAGTTGCCGTCAAGGGGTGTGGAGATCTGAGGTGGTGGCTACAGGGTTTTTGAAAAAAAAAGAAAAAAGAAAGTTATTTCTGAGCCAGGTAGGGTGGCTCACGCCTGTAGTCCCAGCCATGTAGGAGGCTGAGGTGGGAGGACCACTTGAGGCCAGGTTTAAGACCAGCATGGGCAACGTAGTGAGACCCTGTCTCTACAAAACATTAAAAACTTAGCCCCGCCTGGCAGTGCCCAAGGCAGGAGGATCACTTGGGCCAGAAGGTTGTGGCTGCAGTGAGCCGTGATCGCCCCCACTGCACTGCAGCCTGGACAACAGAGCAAGACCCCGTCTCTAAGAACACGTATGTTAAAGTTCGATACAAATCAGAAGTCAGTGCTGGTCATGACCTTTGGGATTTAAGCAATCTGTGGCACACACCTGGCCCTCTTGGAATGTGAATTGATGCCTTCTTATCTGTTTGGACATTACACGTGGGAAGGAGTTCACGCCTTTCCTTCCCGTCCCTCTGGAAGCATGGGCTGTCCAGAGAGGTGTGGTCAGTGGGCGTTCACAGTGGGTGATTTACTTCACATTCTTCAGATGTTTGTATTTGAAGGCTCAGGCCCCTGCTGCCCTGGGGAGACTTTGGGCCACTGTGTTCCCTGCAGGGGCTGATACAGGGAGAAGCATGGAGGGGGTGTGGGCCATGATTCTGAGAAGGGGCTGGAGCCCCTAGGCTGGGCAGGAAGGGGTGAAGAGGGGTCAAGTGCGTGAGCTGGGGTGACCAAGGACTCAGCTGCCCCGAGGTGATGGCCTCTGTGGGGCTCGGGTCCCTCAGCCTGGCCCCTGCCTCAAGCTAGTGGCCCAGGTGGACAGAGAGAGAGACAGAGTAAGAGATAGAGACAGAAAGGCACAGACGGAGAGAAGGGGAGACAGAGACGAAGTACAGACAGACACAGACGCAGAGGCAAAGAAAGGTTGAGTCCGAGACGGAGACACACAGAAAAATTGAGACAGAAACGCAGCGCTAAGGGGACCCCGAGTCAGCCTCTCCATCCGGGGTTGCAGGTCAGCCTGGAGGCCGGACCCAGCCGGGAGCCTGGCCCTGAGCCACAGCTGCGGGCCCGCCATCCCCTCCCCACCCACGACTGCAACCCCCAGGCCAGGCCCAGCGTCTCGGCCCTGATGGGGTGAGCCCTCGGGGTCCCCACCTGGGTGATGGCCCCTGCCCGTCCTTTCCAGATGGGAAGCCAGTGGAGGTGGACCCGCACCACATCCTCATCGAGGACCCTGATGGCTCGTGCGCCCTCATCCTGGACAGCCTGACCGGTGTGGACTCCGGCCAGTACATGTGCTTTGCGGCCAGTGCCGCCGGCACCTGCAGTACCCTGGGCAAGATCCTGGTGCAGGGTGAGCCCGGAGGCCTGCCCGGGGGAGGAGTCGCCCTGCAACTGGGGGCTCATGGAGGGTACTGGGAGGCAGGGACCTGCAGCCCTTTGCTGGCATCACCCTCAGCTTCATCAGGGCAGCTCTCTGTGTGTGACTCTGTATGTCTCTCCGTGTCTGTATGTCTCTCTATCCTTTGATCTCTGTGTGTGTCTGTCATTTTCTGTTCTTCCATCTCGGTGTTTCTCTCTCAATTTCTCTGTTCCTGTCTCTATCTCTGTATTTCTCTTTCTCTGTCTTTCCATCTCTGTATCTTTATCTTTGTGTCTGTTTCTCCATCTCTGTCTGTGTCTCTCTGTATGTCTTTCTGTCTCTGCCTTTATCTCTGTCTCTGTCTCTCCCCTCCACAACCCCACAGTCCCACCACGGTTCGTGAACAAGGTCCGGGCCTCGCCCTTTGTGGAGGGAGAGGACGCCCAGTTCACCTGCACCATTGAAGGCGCGCCGTACCCACAGATCAGGTGGGGCCCAGGCCTGCCGGGGGGTGGGTGTGGGGCCCGGCTCCCGCCTGGGGCACGGGGCATGGACAGTGTGTTCCCAGGTCAGGGTGGGGCTGGACGTGGCCACCAGTCTTCAGCTCAGAAAGGGCTTCAGGGACTCCGGATTATCCTGGATGTGAGCCCCTCAACCCGGAGGACACCGCCAGGCTGGGTCTTGGCTTCTGGAAGGGTGGGCTAAGGACCCTAGGGGTCTGGGGGCAGCGCAGTGTGGTCCTGAGCACAGCCGGGGGTGGCCCTCAGGCAGGACATAGGCAGAAGGTGGCCTGAGCCCTGCCTCATGTGCCAACTGGGCGGATTCCAGGTGGTACAAGGACGGGGCCCGGCTGACCCCTGGCAGCAAGATCCAGATGCTGAGTGATCCCCGCAGCGGCCTGCTGGTGCTGGTGATCCGGGCAGCCAGCGAGGAGGACATGGGGCTCTATGAGTGTGAGGTGAGCGGTGCACGGACGGGCCCTGCCCTGGGGCCCAGGCTCTCCATGGCAGCCATCCTCTGCGGTCTCATCGTGGAGGGGCTGAAGAGCCAGGAACTGTCCTTAAGGTGGAGGCCTCTCAGCACAGGCCAGGGAACACCATATCCACTGCTACACGCTTCCCCGATGATAGGCCAGAGGCCACCACTGTCATCCCCTTATCACAGGTCGGGGGCCACCGGGCCACTATCATCCCCATCACAGGCCAGAGGCCACCAGGCCACTATCAACGCCCATCACAGGCCAGAGGCCACCAGGCCACTGTCACCCATCACAGGTGGGAAGCCACGAGGCCACTGTCACCGCCATCACAGGCTGGGGACCACCAGGCTACTGTCACCCCCCAGTCATAGGCCAGAGACCACCAGACCACTGTCACCACATCACAAGCAGATGACCACCAGGCTACTGTCACCCTCCATCGCAGACCAGAGGCCACCAGGCTACTCACCCCCATCACAGGCCAGAGGCCACCAGGCCACTGTCACCCATCACAGGTAGAAGGCCACCAGGCCACTGTCACCCTCCATCACAGGCCAGAGGCCACCTGGCCACTATCAACCCCCATCACAAGTAGAAGGCCACCAGGCCACTGTCACCTCCTATCACAGGTGGAGGCCACAAGGCAACTGTCACCCCATCACAGGCCAGAGGCCACCAGGACACTGTCACCCCCATCACAGTCTGGGGGCCACCAGGACACTGTCACCCCCCATCACAGGCCAGAGGCTACCAGGACACTGTCACCCCCATCACAGTCTGGGGGCCACCAGGCCACTGTCACTGTCATCCCTGGCCACACCACTGCTCCATGCCCTGGCCTTATTCTTCCTCTGCCCTGAAGCCTCTCCTCTGCTCCCACATCAATCAGGATGCCTCGTTCCCTGCTTCCCTGGCTATTTCAAGGATGCCACTTGGTTTTTGCCTGTAGGGGTCCTGGTGTGGCCTCATGAATTTTGTCGTTCATGTCAAATGCAGTGCAGCCTGGCCCTGCTCAGGTGCCTTTTCCCTGTGGAGATGTCCCCGCTGTGGGTGGACAGAGCTGCCTTCTGCTCCAGCCACGTCTGCCGGGCCAGTCCTCCGGTCCGTCAAGGCCTGCGGTAGTCAGGGTGGCTGTGTGCCAACTGCGGGCGCCGCGGGCTCCAGACTTCCCTGGCACTTGTCTGGCCACCACCCTCCCGTGTGGTGTGCTCGCTCGTGAAGCAGACCTGGCTTTTGACTTGCAGTGTCTTGTACCATCACTACTGGCCATACATGGGCATTTACATTTAAATTTAAATCAGCTCAAGTTAAATCCAAGGCTGGGTGCTGTGGCTTACACCAGCAATCCCAACAATTTGGGAGGCCAAGGCAGGAGAATCGCTTGAACCCAGGATTTTAAGACCAGCCTGGGCAACATATTGAAACCCTGTCTCTTTTAGAAAAAAAAAAAAAAAGCCGTTAAAAAATGAGCCAGGCACAGTGGTGCACACCTGTGGTCCCAGCTACTCGGAAATTGAGGGTGGGGATCCCTTGAGCCCAGGAGATGAAGGCTTCAGGGAGCTGAGATCGTGCCACTGCACTCCAGCCTGGGCCACAGAATGAGACCCATCTCTGAAAAAATGCATAAAATTAAGTTAAAGAGTCTGTACCCCGGCCAAATGTCCGATGCTCAGAGCCGCATGTGGACAGGGCAGACGGAGAGCATCCTCGTCACTGCAAAAGCCCTGGGGCCGTGTGGGGCCGTGTGGGTCCCCCGGGGATGCAGTCCCGCCCAGGGTGGGGGCTGCCCACACTCCCAGCATGGCCCCAGGGAGTGGGCCCTGCCCGTGTGGAGCCCTGGGCTCTGAGCCGGCCCTCCGTCCTTGCAGCTGGTGAACCGGCTGGGCTCCACGAGGGCCAGCGCGGAGCTGTGCGTTCAGAGCCCCGCGTTGCAGGCCCGGGAGAAGCACCACAGGGAGCAGCTCATGGCTGCCATGGAAGGTAAGTCCCACCCCTGCCCTCACCACCAAGGCAACTGCCACGGTTCAGACCCAGGCTGGACCCTCACGGGCCTGGCCATGTCCTGGGGCACGAGGCTCTCCCCCTTCCCAGTCAGGATCTGCCGCCTGGAGGACTCTGGAGGAGCTGGGCTGGCATCTTGGGGTGGGGAGAGCCACAGATGGGAGACGAGGAGGCCGCTGTGGGCCAGGTGCAGGTCCCAGGTCCCAGGTCCCAGCCCTCGGCTGGAGGCAGCACCTGTGTGGGCTGGTGGAGGTGGAGAGGCCACTCTGGCTGGGCGTCCTTCCCAAAGCCCTGCTGCCATCCTGGGGAGGGGAAGTGTGTGCGCGGAGGCCAGGCCTACAGCAGGGCAGCTCGCCAGCAGCGGGAACAGTAGGAAGGATGTCTCTGCGGAGGCCAGGCAGCAGCCCCAGCTTGGCACCCAGGAGAAGGGGCAGGTATCGGGGGCCTGGCCCCTCCACTCAGGGTAGGGCTGGCTGTGGAGGCACCCGGCCTGGTCTGGGGCTGCTCCGGGGTCCTGGGAGGGCCTTGGGCTGCAGAATGACCTCACCAGGGATGGAAGGTGAGGGATGGACGGTTGGGGGGATCACCAGGGATGGAGGGGGAGGGACAGGCGGGGCGCATCACCTCACTCCTCCCGGATGCTTTGTTCAGGGCAGGAGCAGCCAGGGTGGGAAGGGGGTCATCGGGCATCCGTCGTGGGCTCCCAGTTGGAGCTGCCCCTCTAGACAGGTGATGAGCCTCCCATCCCTGGGGACATGCAAGCAGAGGGACACGTGGCAGAGCCGCAGCTCCCACTGTGGATGGGTTGGAACGCGTGTCCTCCAAATCGTAAACACTGGCTACTGCATCCCAGCTCGGCTGTGTCTCGGGGCGCAGTGTCTGAAAGCCAGGTGCCCATCTGGGTCCCAGAGTCTGGCCATCTGCGACGCCCTCCATGATCCTCAGGGAGCCCCCTCCCTTGCCGGGCAGGGGTCCTTGCTCCTCAGCCCCCACTGCAAGTGCCCCGTGTCTGACGTGTGTCTGGGGCCCCGTGACCTCCGTCAGCCCTACAACCTGGAGGCCACAGCGCCTCACAGAACCGCTTCTGCAGCCACCGCACCCCAGCCTCTCACAAGTCCTGGGTCTTGCGGCCACGGAAGTGCCAGCAGGGACACGCGGGGCTGCCTCTTGCTGGTGACAGGAGTGTCCTCCACAGTCGTCACAAGTCTCTCTGGGTTCGGAGGAGGGGTGGCAGGGAGAGAGGCCACCCGTGCAGGACAGGGCGGCAGCAGCTCAGCGCGAAGATCCCGGAGTGGAGCCAACGCCTCCCCGCTTCTAACCCTGCCCGCTGCTTCCTCTTTAACCGGGTAGCTCTGCAGGCGAACGGACCCTGCCGCCTCGCCCGTGACCCATGCTGCGCACGGCTGCACCCCTCCCATGGTCGCAGATACGCAGGTCCACAGCCGATCAGGTGGCAGTTTAGGTTCACGAGTGAAGGTGCCAGGCTGAGCCCCAAGTGCAGGGAGGGTGTGGGGTACCTGGGTTTTCCACCACTCTGCAGTTCTGTCACTGGCCAGCAGGTGGCGGACACACCGGCTTTCTCGGGGGTCAGGTCGGTCCCGGCCCTCGGAGCCCTGGCCGAGCACGAGGCTCACACCTGTGATCCCAGCACTTTGGGAGGCCAGGGCAAGCAGATCACAGGGTCAGAAGTTTGAGACCAGCTTGATGACATGGTGAAACCCCTGTCTCTACTAAAAATACAAAAATCAGCCAGGCGTGGTGGCGCACGCCTGTAACCCCACCTACTCGGGAGGCTGAGGCGGGAGAATCACTTGAGCTCGGGAGGCGGAGGTTACCGTGAGCCGAGATCATATCATTACACTCCAGTCTGGGCGACAAGAGTGAGACTCCGTCTCAAAAAAAAAAAAAAAAAAAAAAACGGAAAACAAACCACACGCAGCCTTTCGTTTGGATTGCATTCTCTCCTCCCATGAGCTCTCTCCCTGTGAAATGCACGTCTACACTTAGGTATACACGTGCACGCACACACAGAAATGCACGGCACCTGTGGCTCCCACCAGATGTGGGTAGTCCCTGGCAGGCATGTGCCCCTCCTCTGAGATGGGCATAAAGCCTTTCTCCACATGGCAGTCTAGCAAAGCACCCAACCCAGAGCGGTGAGGCTGTGTGCCCCAGGCCACATCACTTGACTTTTCTGGGCCTCCTGCTAGGGGTGGTAAGGAGGGTCACCGAGATGCAAGGCTGATGGTGGCCCGTGGCCTGCCCACTAGCCAGCTGGCCAGGGCTGGGAGGTGCCATCTTTGTGCCCAGATGATGCTGCAGGGGAGGAGTTCTTGAGGTGACTGGGAGCGGGAGCTGCCTAGCCCAGATGCGTCGCATCCCGTCACCAGAACTGCAGGCCCCATCCTGCTGGCTCTGGGGAGGGAATAGCAGGAAAAGCAGAAGAGACCATGGGGCGTGCGGACCGAGGTTGCTTCTATAGGGAGATAGGGCCACCTGCCCACTTGGAGCTCAGGACCCTGCGCAGCACCCCGCTGGGGCTGTTCTTGGCAGGACTTGTGTGGCCTCGTGCCACTTTCAGGACTCCAGAGTCCCTCCCCCTGAGGCTTTTTGTAACAGAGCCCTGGCTGTCTCCGCCTCAGTGTGGCTGCTGGCTTCCTGCACAGCCACAGGCCATAGCTTCCCTTCCAGGGCTCGGCTTCCCTGTCTGAGAAGTGGGATTGTAGGTCTGACAATTTCACAGGGCTCCCTTCAGCACCTGGGTCGAAGGAGAAGCTGGGATTTCTGGGCAGGGAGCGTAGGTAGGGCCCTCATTCTCCCCACAGCCCCTGCAAAACCCTCGTGAGGGACAGAGGGTCTCGCCTTCATGAGGGGAGGCACCGTCCTCAGTCCTGCACCGACTCTGAGCAGACAGCCTGGCCAGGGACAGCTTAGCCGGCGACTCCACGCTGGGCCACTCAGAGAGCTCAGCCCCCAGCCCTGGCCGGTCTGTAACGCTCGCTATTCCGACTGTTTTCTTTGTAGTCACTGAGCAAGAGACTAAAGTCCCCAAGAAAACCGTCATCATGTAAGTGCAGGCGTGTTTCTAGCCTTCCTCTGACTGCTGTGCCTCCTGCATGCCACTGACCTGCTTGCGTCATGCCCGAGTGGCCCAGCCACTTGCTTGCCGCCCACCTGCTCATATAACATTCACCCTCTGACTGCCAGCACCGTCCAGATACTCAGACACCATACTTCCCCAGGCCCTCGGCGCCCTCCGTGGTCCTCACCCTCTGCCGGCACCACGCGGGCACCCACAGACACTCCGCACCTCACCGCCTTCCCCAGGCCCTCAGCGCCCTCCGTGGTCCCGCCGCCTCCGCAGAGTAGACTTACTCCGCACACTTGGCAGGGGCTCAGCCAGGGTTTCCTCAAGAGCTAGGCCTGAGCTGCTTTCCTCAGTGGGCCGGAGACACGGTTCTAATCTCAGTACCCCAGGATTTATAACAGTGCTGTCCAGCAGCTTCCTGTGATGGCACGTTCTGTATCTACAGTGTCCACTGCAGTAGCCACCAGCCACATGCCCCTGTGGAAGCATCTGGATTAAGTGTTCATTTTTGTTCATTTCAAGTTAATGTACGCAGTGCAGTGGATGGCACCCCCTTAGGGCCCTTAGACGTCCCGGAGCCCCATGTTCCCCTTTGGAAGATGGGGAAACTGAAGTCCCTGGAAGAAAGGAAGTTAGCTCCAGGTGGCTAGTGATGAAGCCAGCAGAGACTCCACTTCCCCAGGGCCACGTGCTCTGTCCCCTTCATCCTTCCATGCCTCCAGCATTTAGGAAAATCACACATGCCCCTACTGCAGTAACACAAGAGGACCACAGCTGGGCGGCCCCACACAGTGCAGGGTTGGTTTTGACCTGCATCATCCGACTTCAATAGGAGGGTGTGCAGGTGGGAGTGATGGAAGAGCTTGCAAAAGCCAGGAGGCAGGAAAGACTGCGGCTTCTTAAGGCCAGATGGCTAAGGAGCTTCAGGACGGGGAACCTTCCAGTCCCCAGGGCCTACGACCTCCTAAAGGGGTCTTCAGTTGGCCGTATTACAGGAAAAGCCCATTGCAGACGTTTGCCGAGACCCTGGGTTCACCCCTCCTTGGCTTTCTTCCTCCCCCACTCCAGCAAGTTGCTCCGCTAATGGCACCCCGCAACAGATGGGGCTGCCTGGGTGCTGCTGAGTACCCCATTCCTGGAGGCGTACAACCACGCCAGGGCCTGGCATAGGTTAGTTCTAACATTTTGTCCCTTTGAGAACACTATCCTCATCTACATTTTATGGATAAGAAAGTAAAGGAGTGGGCCGGGCGCGGTGGCTCAAGCCTGTAATCCCAGCACTTTGGGAGGCCGAGGCGGGTGGATCACGAGGTCAAGAGATCGAGACCATCCTGGTCAACATGGTGAAACCCCGTCTCTACTAAAAATACAAAAAATTAGCTGGGCATGGTGGCGCGTGCCTGTAATCCCAGCTACTCAGGAGGCTGAGGCAGGAGAATTGCCTGAACCCAGGAGGCGGAGGTTGCGGTGAGCCGAGATCGTGCCATTGCACTCCAGCCTGGGTAACAAGAGCGAAACTCTGTCTCAAAAAAAGAAAAAAAAAAAAAAAGAAAGTAGAGGAGTGGAGATGAAGCCTGAATGCCCCACTGGCAAAGCTTCCGAGGCGACTCATGCCTCGGACCAGGGAGGACCAGCATCCAGGCTTAGGAGGGCGGCAACCCTCACCCTGCAAAGAATAGTCTGCCCTCAGCTGGAGGAATGGAGCCAGACAGTGGCATAGGCCCAGCGTGGAACTCAAGGGCAGACCCACAGAGAGAGGCGCGGGGCAGGCAGTGGACCCGAGAGGGAGCAGGGCTTGGAGACCCCCTGCCGTGACTGTGGCCACAGCACAGGATGCCATGTGTCCTTGTGGGGGTGGCAGTGAGCCCAGCATTTGGGGGGTATTCAGGGGTTACCCCCCACCTTCCGGGCTGCACTCAGCTCACCACCCGCATCTGCAGATCGGGCAACATGAGGTGAGCAGATGGCACCTGGCCCGGGCTCCCAGCAGCAGGCCGACTGCCCCAGAGCCTGGGCGAGACGGGCAGCAGGTTGCGGGCGCTTGGCGGCCCATCTCTGAGCCTCCGCTTCCCGTCGGTTAGGTGGAAGCTCTCGCTCCGTCTGTAGTAGCGGAGGGCTGGAGGGCGCGCAGCCCATCGTTGCCGGCACCCTGAGGGCCGCTCAAACGCCTCCAGCTCGGTCCTGGGAGCAGCTGCTTCCAGACGGAGCCCCGAGTTCGGCAAAAGCTGAACAAGAGCGAGACGCCACCTCGGAAACACGGCTGGCAGCAGCACGCTCGGTGACAACTGTCGCCTCATACATGCCACACCCCTTGTTCGAGTCCGAGGGAGGTGCAGGGCTGAGGACAAAAGGAGAAACGGGCAGGGAACCAGGAGGCGGCGTGTCACTCGGCACCCTCTGCTTCCCTGCTGGTTACGCAGTGTGCCCTGACGGCCCAGCAAGGGCACGGCCCTGGGTGCCGGAGGAGGACCCGGGCTGGCCGCTACGCGTCTCCCTCTCGACCCCAGGCAGATTTCTGAACCTCTTTGGCCCTCTCTGTCCCTCAAAAAGTGGGATCAGACCCTCTCCCGGGTTACTGCAGAGTCAGACACGAGAGCTTGCCAAGCTCCCACCAGTGCGCATGCTCAGCATGCTGCCTCGTCCCCCCCTCCCCAGCCCCATTTTGGGAGATGGAGCCAGGCACCGGGAGGGGCTTATCTGAAGCCACACACGGCTCACTGTGGCCAAGTCTGGAGCCAGGGACCCGCCCTCGGCCTGCCTGAGGCCTTTCCGGGCCTCACTCTCAGACCCAAAAGGCGGGGAGAGCGGGTCACAGGCCAGGGTGCTCACAGCCTCCCAAACGTCAGCCCTCAGGCCCTGAGCTCGCCCTGCGTGGCCCCCCTTCCCGTGCCCCTGCGGCATGGGCCGTCCAGCCCTTTCCTGGCCAGGAATTTTCAGGGCGCTCTGTCCCCCATCACACAAAGCACAAAGCCTGCTGATGGACTTGGAGGGGAGGCCGGCACTGGGGCCACCGCAATCAGGACGGGACCCGGTTTTTGGAGGCGCTTGCCTGCGCGGTGCGGCCCGGGCCCCCCCACGTACCTCGCCGTGTTTGCACGTCTGCACAGCAGAGCCTGAGCTTGGCCACATGGGACCTTGCGCTGTTCCTTTGGTTCTGTGGCGGGGATGGGGGCTCTGCAGGCGGGGCTCCCGTGCATGTGTAAGAGTTCTTCGTGCACTCTCACCACTCGCTTGCCGGTACAATAACCTGAGCTCTCACGCTGCCCTGGACAACCGTGGGCGCTGTGCCATCTTCTCTCGGGCCCTCTCCTCCCTCCCCCAGAGAAGAGACCATCACCACTGTGGTGAAGAGCCCGCGTGGCCGAAGACAGTCCCCCAGCAAGGCCCCTTCCCGCTCGCCTTCTCGCTGCTCGGCCAGCCCACTGAGGCCGGGCCCTCTGGCCCCCGACGTGCTGTACCTGCCAGGGGCTGCCCAGCCCCGCAGGCTCGAGGCAGAGCCGGGCCGGAAGCCCACGGTGCCCACGCTGTACGTGACGGAGGCCGAGGCCCTCTCTCCAGCTCCGCCTGGGCTCTCGGGGTCCCAGCCCCAGTGGGTAGAGGTGGAGGAGACCATTGAGGTCCAGGTGAAGAAGACGGGCCCGCAGGCTGCGTCTCCCACCAGAGAGGTGCCCAGGAGCTCGTCGGGGCATCTCTTCACACTGCCCGGTGGGACCCCGGGAGGGGACCCCAACTCCAACAACTCCAACAACAAGCTTGCTGGCCCGGGGCACAGCCACCGTGGGCGCCAGGGAGCCCCTCGCCTTCCGCGTGGATGCTGGGGGCCGTGTGGACTGGGCCGCTTCTGGCACGGGCGGCCTGGAGCCGGAGGCGGCTGGCATCACCCCAGAGGACAAGCGTGTCACGGAGGAGCAGGGCGAGGAAGAGGGAGAAGACGCAGACACCTTTGTGACGGAGGAGCGCCGGGACGCACACAGCCTTGGGGACCGTGACCCCAAGATCCTCACGCACAACGGCCGCGTGCTGACGCTGGCTGACCTGGAGGACTACGTGCCTGGGGAAGGGGAGACCTTCCGCTGTGGCCGCCCGGGGCCCAGGCACCCCCCACGACCCGCCCTGCGAGGTCTCGGTGATCCAGAGAGAGATCAGGGAGCCCACGGTGGGGTGCCCGGTGCTGCTCAGCGTGGGGCGTGCGCCCCGTCTCCGAGGCCCTCTAGGCTTCCTTCGGCCTGCGCCTCGTGGGGTGTCGCCCTTGGGACCCCTCCTCCTGCGGGAGGCCCCGGCTGGGCCTGTGGGCCGCGCTCCCCGGACGCCGTCTTTCTGCACCCGCATCCAGCGCTCTGCAGGCAGCGGCCCGAGCAGCTTCACCACCGAGCTTTCCACCCAGACTGTCAACTTCGGGACAGTGGGGGAGATGGTCACCCTGCACATCCGCCCAGACGGGGACGGGGACGAGGCGGCGCAGCCCTGAGGCCGTGCCCCGGCAGCACCCCCGGAGCCTGAGGGCCTCCCTGTCCCCGGCCAGGGCCCTCCCTGCGTCACTCGCCTCCTGGTCAGGAGGACCGAGTCTCGCCTGCAGCGTCAGTGACCGGCTCAGAACCTCCGCTCTGGGCCGTTTCCCGTCCGCCCGGCGGGAGCTCAGGGCTGTGACGACGGGTGTGGCCTTGGGGCCTAGTCTACTCTCCCACGCCGGCCCCAGCTGCCAGGCCTGGCCTGGCCTCTCCTGCAGTCTTGGCCACTGAGACCCTTGGGTGGGCGCCTTCCAGCTCTGTGGGCCCCCTGGCCTTCTCTGCAGGGTGGACACGGGTCTGTGTATGGGCAGCAGCCCCCGCCGCTCAGCAAGAATAAAGCAGCTTCCTGTGCACCTGTCTGACTCTCCTCGCCTCTCCACTGGCCGGTCCTGGGTCCCCTCCACTTGCAGCCCTCGAGGGAGCCCCTACCCTCGCCAGCCTTCCCCTGTAAGGTCTCTGGCTGGCCACTGCCTGTGAGGTCCCCGCGTGGACCTGCGGCAGCTGCTTCCATCGGGGGCCGTGCAGCCGCCCACAGGGACACGGGGCATGGTCAGAACAGCCAATCACGGCCCTTCCCGGCATGCTGGGCACCTGGCAGGCCTTCCCCAGGCCTGGGCAGCCCAGGCGGTTGTCCCAGCAGATGCGGGTTTGCGGTGACCCCATGGGATTCGGGCTCTCAGCATCAGGGGTCAACTTCTTTGTCTCTGGCTGGACAATTCCAGGACCAACAGAGGACGACCCCGAGCCCTCCAGCCCCGAGGCTGGCCGAGGGGTCCTGCTGACCACCTGGGAGTGGGAAGGGTGGGGAGGAGAGTGCCCCGGCCCTGTAGAAAGCAGCCTGCGTCTCCTCTCCAGGCTGTCGACTGGGGTGCAGCAGGGGCTTCAGGACACAAACAAGGAGGGAGGGCTGGGACAGGTGACCTGCTGGACCCGCGTGCGAGGTGCCTGGGGGCTGGTGGCCAGGGCAGGTCGAGTCGGCGGGAGGCTGCTGAGGGGGAGCTGCCAGTGGGACCGTGCACAGCAGGGCTCCGGAGGACTCTCTAGTCGCCAGCAAGGGGCCAGGTGGGGCGGCCGGGGCAGGGCGGTAGGCGGAGAGGAGGGCAGATTTGGGTCACAGGTGGAAGACAGAAAGCTGCCCGACAGGCGGGTGCAGGCAGAGGCTGCCCTGGGAGGGAGGGACCGTCCCCAGAGAGAGGGCCATGCCGTGGCCGCCGGGACACCCACTGAACCCAAGCTTCCTCTAGTTCTCGCCTTGGCACCAGACTGGGCCCAGGTTCAAGGAGAGGCCAGCCTTGGTCAGCGGGAGGGGGTGGTGGTGGTGATCAGTGGCAGAGCCAGGGCCAGGCCCGGCGGCTTCCCAGAGGTGGTGACACTCTCCCGAAGGCACCTGGGGAGGACGGGCCTGAGCTTGCAGGGGCTCTAGGAAGAGGAAGCGCCCGCTGCATCGTGGGTCTGCAGTTCCTTCCCCTCCCTGTCCCAGGCCTCCCCCTCCAGGCAGCCTCCTGAGGGGTGTGGGTCAGGTAGGGAGGCAGGCCAGTGTTGGCCCAGCTGGGCAGTCTGTAGGACGGGGCTGGGGCTCCTGGAGCCCCCCTCTGCAGGCTACAGCCGTCCCGGACCCGTGGGCCTCAGCCCCTCTGCATTTATCTGCCTCTTCTACAGATACCACCCTGAAGAAAGAGGACCAGGAGGTCACCTCCGTCCTGGAGAGACTGCTGGGCCCCAAGGTGCCAGGGCCCTCCACAGGGGACCTCGTCGGCCCCGGCCCCTGCCCCGGGATGGCACCTCCACTCCAGGAAGCCAGCTCCCAGCCCCCAGTCACCAGAACTTCAGAAGCACCCGGTGAGGCCCAGACCGATGCCGACCACAAAGACCCCCAGGGGCTGATCCCCACCCTGACGGCACCGCGAGGGCGTGAGACGCCAGGCCCCAGTGACCCTGACTTGGAACCCCAGTGGCCCCATGCACTGGGGGCTCCTGGACAAAGCCTACCTCTTGCTTGGCCTCAGTTTCCCCATCTGAATCAAGGCACAGAATCGGTTCTGGAAGGTTCCTCCTGCTCCGAGTCTGTTCCAGAAGCCAGAGGTTTCCCATGGTTGGCCTGTGGTGGCCAATTCAGGTGCCCGGCGCTCCTCAGTGGACAGGAGGAGGGGGAGAGGTGTGAGAAAGGAGAGGAGGAGGTAACAGAGGGTGAAAGGAGCAGATAGAAGAGGGGGTCAGAAGCAGCCAGTGCCCCAGACAGACCAGACCAGACCAAACTGGCTGCTAGAGCCCGCTCTGTTATTACCCACGCCCTTTCCCCAGGTGTCTGGGGTCTGTTATCACCCACGCCCTTTCCCCAGGTGTCTGGGGTCTGTTATCACCCACGCCCTTTCCCCAGGTGTCTGGGGTCTGTTATCACCCACGCCCTTTCCCCAGGTGTCTGGGGTCTGTTATCACCCACGCCGCCTCCCCCAGGTGTCGGGGTCTCCTGTTACGGAGCACTTTAATGCCTGCTGCATTTTTTTGTCTGGGACGGAGTCTCGTTCTGTCACCCAGGCTGGAGTGCAGTGTGCAGGGTGCGACCACAGCTCACTGCAGCCTCAACCTCCTGGGTTTAAGTGATTGTCACCTCAGCCTCCCAAGTAGCTGGGACTACAGGTGTGTGCCCCCATGCCTGACTAGTGTTTTTTTTAATTTTGGGGTAGAGATGGGGACTTGCTGTGTTGCCCAGGCTGCTCTCAAACTCCTGGGCTGAAGCCGTTCTCCTGCCTCAGCTTCCCAAAGTGCTGGGATTACAGGTGTGAGCCTGGCCCAGCCCTGGCCTCGCTCCAGCCTGGTCCTTGGGTCCCCGATCAAGGACCTTTTCTTAAAGGGACAGATGGTGCATCTGGGGAAACTGAGGCCTGGGTTGTGGGGAGCTCATCCCAGGCCCTGCTGCTCACTGCAGGTGGAGCCAGGTGTTCAGACCCCGCCTGCAGGAGCACCCAGCTCTCCCAGCAGCGTGGGCGCAGCCAGGCAGGGAGCCGTGAGGTCGGGGCAGCATGGCGGCTCCTCCCCACCCCCGCCCCGTCCAGCGCCCTCTGCACCCTGCCTGTGTGTGCTTCTCGGTCCATGCCCTCCTCCTCCCCGTCTGGTCCAGCCCCTGCCTTGGTCATCTTCACACAAAGGACCGTCCCAGCCCTGTGTACCGTGTCCCACCCGCTCTGGTCACCCCACCCATCTTGCAGGGCCTTACTTCATGCACCCTCCCCAGCCACCCCTACCTGGTCCCATCACCTTGGAGAAAGGCCGTCTGACTAGAGCCAAGCAGGGTGACACCTCCAGAGCGCAGTGCCCTCCCCAAGGACTGCACAGGGCAGCCCCCGCCATGGTCTCATGCGTCATGCCCTGACACACTCCAGTCAGTGCTTCCAACAGTCTCACAGTCCACACGCTGCCACTGCGACCTCCCAGGGCCGCGGGCACAGGGTTCAGGGCAAGCCGGCCACCTTCCCCCAGTGAGATGAGAGGGCCGGCCCCATGGGTCTGCTTCTCCCCAGCAGGCCCAGAAGCCCCAGGCCTTCAGCAAGCACAGGCTCCTCCCTCCAGCTGCCTGGGCATTGCGGGGTGTCCCGCCAGGTCCCACCTTGGTGAACATTTGCTCAGTGTGCCCATCGTGGGACTGCCTGGACGCAGGGCCTGGCCCAGGAGAAGGGGCGGCGCGTCCCTCTCACCCTGGGAAGTGGTCACTTCTCAATCTCCTGGCCTGTCATCCTTCCGCCCACAGAGACTGAGGGGTGGCGCCCGCAGGGGAGGAACAGACAGGCCGAGGCTGGGGCGGGGGTCTGGGAGGACCGGCTCTGGTCCTCACTCTCCCTCTGTCCCTTGGGCACCAGGGGCACAGGGGCTGAGCGGACCACCCCACCCAGGTGCTGCTTGGACTGTTCCGGCAGATCGCGGGCTCCCCTCCCAGGCCTGACGCTCGTTCACTCTGCCCAATGCCACTGAAGAGTGGGCACGAGTTGGCCTGCCCTGCCCATGGCAGGCACCCTTCCCACTTGCCCGCCTGCCCGAAGCTCACGTGTACCTGACTCCTATAGCCTCCTGCTCTGCCTGTCCCCAGCCCCACTCCTCTACCCAGTCCGCCCCGGGGGCCTCCTGTGCTCTCCCTGGCGGCAGGGTGGAGCGGCGTTGAGGGCCCTACCTGTGGCCTCTGGGCAGCCCCACGGGGCGACGCCCTGACCCTCCGGGTCCTGCCCACCATCTCTTGTGTGCTAGGAACTGTTGAATGCCCCTGCACCCACGGTGCTGAGACACAGCTGCCTGCCCTGCCTGGCTGTCAGGGAGTGTTCTGGAGGGCAGAGGCCACGGCATCTGGCTGTCAGCCTGGCGGGTGGGCAGGGGCCTCGGGGCTGGCGGTGCCAGCACAGAAGTGGAGATTGCCTGGCACATGGGCTCTGCAGGGTGGCAACGGCATGTGCTTGAGCTGTGGGCTGGGGACTGGGGTTGGGGCTCAGGACCCCTGGAGCCCAATGCTCTGCCTGGGCTCGCCGAGCCTGGGATCATGAGGACCTGCTACAAGCACTGCCCGGGCTCCCTCTCATGAGGCCTCGTCTCCCAGCAGCCGGGCCCCCGAGGATGCCACAGCCCCTCATCCACGAAGCCCCAGAGCAGGAGCCCGAGGCCTGTGCCAGAGCCCAGGAGCGGACTGTGCCCATTCGGTAACCTCCCCAGACTGCTGGGTCCTGCAGCGGGGCCAACCCCCAGGGGACATCCCGGGGCAGGCAGGGAGGGCATGTGAGCATGAGGTACGGGGTGACCTCCCGGTACACTCCCGGCCCTCACTACACTCCCTGCCTGCAGCCACCCCACGCAGGACAGGGCAGGGAGGAGAGACCATCTTAGGAACACGAGGTGGGAGGTGTGGGGGCTGGCCCCATCTGTGCCAGCCCAGAGAGGCTCTGCGGCAGCCCCTCTGAGTGTTGGTGGTAAGCAGGGACCCCCCCATCCCATCGGAGGGCCTGGCGGAGCCTCACTCCGATTCCTAACCCCAGGATAGAGGGCGCGGCCTGGCCCGGGGCAGGCACAGGGGAGCTGCTCTGGGACGTCCACAGCCACGTGGTCACGGAGACCACGCAGACGACCTACACATACCGGGCCGTGGACACGCACACTGCACGTACGGGTCGGGCCCAGAGGGTTGTGAGTGTGATTCCCTTCCCCTGCCCGACGCTGAGGGCATCTGCACATCTGCGGAGGCCACGCATTGTGTCCCGGCCTGCCCCAGCCTGGGAGCCCCACATTCCGCCTCACCGTGTTCCCTGAGGGGCCGGGACCTTCTGCCGGGAGAGGCAGATGGCGGTGAACTCAGCAGTTCCCTGTCCCTGAGGGCACAGCAGAGTCAGTGCGCTCCGTCGGCCGCGCAGCTCCTGCTGATCACCTGGCCCGCCGAGGTCGGACTGGGAGAGGCAGGGGTTCCACGGAAGCAGCACCCCGACTGTCAGAAGCCTGGGCGGTCCGAATGGGGTGCTGCTGCCCACAGCGTATCTCAGGGCCATTGACCACCCAGGCGTGGCGAGCTGTGGCTGGCACCCAGGGGTCTCCACGGTTCCCTCCCTGCCCTTCCAGGGCCCCCATCCATGCAGGTGACCATCGAGGATGTGCAGGCGCAGACAGGTGGCACGGCCCAATTCCAGGCTGTCATCGAGGGCGACCCACAGCCCACAGTGACCTGGTACAAGGTAGGAGCAGCTCTAGGTGGGTGAGAGTCAGGGATGGCCCTGGGAGCCGGGCAGCCCACAGGAGGGAGTGCCGTCCACACTGTGCGCTTCCCCGACATCCCCTCCACACCGGACGTGCACCGGAGGCACTCTCAGTGAAGAGTGGGGGGTGGGGTCCCCCAGGGTGGGCTGATGGCAGCCCTGCCGGGCCTGTACCTCCAGGACAGCGTCCAGCTGGTGGACAGCGCCCGGCTTAGCCAGCAGCAGGAAGGCACTGCGTACTCCCTGGTGCTGAGGGATGTGTCCTCGAGGGACGCCGGCGTCTACACGTGCTTGGCCCAAAACGCCGGTGGCCGGGTGCTCTGCAAGGCAGAGCTGCTGGTGCTTGGGGGTGAGTCCGTCGACCCCTCCCGCACCCCAGGCTTTGTAGCTGGGCCAGGTACAGGTCTCGGCTCCACGGGGCAACCTCTTTTCCCACGGGTGGTTCCTGGATAAGTGTGGTCCCACAGCCTTGGGTCCGGGGAGCCCCTCCCATCACCACCACAGCACGGGGCTCCGTGGGGATCCGGGGGTCACCTTTGCCCATCCCAGCCGCTTCCCACTCCTCAGGGGACAGTGAGCCGGACTCAGAGAAGCACAGCCCGCGGAGGAGGCTGCACTCCTTCTACGAGGTCAAGGAGGAGATCGGAAGGTAGCGCCCCGCCCCCTTTCCCCTGGACCGCTGAGGCCTGGGCCGGGGCTCCCTCACTCCCTCCTTCCTAGGGGCGTGTTTGGCTTCGTGAAGAGAGTGCAGCACAAAGGGAACAGGATCTCCTGTGCTGCCAAGTTCATCCCCCTGCGGAGCAGAACTCGGGCCCAGGCGTACAGGGAGCGAGACATCCTGGCCACGCTGAGCCACCCGCTGGTCACAGGGCTGCTGGACCAGTTTGAGACCCGCAAGACCCTCATCCTCGTTCTGGAGCTGTATCCTGCCCTCAGGCCCCGGGAGGGCTTGAGCAGGGGCAGGCCGGGGCTCGGAGGAGCCATGTGTGTGGCATCCCCTGCCTGGCTGGCTGGGAATTTCCTGGGAGTCTTCTGTTCCATGGGGCAGTGACTGGAGTCCCCTGGGGGTGCTGGTAGCCAGCTGGCCCTGATGACCTGACACCCTCAGCAGGGATGGCGGGGGTTCTCTCCCACTGCAGATGGCCTTACAGAGAAAGGACCTGCCTGGTCAGGCTACTCTGAGGTTCACCCCGCCACCCACAGAGCCTGGTCTTGGGGTCACCTCTGGTGCTCTTGACAGGCTGTCAGCTGGACACATTCCCCCCACCCCGAGTCGGCATCCTCTTCGAGGGGAGAGGGTGCTGGATGGGCTCTATGCAGAGTGGACAGGATGCACCGTGCCACTGCAGTGGGGGGCCTCAGTCCCCAGGGTCAGCCTGCAGCCCCTCCCTCTCCTCAGGACTGGGTGTCATCTGGGGCTAAGAGGGGTCCTGCCCCACCCTCCTCAACCCTGAGCATCACCGCACTGCCCCCAGAGATCAGACGTGCCCGCAGTCCTGGCCTCCTCACTGAGTGTGGGTGTCCGGGGCAGGCAGGTTTCAGCCCCACAAGCCTGCTTTTCCTTGACGGGATCCCAGGTGCTCGTCCGAGGAGCTGCTGGACCGCCTGTTCAGGAAGGGCGTGGTGACAGAGGCCGAGGTGACTGGGCAGCCACCCACCACTGCCCCAGCCCCCGCTCAGACAGCGTTCCTGCAGACACAGCCACAGCCATAGCCCTCCCTGGCTCAGAGGCCCCTGGAGTACCCTAGGGCCTCCGGGGCTCCTGACCCCTCGGCTGGACTCCACAGGCCCCGACACCCCACCTCACCTGGCCAGCTGACCAGCCCGGCCCTCCCCTCCCCTGCCGAGGGTCACGAGTCCACCGTATCCTCCCCGCCTTTGAGGGATCCCCTGGCTTAGGGGCACATGAGCCGCTCAAGCCAGGAGGCAGCTGGGCGTGAAGGGGAGAGGGAGGCTGGGGCGGGGGTCCCGCCTGAACGGCAGCCCCACATGAAAACGCTAAAATCCGTCGCAGGTCAAGGTCTACATCCAGCAGCTGGCGGAGGCGCTGCACTACCTGCACAGCCACGGCGTCATCCACCTGGACATAAAGGTCCGTGCGTCCCCACCCCCCGCACTCCAGCCTCACCGAGGGCTTGCTTGTCTCCACGGACGGGGAGATCACCGCCTCCTGTCCGCCCTCCAGTGGAGCAGAGGCTGTCCTCAAATGGCTGCGCCGGGTGCACCCCACCTGCCCCCCAGGCCTCCGAGTGTCCCCGCCAGGCCCAGCAGCCCCAGGAGTCACCCCCTTCAGGCACGGCCCTCACCCACACCCCTCTCTCCCACAGCCCCCTAACATCCTGATGCTGCATCCCGCCCGGGAAGACATTAAGATCTGCGACTTCGGCTTCGCGCAGAGCATCACCCCGGCAGAGCCGCAGTTCAGCCAGTACGGCTCCCCCGAGTTCGTCTCCCCCGAGATCATCCAGCAGACCCCTGTGAGCGAGGCCTCCGACATCTGGTGAGTCGGGGGCGCGGCGGCTGCAGCTTCTCCGGGAAGCCAGTTCCCACGGCCAGCTGGGCCTCGCCTCCGCCCCAGGGAGGCAGCCGGCAGTCTACTGGGCCTCCCTGAACCCGGCTCCTCCTCCAGCCCTGGCTCTCCCCGTCCCGGTGTGTGTGCCTCTTACCTGCGGGCCTGGGGTGACAGCGTGTGGTTCTGTCTTGCAGGGCCATGGGTGTCATCTCCTACCTCAGGTGAGCAGAGCCCTGCCCCATCAGCCGCCACCTCCAAAGCTGACCCGAGGCCCCTCCCCTGCAGGCCCACTGAGGACACGCGCACCACTGGCTGCTCCCCAGATCAGAGACTGAGACCCAAGGGGCAGCTGTCTTGGGAACAGGCAGTCAGCCAACCCTGATAAGAGCTTTCTGCCCAGAGTGTCTCAAACACCCTGTCATCAGAGGGCTGTGCCAGGTCACGAGGCAGCCAGGACGGGGGGTTGTCCAGCAGCCCGTCGTGACGGCCGCTGCTGCCCTGAGGATGACGGTGGAATAGACTGAGCATGGACCTTCTCAGCAGGCTGATCTTGATCCCTGCCCCAGCCTGAGCCTGGATCCCCATTTCAGACTGAGGCTGGTGTCCGCCCAGGCTGACCCTAGATCCCTTCTGCAACCTGAGCGCAGATACTCACCCCAGGCTCGGCCTGGGTCCTTGGTCCAAGCTGAGGCTGGATCTCTCTGGGCAGTTCAGAGAAACTTGCCGGGCCTCTGAGAGCCAGATGGGAGTGGGGGTGAGAGCCCCTCCACAGTCAGGGCTACATCTGAGAGCCAGGCCTTCCCTCTGCCTTCAGCCTGACCTGCTCGTCCCCGTTTGCTGGCGAGAGTGACCGTGCGACCCTCCTGAATGTCCTGGAGGGGCGTGTGTCATGGAGCAGCCCCATGGCGGCCCACCTCAGCGAAGACGCCAAGGACTTCATCAAGGCTGCGCTGCAGAGGGACCCGCGGTGAGTGCAAGCCCGGCTTCTCCCGCCCCGGGGGCAGCTGACCACCTGGCCCTTCCTGAGCCTTCCTCTCCCCGCAGGGCCCGACCCAGTGCGGCCCAGTGCCTCTCCCACCCCTGGTTCCTGGTGAGTACTGGGCTCAGCCCCACACCATGCAGGGGGTACCTGAGGCCAGCAGGGGAAGGGCCTCTGGGCCACAGGGCGAGTGAGCACAGAACTGTAGCGTAGCTCAGCCTCTGCCCAGCCCAGAAGACCTCTGTCCCTGTGCATCCGTGAGAGACCCTCAGCCTGGGACCATGTTTCAGTGCCCCAGCCCCCAGCAGGAAGCAGGGAGAACTTGGAGGAGCTCTGGGACAGGGGGTTCGTCGCCTCTGGCCTTTGCCACCTGCCCCACCTGGACATGTGGGGTGAGGGCGGTGCTGTCCTGGATCCAGGGGAATCCCAGGGCTGAGGCTGTGCCAGCCACCGAACCCCTCCCCGGCAGGGCTTCCACCATGGGGGGGGGCCATCAGAGCACCAGGGTCTCCCTGCCATGTGGCTGCCCGCTTCCGTCCCCTAGAAATCCGTGCCTGCCGAGGAGGCCCACTTCATCAACACCAAGCAGCTCAAGTTCCTCCTGGCCCGAAGCCGCTGGCAGGTGAGCCCCGCCTGCCCGAGCAGGGACCAGTGAAGGGGAAACCGAGGCCCCACAGGGCTGGCCATGCAGCTGGGAGTGTGGAAAGCGGGGAACTGGAGCGGGGCTCCTCTGAGCACACTGAAAAGAGGGAGGAGTCATCGGCTGGGCACAGCGGGCTGGGCACAGCGGGCTGGGCAGAGGACCCTGGAGCTCCTGGGTCGCCCCCTGCTGATGCCCACTGCCCCCATGCGGTCCCAGCGTTCCTTGATGAGCTACAAGTCCATCCTGGTCATGCGCTCCATCCCTGAGCTGCTGCAGGGCGCGCCCGACAGCCCCTCCCTCGGCGTGGCCCGGCACCTCCGCACAGACGCTGGCGGCTCCTCCAGCTCCTCCTCCTCCTCCGACAATGAGCTCGCCCCGTTTCCCCGGGCCAAGTCGCTGCCACCCTCCCCGGTGACGCACTCGCCGCTGCTGCACCCCCGGGGCTTCCTGCGGCCCTCGGCCAGCCTGCCTGAGGAGGCTGAGGCCCCCGGTCAGCCCGCGTCGCCCGAGGGTGCTGGGCCACAGGCAGCCCAGGGCTGTGTGCCCCGGCACAGCGTCATCCGCAGCCTGTTCTACCAGCAGGCAGGTGAGGGCCCCGAGCGCGGGGCCCCGGCCCCAGGGAGCAGGCGGCACCCAGCCCGACGGCGGCACCTGCTGAAGGGCGGGTACATCGCGGGGGCGCTGCCGGGCCTGCGAGAGCCGCTGATGGAGTGCCGTGCGCTGGAAGGAGGAGGCCGCCAGGGAGGAGCAGGCCAGCCTCCCGGCCGAAGCGTCCTCCTTTGAGACCGCCCTCCAGCTGCCTGCCCCTGGCACCCACGCGGCCCCTGGCCGCAGCCGCTCCCTGGCACATGACCCTCCGAGCATCCCCCGCCCCTCCCTGGGGGCCTGTGGTGAGGCACAGCGACTGCCTCCAGCCCCCTCCAGTGGGGCCCCTGCCAGGGACGTGGGGCACCCTCAAGGCTCTGAGCAGCTTCCATCCACTGGAGGCCACCTAGGCACTGCTCAGCCAGAGGGGCCATCCCTGGACAGCCCTTTGGGGCAGCCGGCCCCTTTCTGTCACCCCAAGCAGGATTCTGGCCCCCAGGAGGGCCGCAGCCCCCACTGGGCACTTGCCCCACACCCTCCCGGCTCCTTCCCTCCAGGATCTTGTGAAGAGGCCACCTCAGTACCCTCGAGCCACCTCCTGGGACAGCCTGAGGCACCCCCCGCCCCAGCCCAAGCAAGCCCCCCGCTAGACTCTAAGATGGGGCCGAAACCCAGCCCCTGCAGTTCTCCAGGGCCAGCCCCCCAGGCGAGCTCTTCCCAAGTGAGCTCCCACAGGATGGGCTCCCCGGAGGTGGGTGCAGAGCCTGGCCCCTCCCTGGACGCTGAGGGCTGGTCCCAGGAGGCTGAGGATCTCTCGCCCACCCCAAAGCGGCCTCAGGAGCAGGCCACCACACGGAAGTTCTCCCTGGAGCGTCACGGGGGCTATGCCGGCGTGGCTGGCTATGGCACCTTTGCCTTCGGCGGGGATGCGGGAGGCATGCTGGGGCAGGGACCCATGTGGGCCAGGATGGCCTGGGCTGTGTCCCAGTCCTCGGAGGAGCAGGAGGAGGCCAGGGCTGAGAGCCCGCTGCCCCAGGCCAGTCCAAGGCCCATGCCTGAGGCCAGCAGGACTCCCGCGGGGACCCCTCCAGAGCCCTCCCCCTGGGAGGACGCCGGGCAGGTCTCCCTGGTCCAGATCCGGGACCTGTCAGGTGACGCAGAGGCGGCCGACACAGTATCCTTGGACATTTCCGAGGTAGACCCCGCCTACCTCAACCTCTCGGACCTGTACGACATCAAGTATCCTCCCGTTCGAGTTTATGATCTTCAGGAAAGTCCCCAAGCCGGCTCAGCCAGAGCCACCCTCCCCCAGGGCTGAGGAGGAGCTGGCCGAGATCCCAGAGCCCGAGTGGCCCTGGCCGGGTGAACTGGGGCCCCAGGCGGGCCTGGAGATCACGGAGGGGCCGGAGGACGTGGAGGCGCTGCTGGCGGAGGCTGCCGCGGGCAGGAAGCGCAAGTGGATCTCGCCGTCTCGCGGCCTCTTCCGCCTCCCTGGGAGGCACGTGCCGCTGAACGAGCCGTCGGAGCTGGGGCTGCGTGAGAGAGTGAAGGCCTCGGTGGAGCACATCTCCCGGATCCTGAAGGGCAGGCCGGAAGGTGACCCCCCCACCCCTCACCCCACCCTACCCCACCCTAGGCGTCCTGCATGTCTGGGGCCCCCAATCTGCACCTGGGGTTACCGCACTCCAGGTGATGGCAGGAGGCCATCGTGGTGCCCGCCAGGGTCTGGGTACCTCCCACACCTCCTGTCCCTGCCTCAGGGCTCTGAATCTTGGGGTCACCTCTGCAGCCCTGACACTGCTCCCCAAGGGGCAGCTGAGACCCAGCCCTGGAAACTAACATAGCTGCGGAGGCCTGGGGAGGCTGTAGGTGGGGTGCCCCTGGGGAGAGAATCGAAGGGCCAGAGTCTTCCTGAACCAGATCCTCCCTAACCCCAGAGTCCTCCCGACTGGCCCCAGACCCTCCCTGCCCCAGACACCCCGATACTGGGCCCTCCCGACCCCAGATCCTCCTGAGTCCTCCTTGACTCCACAGTCCTCTCTGACCCCAGACCCCGGAGCCCTTCTTGATCCATAGGGTCTGGCCCCAGACCCCACCTTACCCCAGACCCTCCCTAACTCCATACCCTATCTGACCCCAGATCCTCCTGACCTCAGGCCTCCCGACCCCAAAACCCTTCCCAACCCCATCGTTCTCCCAAACCCCAAAGTCCTCCCTGGCCCTGGACCCTTCAGACCCCGTGCCTGGAGGTGGGGAGGGTGCCTGCTCATCCTGCTTCCTTTGTCCTCCATGGCCTGGGAGTCTGGAGAGCGGGCAGCAGGGTGGCCGACCCCGACTTCTTCCTGTCCCAGCTGCTCGGGGTCCTTGCAGCAAGAGGCGGCTGGTGCTGCCAGGGGGCCGGCCTCCTGGCCATGACCTCCATTGGCCCCCTTCCTCCTGCAGCTCTGGAGAAGGAGGGGCCCCCCAGGAAGAAGCCAGGCCTTGCTTCTTTCCGGCTCTCAGGTCTGAAGAGCTGGGACCGAGGTGAGCAGGCCCAACACAGAGACCCGACCCTATCACCTCTCAGGGTCCCACCAGAGTGTCCAGACCAGTGGGGAGCAAGCTTGCACTCACAGGGGTTCAGGAACGAAGTCGGGGCCCTGGTGGGTGTGGTGAGCTAAGCAGTCTTGGAGGACTTTCTGGAGGAGGTGGTGGTGGTGCAGCTGGGCCAGGCTGGGGGATGGGGGTGGGGGGAGCAGGGCTCCTCCTGTTATCCCCACTGCAGGGTCCAGGCCACGCTCTGGGACCTGGAGATTACCCCTGAAGGCTCACCTCACCCTCCCTTTTCAGCGCCGACATTCCTAAGGGAGCTCTCAGATGAGACTGTGGTCCTCGGCCAGTCAGTGACTCTGGCCTGCCAGGTATCGGCCCAGCCAGCTGCCCAGGCCACCTGGAGCAAAGGTAAGAAGCTGTCGGAGGAGCTGGGGGCCGGGTGACATCAGGTGAGGGGCCATTGCTGGCCCCACAGGATGCCTCGCTATCTGGAGGGAAACTGAGACCAGGGAGAGGCGTGGGGCCTGGCCGTGGCACGAGGCTCGCTCTGTCCTATTGCAGACGGGGTCCCCCTGGAAAGCAGCAGCCGCACCCTCATCTCGGCCACCCGCAAGAACTTCCAGCTTCTGACCATTCTGGTGGTGGCAGCTGAGGACCTGGGTGTGTACACGTGCAGCGTGAGCAACGCACTGGGGACAGCAGCCACCACGGGCGTCCTCCGGAAGGCAGGTGCGTGAGCTGCACGGGGGGTCCCGCCAGGCCAGGCCAGGGTGGCTGGGCTGGGGCTGCTGGGAAGCCTGGTCCTGCGTGGGCTGCCTCCGGGGCTGTGCGCTGGTCGTTGCAGTGTCCCCTCCCCCACCCTGAGCTCCCCACAATGAGTCGCAGTGGGGCCAGGTACCACACATGGCCAGGGCCCCAGGAGGCCTTAGAAGGTCAACACAGAGGTCTAAACGCACGGGCTGCCCTGGGCTGGCAGCCGGCCCTGGGAAAACAGCCGGACAAAGCTGCTAGCCATACAGGGCTGCGAAGGAAGCTGCTGTGCCACACTCCCCGCCAGGGAGAAAGCCCAGCCCACACCGCCGCCTGCCTGGAGAACTGAGTTTCTCTGGCGCACACACAATCCTCGATCCACCTTCCCACGTTCCCTCCACGCCCATCCCTCCAGCACGGGCAGGATGGGCTGCTGCCCGCTCTGTATCTCAATCAAAGCCCAGTTCCCTGCAGCGTTCCTCAGGTCGTCGGGGGCTACAGGCCTAGCTCTGGGATGCCCAGCCCAATGCCCCGGGGTGGGGGCGCCTGCCTGAACCTGTGCAGGGCTGACCCGGGAAAGCCCAGCAGCCACGCCAGGGCCCCTCTGACCACAGCCTGGGCCCCTGCACATCGTTCTGGTCACACCCAGGTGAACAGGGCAGGCCTGGCAGGGCACACACCCCCCAGCCTCTCACCAGGAGAGGCCCCTCCTACCAGTCCCTCACTGTGACTGGATCCTGCATGAACAGGACCAGGGAGGGTGGGCTCCAGAGCTCTGGCAGCTGCCAGGATGAGGCAGGGGCCAGCCGGGGAATTGCCCCTGGAGGCTCTGCGCACACCCTGGAGTCACTGATGGTGGCAGCACCTTACAGAGCGCCCCTCATCCTCACCATGCCCGGACATCGGGGAGGTGTACGCGGACGGGGTGCTGCTGGTCTGGAAGCCCGTGGAGTCCTATGGCCCTGTCACCTACATTGTGCAGTGCAGCCTAGAAGGTATGGGGCGGTCCCTGTGACCGGGCCTCCCAGGGCCCAGAGGCTCCAGCTGCCCTCCTGGGGGCCCTGACTAGGGGCCCTTGGGGAGGTACCTGGCCGCCTCTGCTCTGCGGGTGGCTTCCGGTTTCTCCACCCGCCCTGACGTGGTGTGTGGAGGCCTCAGCAGCCCCTCACACGCTCCTGTGTGGCCAGGCGGCAGCTGGACCACACTGGCCTCCGACATCTTCGACTGCTGCTACCTGACCAGCAAGCTCTCCCGGGGCGGCGTGTACACCTTCCGCACGGCATGCGTCAGCAAGGCAGGCATGGGCCCCTACAGCAGCCCCTCGGAGCAAGTCCTCCTGGGAGGGCCCAGCCACCTGGGTGAGCCACACCACACTCGGGGCTTGCGAGGTAGGAACAGCAGCCGGAAGAGCCAGCACATGCTCCGGCCTGCTCAGGGTCTCTGTAGCTGTCCACTTCCTTCTGGGAGAGAGCTGCTCCTGGGCTTAGCATTGGAGGCCTACACACTCCAGGGACCACCTCGCCCCCCCGGTCCCCTTCACTCACCTGCACTCCCACGTGCTTGCTGGTGAGCACACAAGTCCATTCTGCTTCATGCTGAGTGTCTGTAGTGACTGTCCCATGCTGCCTCCAACTTTGGTGGAGAAGTGCTGGGGTTGATTAGTAATGTCTGCCCTGGACTTAGGACCGGGAGAGAGGGCGTGATTGCTATAGGTGGTCCATTCTCAACCCCCCTGCCACCCTCACACCCACCCTCACTCAGGTTGGCTCTCACTACTTGCTGTACCCCCTCTCCCTCTTGCTGTAACCACACCCCCAGAACCTCAGGACAAGAAGTGGGAATGTATAGGAGCTCAAGCCCCACTTGGCGGGACACGGTGGCTCACCCACTCTGGGAGGCTGAAACAGGCAGATCACCTGAGGTCAGGAGTTCAAGACCAGCCTGACCAAATGGAGAAAACCCATTCATACCAAAAATACAAAATTAACTGGGTGTGGTAGCGAATGCCTGTAATCCCAGCTACTCAGGAAGCCCTGGCAGGAGAATTGCTTGAACCTGGGAGGCGGAGGTTTCGGTGAGCCGAGATCACACCATTGCACTGCAGCCTGGGCAACAAGAGTGAAACTCTTATCTCAAAAAAAAAAAAAAAAAAAAGAAGCCCCACTTGTCACTTATCAGGGGGCCTGGGAAGGGGTCATTGGAGAGGTGATGAGAGCTGGGGCTGTGAAGACACCCCTCCACCCCCTCTAACCACCCGTCCCTCCTCCCACAGCCTCTGAGGAGGAGAGCCAGCGGCAGCCAGCCCAACCCCTGCCCAGCACACAGACCTTTGCGTTCCAGACACAGATCCGGAGGTGCAGGGGTCTTGGGGGCTATGGGCGGGTAGAGCCAGGGCTTGGACCCCCCTTGCTGGGTACACCTACCTTCTCACGGAGCTGGGTTTCTGCTGCTCTGAGTGTTGGGGATGGCGGGGAGGGGACCACCCACCAGCCTGACCTCTGTTCCCTTGGGCAGGGGCCGATTCAGTGTGGTGCGGCAGTGCTGGGAGAAGGCCAGTGGGCGGGCACTGGCTGCCAAGATCATCCCCTACCAGCCCAAGGACAAGACAGCCGTGCTGCGTGAATACGAGGCCCTCAAGGGCCTGCGCCACCCACACCTGGCGCAGCTGCACGCAGCCTACCTCAGCCCCCGGCAGCTGGTGCTCATCTTGGAGCTGTGCTCCGGGCCGGAGCTGCTCCCCGGCCTGGCCGAGAGGTGAGGGCTGCCTGGGCTGGCGTGGCTGAGCCGACGCACGGTCTGATGCACTAATGGACGCAGGCCTCTGGGGTGGGGCAGGGGGACCAGACCCCTCTGCACAGCCAGCACCCCTTACAGCCCACGGGGCGTGGTCTCAGCCCTGGCCCCGGTGGCCGCACCCCGAAGTCTGTGCTGAGCGTCGTCTGCGCCCCCAGGGCCTCCTACTCAGAGTCCGAGGTGAAGGACTACCTGTGGCAGATGCTGAGCGCCACCCAGTACCTGCACGCCCAGTGCATTCTGCACCTGGACCTGAGGTCCGAGAACATGATCATCACCGAGTACAACCTGCTCAAGGTCGTGGACCTGGGCAGTGCGCAGAGCCTCAGCCAGGAGAAGGTGCTGCCCTCGGAGAAGTTCAAGGACTACCTAGAGACCATGGGTTCGTGTGTGGGCAACTAGGGGGACCTCACCTGGGGGGCAGCAAGAAGTCCCCTCCCCTCCAGTGCTGTCCACCCCTCGCAGGTCCAGCACCACCCACCCAGCTTCACACCTGGCCCACGCGCCTGTGCCCCCACCTGAGCCCACTCATGCCCACCACCAGAGCCCCCACCTGAGCCCAATCACATGTGCCCCTCCCAGCTCCAGAGCTCCTGGAGGGTCAGGGGGCTGTTCCGCAGACAGACATCTGGGCCATCGGTGTGACAGCCTTCATCATGTGAGTCCTCCAACGTGGCTGGGGTTGTTATGTGGGCGGGGCAGGCTCCCCCATCCACCGGAGGGTGACCTCTGGACCCCTGCACCCCGTCCACCCGAGGGTGACCTCAGTGCACCCGCATCCCCTCCCCCTCTGCCCTGGTCTGCCCGAGCGTGACCTCAGGGCCCAAGCACCCGCCACCCGCACAGGCTGAGCGCCGAGTACCCGGTGAGCAGCGAGGGTGCACGCGACCTGCAGAGAAGCCTGCGCAAGGGGCTGCTCCGCCTGAGCCGCTGCTACGCTGGGCTGTCCGGGGGCGCCGTGGCCTTCCTGCGCAGCACGCTGTGCGCCCAGCCCTGGTGAGGCGCGGCCCTCCCGACACCCCCCGCCGCCCTCCCAGCCCCCTCCTCGCCGCCCCCTGCGTCCCGTCCCGCTGCACCCCGCCACTCTCTACCCTCCCCATCCCCTCCCTCCGCCCCTCTCTCCCCGCCCCTCTCCCCCTCCCCCTCCTCCTCTCCCCCTCCCTCCTTTCCCCCTCCCCCTCCCCCTCTCCCCTCTCCCCCCTCCTCTCCCCTCCCCCCTCCCCCACTCCTCTACCGCTGCTCAGCTGAGCGTCTGTCCCCCCCCAGGGGCCGGCCCTGCGCGTCCAGCTGCCTGCAGTGCCCGTGGCTGACAGAGGAGGGCCCGGCCTGTTCGCGGCCCGCGCCCGTGACCTTCCCTACCGCGCGGCTGCGCGCCTTTGTGCGCGAGCGCGAGAAGAGACGCGCGCTGCTGTACAAGAGGCACCACCTGGCCCAGGTGCGCTGAGGGTCGCCCGACCCGCCCTCGCTGCAGACGCGCCAATAAAAACGCACGGCCGGGCGCGGAGCCTCCGTCTCCAGGTGTCATTTTATTCTGGGGGCGGGGAGGGTCCTGCCCGGTCCTTCCGGGTGGGTCGCGGACACGCGTCCTGGGGGCCGCTCCCTCCCTCCGACCTCCGCGCGCTCCGCCCCGCGGGGCGCCTCCGTCCTCACACCCGTGTGCGCCTTCGCCGCCTCCGCCACGCCGGCCTCCAGCCCGCGCCCCGCCGCCGGTTTCCGGAACTTCTCCGTCGCAGTCGGCGCCCCAGGGAGAGTTCTCGGCAGAGCGTGTGAGGGCGGCAGCCGCGCGCGGCGATCCGCTGGCGAGAGGAGGCTTCAGAGTCGGGGGCGCGTGGCCTCTGGGGAAAGCAACCCCGTTTCCAGATTCCACGGGCAACGCCTGGTGGTGGTGAGGGGGGGTCGCCCAAAGCTCCTGAGCGTCCTTTCCCGTCTCCTTGGACGTGGGAAAGAAAGGGGACTTGAGGCAGGTGCAGCCGGGAGACCCGGGAGCTGCGGGCGGGGCCTTCTCCCCTGTGCAGAGGTGCCTCGTACCTGGCGAAGCGCAGACGGCTAGGAGGCTCACCGACCCCTCTTGGCTAAAATGGGTCATGCCGATTCCTGGCCAGCTTAGATTTATGGGGACATTCAGTGATGGAATTGCCCTGGCTCTGACAACACGAAACGAAACCCAGGGTGAGGCCCAGCTGTTGTTTTGTTTTTGTTTTGAGACGGAGTTTCGCTCTTGTTACCCAGGCTGGAGTGCAATGGCGCGATCTCGGCTCACCGCAACCTCCGCCTCCTGGGTTCAGGCGATTCTCCTGCCTCAGCCTCCTGAGTAGCTGGGATTACAGGCACGCGCCACCACGCCCAGCTAATGTTTTGTATTTTTAGTAGAGACGGGGTTTCATCATGTTGACCAGGATGGTCTCGATCTCTCGACCTCGTGATCCACCCGCCTCGGCCTCCCAAAGTGCTGGGATTACAGGCACGCGCCACCATGCCCAGCTAATTTTTTTGGATTTTTAGTAGAGACGGGGTTTCACCATGTTGACCAGGATAGTCTCGATCTCTTGACCTTGTGATCCACCCGCCTCCGCCTCTCAAAGTGCTGGGATTACAGACTTGAGCCACCGCGCCCGGCCAAGGCCCAGCTGTTTTAAACGCTCCTTTTAATCACCTAAACACTGGCCGGGAGCAGTGGGTCACACCTGTAATCCCAGCACTTTGGGAGGCCAAGGTGAGTGCATCACGAGGTCAGGAGTTTGAGACCAGCCTGGCCAACGTAGTGAAACCCTGTATCTACTAATAATACAAAAATTAGCCGGGCGTGGTGGCACATGCCTGTAATCCCAGCTACTTGGGGGGCTGAGGCAGGAGAATCACTTGAACCTGGGAGGTGGAGGTCGTGGTGAGCTGAGATCCTCCACTGCACTCCAGCCTGGGCAACAGAGTGAGAGTCCATCTCAAAAAAACACAAAACTCACCCAAACAAGAGTCCAAGTCCCATAGTCAGTTCTGGAGAGTCCCCGCACTCTTCTGGAGCAGCCCAGGGTTCCCGGGTAAGGGTGTGTTCTCCACTGTCCCCAGCAACAGCTTCGTTCCTTGGGGCTGGGGCCGCAGGATGTGGACAGCAGCCTCTACCCTCCTGGTTCTCAGCCCACCTCAGGGGCCCAACGACAGCCACATGCTGATGGGTCCAGTCTGCAGTGTCCAAATGCTGGACGCCTCCCCTGGAAACTTACTGAGGCCAGGACACTTGGAATTAAAATTCAAGCATCAGCCAGGCACAGTGGCTCATGCCTGTAATCCCAGCACTTTGGGAGGCTGAGACAGGAGGATCATTTGAGCCCAGGAGTTCAAGACCAGCCTGGGCAACATAGGGAGACCCTTGTCTCTACAAATAAAATAAAATAAAATAAAATAATTAGCTTGGCGTGGTGGTGCGCACCTGTGGTTCCAGCTACTCGGGAGGTGAGCCCAGAGGTCAAGGCTACAGTGAACCGTGATTGTGCCACTGCACTCCAGCCTGGGCCACAGAGCAAGAACCTGCCTCTAAAAAGAAAACAAATCCAAACATCTAACTTGAACTGATTGCCCTCACTCCCTGTGTCCCCAAACTGCCCCTGACTTTACCTTCCTCCTCCTTTATGACCTCAGGACAGTGTGTCACCACTCAACACACCACAAAGGGCGCAGGCACCATGCACTCACTTTCCCACGATGCTGATGGGCAGGGCAGGGGGTGCGGGGGGAGTAGTATCTTTTCCTCACCCATTGCAACGCTCATGGATGAACATTGCGTGGATGGCCCCAATCTCAAAGACAGGTTAACAAGATAAAGCATCACACACATCTATTTAACAAAAGGTTTTATGTGACAACTGAACCTTCAGAAACAAAAATGCAAAAAAACAGGCCAATGTATCTATTTTTTATGCCTAGGTTTGATGAAGAATGTGCAGTCAGTGCTTTGACAAAAAGCAGGTGCAACTTAATGGTAGCAATCCAGGGGCAACTTGCCAAGGCCTGTTTTTGAGATTCTCCTTGGTCTCTGGAATGAGGATCCTATGATCCGCTTTTGGGGAAGGTAGGTCAGAGAATTCTCTTATGGCTTCCTTCAAGGGAGAAGGGTTGGAGACGGTCAGAGAGAGAGTTTCCTCCAGCTGAAGATACTCGGCATGCCAACGTGCCATATTTTGGGGTACTGCATTTTTTTTTTTTTTTTGAGATGGAGTTTCACTCTTGTTACCCAGGCTGGAGTGCAATGGCGCGATCTCAGCTCACCGCAACCTCCGCCTCCTGGGTTCAGGCAATTCTCCTGCCTCAGCCTCCTGAGTAGCTGGGATTACAGGCACGTGCCACCATGCCCAGCTGATTTTTTGTATTTTTTAGTAGAGACGGGGTTTCACCATGTTGACCAGGATGGTCTCGATCTCTTGACCTCGTGATCCACCCACCTCGGCCTCCCAAAGTGCTGGGATTACAGGCTTGAGCCACCGTGCCCGGCTGGGGTACTGCATTCTAAGCCCCATCACCAACATCTCCCAAAACTGTAGTACACTCTGACGATCAGGAAGACTGGTACAGTCAAGAGAGAGAAAATTTCCATCTCCAGGAACCCCTTACGCTGCCCAAAAAGGCATAAAAATAACCCACCCACTTTCTTCCCACGGCAACACTCCTCAACCCTGGCATCCAACAATTTGTTCTGCACTAATGTAATTTCGTCATTTGAGGAACGTTCTCTAAATGGAATAATGCCATATGTGGTTTTGTGCCTGGCATGATTCTCTGGAAATTCATGAAGGCTGCTGCCTGTGTCAATAGTTCATTCCTTTCTACTGCCGCGGAATAGTCCACGTCATGGATGCGCCACTGTTTGTGTGACCATTTGTCCATTAAGGACATTTTGGGTCACTCCCAGTTTTGGGCGAGTACCAATAAGGCTGCTGTAAACGTGTGAACGTTGCTGTGTGACTGTAAGTCTGCATCACTCTGGGATAAATGACCAAGAATGCAGTGGCCGTGTCATCCTGCCATTTCATCGGTCAGCTTCATGTCCTCGTGGGTGAAAGATCCTGTTAAGGCTTGCGCTCTGAATGGACAGACCCCCAGACAGGCTTTGTGTGAGCAACATGACTGTTTATTCCCCGGGCGCGTGTGGGCTGAGGCCGAAAAGGGTGTGTTGAAGGGTGGGGATAGGAGTTGGTTTGATGGGTTTGTGGTGGGCTGTGGAAAGTTACAGTTTAGGGCGTTTTTTTTGCAAGCTGGGAGGGGGTCATAGGGTGTGGAATCGCCCAGGTTGACCAAGGTCCGGCGTGCAGTTCTGTTTTGTTAACTGTATTCACATGTGGCGCGACCGTCACCATAATTCATCTCCAGGCCTCTTCATCTTGCAAAACTGAAAACTGTCCTCACTAAAGCCCATTCTCGGCCGGGCGCGGTGGCTCACACCTGTAATCCCAGCACTTTGGGAGGTTGAGGCAGGTGGATCACCTGAGGTCAGGAGTTCGAGACCAGCCTGGCCAAAATGGCAAAACCCCGTCTCTACTAAAAATATAAAAATGAAAGCTGGGCTTGGTGGCGCATGCCTGTAATCCCAGCTACTGGGAGAGCTCATGCAGGAGAATCGCTTGAACCCGGCAGGCAGAGGTTGCAGTGAGCCAAGATCACACCACTGCACACCAGCCTGTGCGACGGAGCCAGCCTGTCTCAAAAAAAAAACAAAACACTGTGGTGATCCCAAGAATTTTGGAAGTTATGAGCCAGTAACTGCGGGTGAAAACCAATATGTATATATAATATCCCAACAACCTAGTATCTAGGAAACAGAAAGCTATGGAAATAAAAGGCAAAATTGATCATTGGTGCACTAATAATCATAGCAGAAGATTTTAATATACTGTGTTTAGAAATCAGTAGGTCAGGCCAGGCACGGTGGCTCTCACTCGTAATCCCAGCACACTGGGAGGCCAAGGTGGGTGGATAACTAGGTCAGGAGATTGAGACCAGCCTGGCCAACACAGTGAAACTCTGTCTCAACTAAAAATACAAAAATTAGCTGGGCGTGGTGGTAGCTGCCTGTATTCCCAGCTACTTGGGAGGCTGAGGCAGGAGAATCACTTGAACCCAGGAGGCAGAGGTTGCAGTGAGCCGAGATTGCACTGCTGCACTCCAGCCTGGGTGACAGAGCGAGACTGCATCTCAAAAAAAAAAAAAAGAAAGAAAAGAAAAAGAAATGAATAGGTCAGATGTATAAAAATAAATCAATTTCTCAATTTCTGTAACTATTGACGGCATCACTGGGAACATTGATGTGACAGGAAGATGTGTATATGACTTTCAGGTATCCAGAGGCCATCCACATAAACAACCAGGCATTAGGTCAAAATCCTCTAAGTGGAGGTCATACAGGCCACATTTCCTGGCCACTGTGAAATGACGTTACTCACTGTCAATCAAAGAATAAATGGCAAGTTACAGCTAGCCACTTGGACATTTTAGAAAACATCCTAAATAATTTCTCCA